CAACTTCCATACTGTGTGTTCCTACTCTCTTCTACTACTTCATTCAATCCATCTTTACCACTTCTTTAGCGTCCGTTTTACCGATTCGATCAATACCTTTCTCTGCTCCGCGATGTTGTGCGCGGCAAAGACGCCGGGAATCAGGGGAAGCCAAGCCAAACGGGGCTGCAAGTCATCACTGGAACGAGCGACTGCCTGGAGCTGAGATTCGGGGTCTTGCAACGGTGGAGAATCACCTTCGTCCTTGTTGGCTCGGATGTGGCCGGCCGGCGTTACGGGCGTAGCTAGGACTGCAGAGACCAATGCGGCGGAAAGTAAGAGGTAGCTGCACTTCATGTTGTTGGAAGTGCTCCGTTGCGAGGCTTGAAGGGACGAGGAGTATGACGCGGGCAGTATTGCAGTAAGACGGTGATGCTGAGTTTCGCCAGGAGAGTCAGGTGCTTGAGTTGGGGGATGGAGTCTCGTGTACGTCGACGAATGAGATTGGTGAGCACTGCTGGGGGAAAGAATTGCGATGCAAGCTGGGAAGACGCACCTTTATACACTGCTTGACGTCGTGAGATGAAGTTTCCTTGCCGAATCAAATGCAGGCCGTCAGTGTAGCAACCTTCAACTCGGCAAGTTTTGGCCGGAGGCCGGTACAGAAATGAGCAAAGCTCGATGGTGCGCAACATTGTGGAAAGCGTGCGACAGGTCTTTGCTGCTTTCAATCTGGCCTGCCTATACTGTACCACCTTGCCTTGTGATCAACACGTTGCTTTGCCTCGTCTCTTTCGGCGGTTTCAATTCACTGATGTGAGCGGGCAACTCCACCGTCTCTCTCTCCAGGATGACACCACGGGTCAACAAGGCAAACATCCGGCAAGTAAAGGCCGAGATCGACTCACATAGATCAGCTGTTTCGCTTTGCTCTGGAGCCAGGCGTTGCTCTCAAGCGACAGCACAAAAGGCAGGGGTACTTTGTGCTATGGGGTGAGCACAATACCGACAGACTGTGGGGATCTGATTGTCAATGGCATCGCAAATCAACAATTGTGGCAGCAACAAATCCCCACTCTGCCGAAGAGACTGACGGACGTGTCCAGCACATCCTAAGGTCCTTTCAATGCCCTATGCAGCGCGACACCAGATTATCGCGTCAGTGCCAAAGAACACAATGACTGTCAAAACACTCTCGTCTCATTAGGCAAATACAGGAAAGAAAGCTTACTCACTCGGTACGAAGGGAAACCGAAGAATTGCACACTGGAAACGCCGATGTTGAGAAACATATGAGATTGGAGGGAAATGATTTGCCCAGGGTAAAAGAATGTGCTCTTAAGCCTCGACCTCGAAGTCAACAAAGTCACGCTCATCAACATCATCATCAGCCAGATCGCGCTCGTCAACGTCGGCATCCGGGAAGTCTCGCTCCTCAAAGTCTCCTGCCTCCTCGAAGTCTCGCCTGTGGTTAGGGTGAGCGTCCAGCTTGTTCAGCATGGCGTCCTTGTAATGCGCCCATTGTGCCTTGTTCATGGCCCTACCGTCACTGGCTCGGGCATCAACGAGGTCCTCGAAGTCTCGCTCGTCAAAGTCCTCAAAGTCTCGCTCCTCGAAGTCGGCGTCCTCGACGTCACGCCTGTGGTTGGGGTGGGCGTTGAGCTTCTCAAGCATAGCATCCTTGTAGTGAGCCCATTGCTCTTTGTTCATAGCCCGGCCGCCACTGGCACGAGCATCGACATCGGCATCGTCGAACTCTCGCTCCTCGAATGCGTCTTCGTCAAAGTCTCGCCTGTGGTTGGGGTGAGCATCAAGCTTCTCGAGCATGGCGCCCTTGTAGTGAGCCCACTGCTCCTTGTTCATGGCCCTGCCGCCACTAGCTCGAGCGTTGACCAAGTTGACGAGGTCTTCGAGGTCCCGCTCATCGAAGTCCTCAAGGTCGCGCTCGTCGAAGTCTGGAAGGTCGCGCTCCTCAAAGTCGGCGTCCTCTACCTCTCGCTTGTGATTGGGATGAGCGTTGAGCTTCTCGAGCATGGCATCCTTGTAGTGCGCCCATTGTTCCTTGTTCATAGCTCGACCGCCGCTGGCTCGGGCGTTGATCAAGTTGGCAAGGTCTTCGAGATCGCGCTCGTCGAAGTCTGGAAGGTCTCGCTCCTCAAAGTCCTCGAGGTCTCGCTCGTCTTCGAAAGCAGCTTCCTCAACCTCCCGCTTGTGGTGATGGTTGGGATGAGCGTCCAGCTTCTCAAGCATAGCACCTTTGTAGTGCGCCCACTGCTCCTTGTTCATTGCCCTTCCACCACTAGCGCGAGCATCGACATCGACTGCATCGGCCAAGTCTCGCGGTGCCAGCTGCTGGGCGTACTGCGCAAGCTGCGCAAGGTCGGACTCGGTGAGACCGACGGGGGCGGCGGAGACGCTTGGAGAGGCGGCGGCGGCGAGGAGGAAAGCGAGGAGGAGGCCGAGGAATTGAGACTTCATTGTTGGTAGAGGTTGGGATTGGAGTTGGGGTTGTGTGCTGGTAGTTAGCGGGGTAAGAGCCGGTGTTGATGTTCGAAGTTGAGGCCGTGCTGTTGAAATGCTAGTCGAGCTTCTCCTGGAATCTCGAGGGCTTGTGCTTGTGGAGGTTTGGTATTTGTGAGCGCTGCTGAGGAAAAGAAAAGGGATGAGGAAGGGGCGAAAGAGTCTGCTTTATATAAGTCTCCTCGAGGCCAGATGTCTACACGCAAAGGCGATAGGCCGAGACAGGTAGGCAGAGAGCAAAGGCCTCGTCGGCCTCCGCCAAGCATTCAACGCAGTCTCACAGCTGTATGCTGAGCAAAGGAGAGTTCGTTTGCCAGTCGCCTCTAGGAGAGCAATCGGCAAACACTTCTGCGGACGTCGTCAGCCACTCCACAGCTCCCACAAGCACAGCCTTCCGCTTCGCAAGAAGTCTGAGCAGCTCGGTGTCCGCATACAAATTGCTCTCGCGAAACTGCCTTTGTCATTTGACGTCTCCTGTGCATGCCAAAGACGATGGCGGTGGCATGGATGTCATTGCCGAGGTTCGTTTGACAAAGTATGCATTGCTCTCAAGACCAGAATTCGCAGTGTTCGCAGCAACGCCTGGGACTTGTCGCAAAAGTGGTTTGCTGTCACAACATTTGTTTGCTCGCAAGAAGAAGGGAGGGCGCAAGTGGCTTCCGGGTATGGTAGGATTCGCGTAGTGTTTGGTGAAATCAAGTGCTCCCAGCAAAGGGAGAGCGAAGAGCGAACTAGCGGCAATCTCTCACAGCCAAGCGTCCATCTTCTCTGGTCCCCTCCCAACCGCCTGCACCTTGAACCCAATCTTCTCCAGCCTCGCCACGTCCAGAAATCCACTATGTCCATCAAACACAAATGCCGGCTTCTGCATCTGACTGAACACGGCTTGCCAGTCAAGGGTACGGAACTGGTCCCAGGGTGTAGTGATGACGACTGCCTCTGCGTCGCGGCAGGCCTCGAGTGCTGAGCTGGCTAAGGTCACTCGGCTGGAGGATTTGAGCGAGGCGATGGATGCGTCCAGGGAGGAGTCGAGGAGGACTCCCCCTGAGCCAGGGTAGGGCGAGGGCGATGGACGCGAAGGGTCGTTGACTAGATCCCGCCAGATCTGCTCGTGCGGGACTTTCGGGTCGTAGATGCTCAGCAGGGCATTATCCTCGAGGAAAGTGCGGCAGAGCGTAATGGCGGGTGACTCGCGCGTGTCGCCCGTGTCTTTCTTGAAGGCGAAGCCTAGCACAGCGACGCGCTTTGAGGTGATGGTGTTGAACATCGTCGAGACGACCTTTTGCGCGAAGCGAGCTTTGGACCAGTCGTTCATCGCTAGCACTCCGCGCCAGTATTCAGCTACCGGGTGCAGACCCAACGACTCGCTCAGATAGACCAGATTGAGCAAGTCCTTTGAGAAGCACGACCCACCAAACCCGCATGTGGCTCGAAGGAAATTCGGTCCAATGCGCTTGTCCAGCCCACAAGCATGAGCAACTTCACCAATGTTCGCGCCGGTGCTTTCGCAGATGGCGGCGAGCGAGTTGATGCTCGAGATGCGCTGCGCGAGGAGTGCATTTGCGGCCAGCTTGCTCAGCTCCGAGGACCAAAGACCAGTAGTGTAGATCCTCTCTGGAGCGACCCAATTCTCGTACACTTCACCAAGCCGATCTGCTGCTTCCCTTCCCGAAGGCGTATCCAGACATCCGATCAATACCCGGTCTGGGTTCTGCAAGTCGCGCATGGCTGTTCCCTCTGCGAGGAATTCGGGGTTGGAGAGAATGTCGAAGTGAATTCCCGGGCGGGAGTTGGCTTCGAGGATGGTACGCATGGAAGAAGCGGTACGACAGGGCACGGTTGATTTTTCAACGATTATCTTGGATGAGGTGGCAACACTCGCGATTCGACGCGTGGATGACTCGACGTAGCTAAAGACGTGGAAGGAGCATGCAAAGCCCTGTAAGCAGGCAGTCCGGCACTACTCAAGCTCCTCACGACCTTGTCACTCACTGTAGATCAGCAGCGTACCCCGCACCAATCCCGCTCTTCTTGGTCGGCGTATTGACACTAACAAAGATCAAGTCGGCCGCTCTGATAGCCTCATCAATCTCCGTGCTGAACCACAGATTTCTGCCCCTACAAGCCTTGACCACCTCTCCCAATCCAGGCTCAAACACAGGCAAACCCGTCAGTTCGCCTGTGAGAGGGTCAGGAGGGGAGTTCCAGGCCGCGATTCTGGAAGGGTTGACATCGACAATGGTTACTTGGATGTGTGGGCAGCGGGCGGCCAGGAGGGTGCAAGTGGGACCACCAACGTAGCCTGCGCCAATGCAGCAGATGGAGCGGACCGGGGGATGGAAAGAGGGGCTGTCGTTGATTTGAGGGGCTGAATCGGAGAGGGAGAGACCCTGAGAGAGACCAACGAGATTGGAGTGACTTGAGGAAGCGATCGGAGCCATTGTAGAGAGGTCTATCGTTCTATCTATGTGTCTAGTGGGTCGTCTAATCGTGCTTGTCTAGGAAGCAGGAAAATCCAAGGACAGGAAGGGAGGTCTGTGTACTTATATACATCGAGGAGAAAGAAAGCCGTGTTGACATCCAATTCCTGTCCTACATGCCCGTCTCAGGACATCTTCCGCCTTATTGCCCGGCCAGGAGAGATCCGGACGAAAGCGTCTTGGCCCGATGACAGACTGCTCTATTCCTGTCCCTGTCCCTGTCCCGCTCCCCCTGAGCTGAGTACTAGCCCCTGATTCCTCCATACCTCTCTGTGCATGCCCAGTCACATCCAAGGAAGAAGGTGCTGAGGCTCTGAAGCTAAAGAAGAGGGTGGGGGAGGAGGGTGTTGTGTGCAGAGGAGTGGAGAGCACGATGCCTTCCCCACCTTGGAACGTGCGCTTGATGGTGATCCGTGCAGAGAGGCACGGAAGTGCGAAACGCGCCGGTCTTCCGATCCGATCAGATCCGATCCGCTGGAATCGGTGTGAGTTTCGAGGCAAGCCAAGGTACTCAGAGCATTAGCAAGAGGGTGTAAAGTATTCCATGATTCTCAAAGAGTCGTCTCAAAGCGTACAACAAGGATAGACACAAGGGGAGAGGTGGGAGAGAAAAAAAAGAAACAGGGGAAGAAGGGTGCAAGAGGATATAGAATATCGGCCGAATGGGTATCGAGAACTCGGGAAACAAAGATGCACTTTTGTCGAGGTGGGCCTGTGGGCTTGCCTCCTCCTCCTCCTCCTTTCGCTTGCGCCGCTCCATTACTTCTTGCCCACCGCCTTCGCACCAGTGGGGGTGGCGCCTCGCGACCTGCTCAGCGAGCCCGCCCTCGAGTCGCTTCCCTTGGCGTTCGTAAGAGCAGGGGAGCCTCTTGCTCTCCCTCTGGCCGATAGGAACGAGGCTGCTCCACCTGGACCTGGAAGGACAAGAGGGTTGCTTGCTGCTGCCGTAGGGGCAGCCTGTACTTGTGACAGTGAAGTCTTGCTCCCTTCGCCGATAGCAGAGCCTTCATCGGCGGTAAGTTTAACTTTGAGAGTGCTGGGGGATGAGGGGAGTGTAGGGGGCCAGTCTTCTCGGATTTGCGCCAGAGCAGCTGCATCGCTCAGGTCACTCAGATGATTGCCGCTCCCACCTGGCGGTGCTGGAGCTGACCCTGCACTGCTTGCATTCTGTGCGTGCGAGTCTTCACGGGGGACGTTGAGCATGCCCAGGACTGCAATGGCATCTTCAGCTTCACCGTCAGAGCTGGAGTTAGCTGCAGGAGGCGCGACTTTGGCCGATGCCTGCGGCTGTGCTGCTGCAGTAGCTGGTACATCGTTAGTAGGAGCGGAGGAGGGCCCACCACCAAGGGCTGGATCGATGGCTGGAGGAGCAGGAGGTGCTACGGGCTCAGAGGGAGCAGCTTCTCCTACACCAGGCGCGGCACCACTACCGCTGACGTCGCTGCCGCTACCACTGTCGCCGTGCGCAAAGACTGCCAATGCTTCAGCAGCTCGCTGAGCACTGGTAGACGCCCGGCGTCGTCGCTTTTCGGCAGAGTCGCCAGAAGGTGAGCCCACGTGACGAGAGCGACTTGAGCGCCCAACTTCGTCAGAGCCTTCGTCGAACTCTGCGTCCGACCCCACTTGAGAGCTTTCGTAGTCCTCGTCATCTTCGTCGCTTGCGCCGCCAGAAGCATCAGTTGGCTTCCTGCGTGGTCGTCCCCTCTTCCCAGGTGGGGGCTTGATGAACCCGGGATCGTGGCAGCGAGCGTGACGGTTCAGAGTAGTCCGGCGGGTGAACTGCTTACCACATCCTTGGTACTCGCAGACGTACGGCCTCTTGCCAGAGTGAGTCCTTCGATGGCGGGCCAGCGAGGAGGAATCGGAGAACTTCTTCCCACAGCCAGCGTGTTCACACTCATGGGGCCTCTCTCCACTGTGCACACGGGAATGCACGGTCAGAGCAGACCTCTGTAAGAAGCTCTTGCCACAGCCTGGGTGAAGACAGGGATAAGGGCGTTCTCCAGTGTGGATACGGTTGTGTCGTGCAAGATCTGATCGTCGTGAGAAGGTCTTTTCGCAAGATTCGCATTTGTGAAGCTTGGGCCCTCCTGCATCGTGTTCAGTCTCGCCATCAATGTACTCAGGTGGAGACTTGCGCTTGTTGCGGCGACCTGAGGACGAGGAAGCTCCAGCTCCGTCATTGTCTGCGCGCTTGGAGTTGACATCACTCTGTCGCTTACTCTTGCTCTTCTTAGAGGTCGCAGGCTCATCGACATCCTCGTCCTTGACCTGAGGCTCACTGTGAGGGATCGCGTGGTGTGGATGACCCATCGGATGCTGATGAGCAGGCGCGCCGTAAGGGACAGGAGCAGCCATGGCAGCAGTGCCATAAGGGTAAGGAGGGTACGACTGACTCGGATCGAATGGAGGATAGACTCCATGAGGTGGCATATACATCTGCGCGTATCCACCCTCTAGACCGGGGTAACCAGGCATGCCTCGAGAAACACCAGGAGGCATAAAGTAGCCTGGGGGCCACATGTGACCACCGACAGGGCGAGCCATTTGAGCACCTGGAGGATAGTAGGCATGGTTGGCTGATGCCGATGGGCCAGTGCCAATTTTACTTGCATCATCATCAGGACGCGGGGGTCGAGCACCACTATAGAAGGGCGTGTTCGATGGCTGGATATTCGAGTACGGATGATAGGAGCCGGTGTGGAAGGCGCCTGCCGAAGACGACGAAGGTGATGCTCCAGCTCCTGTCCTCGCGGATGACATGGGAGCAGTGTTGGTAGAAGGCGCGGTGGAGGTCGAGGTCGAGGCCAGCGCTCCGGTTGAGGGGCCTCCTTGGAAGCCAAAGCCGTGGTGCGCGAAGAAGCTTGCGGGCGAGGAGAATCTCTCGGGCTCGTGCAACTGCTTCTGACCGTGTCGCAGACGACCGGCAGTATCCCTTGGCTTACCGGATGTCGAGCCCGCGTCGGAGTGATCGTCATCACCATCAGCGCCTGCAGCGGTATCAGCACCTTCGTCGTCATCTCGCACATCGCGGGCAGCGCTAGAGGCAAATGGTGATGACCGGGCCTCTTGGAACCACGTAGGACTGTCTCTTCCTCCGAAGAGTCCGGGCCGCAGAGAGGTAGCTGCAGGCGAGTTGCGACCTAGGAGATCTCGACGAGGGCTGGAAACGCGAGAAGGGGAGCTATTACGCTGAGCTTCATCGGTAGCTACGCGTGCGAGGTCAGGCAAAAAGGCTGTGGGGTGAACCATTGGGCCAGGGTTGTGTCAAAGAAGAGGAGATGAATCAGTCCGCGTCACCTTCTCCCTACTGTTCCCGAGGGGCTACTCACCTCTGGCAGCATCCGCTTCCTGCTCAGTCGTTGGCACATCGACGCCGGAGTGATAGTGATGGTCACCGGGACTGGCTTTGCGACCTCTCGATTCTTCGAGGCCATCCCCTGCACCACCACGTTGAGGCGAAGAGGGGCGCGAGGCCGAAGTCGAGAATCCCGTGGTACCACTGGACGCGGCGTCCCGTGCAAGCGCGCTAGATCGCGAAGTACCACCCATGGCGAGGCGAGCAGCAGAGTCGCGATAGGGAGTCATGTGTCCTGGTAATGCCAGACCGTGTCGTGGTGATCCGACGGGGGATGGATTGGCAAAGTTGGCGGAAGAGCCCAACCGGGGCGATGATACGGATGGGGCGGAGATGGTGGATGGTACGCGACTTGAGCTCATACCGTTGTCCCAAGCGCCTGGGCGGTGGGAGTGTCGATGCGTTGCAAAGGGATCGATGTTGTGAAGTGCAATTGTCAGCAGCCTACTGTTGCCTTGTACGAAGTTGCTGGTGCTGTGTTGCGAATGGTGCCGTCGAGGAAAAACGCGGATACGGGTGGGCGGATGGCTGGTGCACGCCTGGTCTCGCACAGGGCAGATTTCTTAAGCAAAGGCGTCTGTGTGTCGCTGTGCGTCGGCGATGACGGGTGCAGAGGAGCGTGGCTGGTCTTGAGGAGCGTGAGTGAGGGTGGAAGGATGGTGTTGAGTATCGTGAAGGCAGTGGCGGACCAGTGGGTCGGCGTGGGTAGAATTGTGGTCGTTGATGAGAAAGGGAGGAGGAGAGGCAGGGAGATGGGGCGCCAGGGAGAGGCCCGGGCGGATGTGCTGACGAGGGTCGGCGTGGGAGGCGCGACAGGAGCCCAGCCTGTGTCTCTTGGAGAGTGCGAGTGTGGGTAGGAGGTGTTGCGGGAGAGGAGATTGAGAAGAGTAGGTAGGAGTGACTACGGCGGTGGGTGCGATGGTACCGGATGGGAAGAATGAGCTTCACTGGCGTCGCGGTGGTGGCCGTGGGTGGTTCGGGCGCAGAGGGGTGGAAATGGCGGGTGGCCAGGGCGCTGCGTCTGTGCCCCGCCAATGAAAATTTCCAGCCCTGGTCTGACCGCCGTGTGGCCCAAGCTCACTCTGCATCCGCCTTCAGGCACTAGGCCAGTGTCAGCGCCCTCCCCGCCTAGTCTACCCGCTGTCGTGATCTCCCGTTCCGCTTTTGTGACAGCAACCATGGCGCCGCGCTGCCAAGGCCATTTGCAAAAACGAGTCATGGCCTTGCAGTATAATAGACGACACAAGAAAGCAAAGTAGATACAAGTAGAGCCAGGTCAAGCTGCTGAGCAAGGGAGGAGCATTCGTCAAGATGCCGGCCTGCAATGGTGGTAACGAGGTACTGGCAGCTCAGAGCCAGAAAGCACCGCTTCCCGCATCTGCGCTTGCTGCCGACCCTGCAAGCCCCGCCGACTCCGCACAAGAAGTCCAACGGTACACTCTCAAAGCACTCGACCTACTCACAAACTGGATCGAAAAGGGAGAAAAGGACCGAGCAGTCCCGGCATGCAAGTGGGAGAACAGCACGCATCTACGGAACTCTAGAGAAAAGCACAGCAGCAGCAGCAGCAGCAGCAATGGACAGAATGTGGGTGGTGACGTACAGCTCTCCCAGGTGCCCATGTCAGAGGAGGCCATCTTTGCCTTCCTCGAGCAAACGCTGGAGGACAGCGTCAATCCCTGGACACACCGCTTCCTAGACAAGCTCTACACTATGCCCACCACCCTTTCTCCTGCCCTCGAGTTGATGCTCGGAGCAATGAACGCCTCGGGCGTAGTCAGCTCTGCCTCCCCCGCCCTCTGTCTCGCAGAGGAAAAGGCTGTTGAAGGGCTGGCGCGGCTGATTGGGTGGGATGTCGATAAAGTCGACGGACTCACCATGCCAGGTGGGTCCTCGTCTAATGTCCTGGCTGTGCAGACTGCTTTGGGCAACGCGTTCCCCTCTTTCAAAAGGCAAGGCCTCTTTGGCGTGACTGAGCACTTGATGTCCACTGGTCGAAGTCTCAAGGCCAGCAGGCCAATCATTCTCACTAGTGAGCAGTCACACTACTCGATCGAGAAGGCGGCACTCGCATGTGGCATGGGTCTCGAGTCTGTGCAAAAGGTCAAGTGCGACGCAAATGGCCGTATCAACCTCGCACATCTGGACGAGGTCTTGGCTGGGTTTGAGGATAGTGAAGAGACAGATTCCAGCAGGACTGGGTTCCCTTTCTACATCAACCTCACGGCCGGCACCACGATATTGGGCGCTTTTGACGATATCCAGGGGGCGACCGAGGTGATCCGCAAGTGGGAGGCGAGGAGAGAGAGCAAGAACAGCAGCAGCAACGGCAGCAGCAACGGCGATCGGTCCAGCCCTCAACTCCCCACTCCTACTAAGATTTGGATCCACATAGACGCCTCCTGGGGCGGACCTGTCCTCTTCTCCTCCTCCCTACGCAAACTAATGGACGGTGTCTGCTCCGCCGACTCTCTTACAATCAATCCACACAAAGTCCTCAATATCACGCAACAATGCTCCTTTGCCCTCTTCCGACGCGCTTCAGACTTGACCGTCAACGTTACGGGCGCAAAGTACCTCTTCCATGGTGCCTCCACCTCCTCCACTTCAGATGAAGAGAAGCGTGAATTCCTCCGCCGCAATCCAGGAGCGAAAACAATGGGGTGTGGTCGACGTCCTGATGCCTTCAAGTTCTACGTCGAGTGGCTGCGCGTCTCCACCTTGGGATTCGCAGCGCACGTAGAGCGCGGTGTGGGGTATGCGTACAGCCTTGTCCGGTTGGTGGAGGAGAGGTATGCTGCGACACTAGAAGTGGCAGAGGCGACCCTTGCGGGTGTGCAGACGGGTGGACTCTTCTTGCAGGTCTGCTTTAGACCACGCTTGCCGAGGGGCATTGCAGAGCTCTTCAAGCTCGTACTTCCCGACGAAGATGCTGAGCCGAACGGCCGTGCAGGCGTCCCCTCGCGCTCCTACTCCCTCCTCTCACACAGTACCCACGCCCTGCACGCCAAATTGCGTGCCCTCGGCCGTTTCACAGTGGACAAGGCCCCGCTTGCATACCCTCACGCAGACGTCGGGTACTACATTCGGCTGGTGGCGCACCCCACCACTAGTTTGGCATTGTACGAGGAGCTGGTGGGTGAGGTGGACCGTTTAGGGAGGGAGTACTTCGATGAGCTTAGCGGAAAATTGAAATTGCGGATGGATGGGACGAATGGCGTGGCGGAGGGGAAGAGGCTGAAGAGTTATCTCGATGAGATTGCTGTGGAGGAGTGAAGATGGCGAAGAGATGACAGGCAATGACACTAGACGTGTTGAGAAATTGAGACAACGCATGTTGTATTAGTGGTGCTAATGAGACAGTGAAAGCGTAGCTGAAGCTGGAAGCAATTACAAAAGATTCTGATTCCTCCCTTCTCTGCCACCTCTGAACACATCTAGCAAGTCTAGATTCAAAGATGGCTAGTCTGCGCCTTAATCTCAGCAGCTTCTGCCTCCAGATCCTTCCTCTCAGGCTCGGCCATGTACTCCTCCCACGACCTGATAGGCTGCGATGCCTTCGACGGCACCAGACCGGCCTTGAACACTGCCGGGTCGTGCACCTCGACCGTCTTGGACACATCTGCGCTCGTGCTCGATGTTGCGCTCTTCTCGACTTCCGAACCCTCCACGACTGGAGCAGGGAACTGCTCGGCGAGGGCCTCGACGGCGCCGAGGACTTGCGCGACCATTGGCTCGGGAGCACCGGCGGTGGCGAGGGTGCTCTTGACGAACTCCTTTACGCTGTCCACAGACGTCTCGCCCTTGAGGAGCATCTCCCAGGCCTCGGCAGGAGGCTGTGGAGTTCCCTCTCCACCGGCCGAGAGCTGGGCCTTAAGCGCCTCCGCTGCCTGCGTTGAGAACATCTTGGCCTTGACCTGGCTCTGCACATGCACTGACAGCTTAGCCCGAGTAGGGCTCGAAGGATGGATGTACTGCATGAAGAGCTCCAGCACATCCGACTTTGAGACCTTCTTCAGCGCTTCCACGTCTCGCTCACGAGCCAGGAAATCGTAGTAGCCAGAGTGGATGTGGAACCAGAAGCGAGTGGACTCCTCGCCAAGGTTCTTGACCACCTCGAGCTTCTTGGCGATGAGACTCGCCTTCTGCTTCTCGAATTCTGCAGGGGACATTTCCTCTAGGAGCTTCTTGAACTGCTCGAAGAAGGCCTCGATGCGGGATTCGAGGAAATCGGCATCACGCTCCGACTGGATAATGATCCGGTACCCCATTGAACCGATCGTCCTCCTCACCGACGAGAAGACGAGATAGCCGAGCTGCTCCTTTGTCCTCAGCTGATCAAAGACGGGCTCCGAAGCGATCTGGCTCATGAGACCGAGCGTGGCTCTCTTCTCAACATCGAGAGGGTCACCGACTTGGCAGTAGAGCTCAATGCTGGAGTTGACATTGTCCTTGTTGCTGACTTGTCTCCTCCAGCGGCTGTCGGACGGCGTCGGCAGAATCAATGAGCGTGGCGAGATCAGCTCTGTGGGCGAAAGAGGCTTGGCGGCCAAGGTGGACTCGGCAAGGTCCATGAGTGAGCCTGCTTGGGACTCAGTGAGATTTCCGTGCGCTAGCATCTCGACGTGAAGGCGGGCCAGCAAGTCAGGAATGAACCTCTGGACGTCTGCCGAGGTCATCTCCTTGAGCTCTACAAGCTTCTCTGTCGGAGTCCACATCCTCTCAACTGTGAGATAGGAGGTGTAATAGTTTGCGTGCTGATACGGTGCCTCCTGTCTGAAGTTCTCGTACTGTCGCGAGACCGAATCCTTGATCATCTCAAAACGCACCGGGTCTACCTCGAAGTTCTTGACTGCCTTCAAGACGTAGCTGAGAAGAACAGGCAGCTTGTCATTGTAGCCATCTACACTGATACCGAAACCATCTGCTTGAGCCTCAACGTTGTAGCCAAGACCTGCGAGCTCGGCATCGTAAGCGTACTCGGTCATGGCGTCCTTCAGAAGCTCCACAAACATACGCGACTTGACTGCGTTAGCAGGTGTTGCGTCGATCAGCGGTGAGCGAAGCAGCATGAAGACGTTGGCCTTGGGAAGGAAGAATTGATCATCCTTCTTGTGCCATAAACGGCCCAGAGGAGTCTGCTTGATCAGCTGTGGTCGCTTGGTCACGCCTAGTCGCTTCGACTCATGCTCCTGCTTCGAGCCTCCCGCTAGGTCGAAAGTCTGAGGGATGAAGTTGTTCGGTCCAGGCAAGGCTAGATCTTCGAATTCTGCGCCAGAGGGCTGTTCAAGTAGCTTGCTAGGTAGGGGCGACAGCTTGTATTCAGTGCCGTACCATTTCTCCTTGCGGTCCCACGCCTGAGTGCCGTCAGGACATTCCTGGGCGGCTACTGTGACACGGCATCGCTCGGGGGAGAGGTAGCTAAGCGTCTTCTTGATCAGATCGACGTCGAAGTTGCGGGTCAGATAGGGACCTGACAAGACCCACTCTCGAGGGTATGGGTTCTGCATCTGAGTCGAGAGGCCAGATGCGTAGCTGGATGGTGGGATCTTCTCGCTAAATCGGAAAGCCAAATCGCAGAGACTCGACACTTCGTTGTATGTCCACTGAGGGATGGAAGATTGCTTCAGCAAGTCTAGGTAGCGGAACACAGCCAAGACAACGTTCTCGTAGTTCTTGAGACCTTCTTTGGTCAGGTCGACGCTAATCTTGAAGAACTCGAAGCCGTCTGCGCCGTTCGTGGCCCCCGCGCTCAGGTGGTTGGCCCATCCTCGCTTCTTGAGGTGACTCAAGATGGAACCTTGGCCTTCATGTCCCACAAAGTGCGAGACGAATTGACCAGGCTTTGCTCGAAATTGCGGCGTCTGGTCAGGAATAGGGAAGGTAATGTCTAGCAGTCGGATATCCTTTACGGAGCGGAAGAACACCTGAGTCTTCAGTTGCTCCTCTCCGAGAGGTGAGTTAGGGAAAGTGGGAGCAGCAAGGCCCTTGTTACGCACGCCAGAAAACTTGTCGACCACCCAATCGGTCAACTGATCGAGCGAGTCACGGCCAAGGATGACGAGCTTCATGACGTTGGCTGAGTAGTAGCGATCGTGGAACTTCAGGAGCTCATCGCGGACATCCTGGCCTCGCTGCCTCGGTTGGTCCCACAGCGTCTTGGCGGAGCCAGTACCGAAATGGGAGTACGGGTGGCGGGGGTCCGAGAGAGACTTGTCCAGCTGGAATGCGCGCCAGGTATCTGATTGCAGGTTCTTCTTGTGCTCAGAGTCTACGGCTCGAATCTCCCGCTCTGTACAGCTAGCATCGAAGAGCGGCGTGAGAAAGAATTGTGAGAAGCGATCGAGAGCACCTTCAAGGTGCTGATGGCCAACGTCGAAGAAGTAGTTGGTATTCTCCATTCCAGTGTATGCATTAGATGCGCCAGAGTGATTCGAGAGGTACTCCGAGTATTCGTTCTCTCGAGGGTACTTCTCAGTACCCATGAAAAGAAGATGCTCGCAGAAGTGTGCAAGTCCTTGGAAATCCTCTGGGTCAGAAAGCTGTCCCACGCGGACGTCCATGGCCGCGGAGGCCTTGTCGGTGGTAGGATCACGGATGACGAGGGCCTCAAGGCCATTTGCCAGAGCGATTATGCGATACTCCCTGTCGTCTAGATCGGGTCTCTCCAAATCCTTCGTGAAGAGTGCGTACGGAGCAGAGCTGGATGATGACGAGCTTGCAGAAGGCATATGATCTCTGATCTCGAAGCCTGGAGGAAGGGTATCAAGAGGTGACTGTCCTCCTTGAGCCGAGCCTGGTGCTGCAGTGGCCAACGACCGTGTATTCCGTTGTGTGCTGGTCATGGCTGATGATGCTGATCTAAAAGGTGATGGTAGGGCGGTCGAGGCGTACGAGGTTGGCGCCTTTGAATGAGTAAGTCGGCTGCTCGGTAGTCTCACACTGGAGGCAAGACCGCTGGAGGTAGGTAGACGCTGCAGAGGTCTTTGTATGCTGCAAGGACGGGCTCGAGCAAGTAATGATTGCGCACTGAGGCGCGATCCCAGACGAGCGATGCCTGGCATTCAAGGTAGACACCAGAGGACGAGAAGGACGAGGTGACAGTGCGTTGCAAACAATGTGGCGGGACAAGGGCGGATGCTGATGATGATGATGAACAAAGGGGAGCGGTGGAGCGCCGAGGACACAGTCTATTCCCAATTACGTCGCCGACGGGAGGCCGGCTTACATAAGCACTGCAGATCGCGTCAGGAACGGAGCGTCTTCTATTCTCTCGTGAACCCACTCTTGCCTGTCCTTGGTACCACCTTCTTTACCGTCGCTCATCATCACTTTGGCGATGGCAGACAAGTCCGACCTCCACTACACGGCCAACTCCCAGCTGGAGCACCTTCATGCCCGCTATACCGGCACCATCCACCCTGACATTACTCGCCATGAGTGGCTCGTTCACCAGCACCGAGACACGGCTACCTCCATTGTAGGTCACCCTATGCTGCACTCCTACATTGCTCTGGCAGAGGGAGAGTCCAAGGCGAGGGTCAAGATGGAGCTATGTGAGAAGATGCTGCAGCCATGCGGTCCTCCGCCCGAGCAGGAAGACTAGCTTGCTCAGAGCTATATCGAGATCGCGCAGAAGGCCAACGCATATGCGATCTACGAAGCAATTGTGAGCTCAGCCCCACACCGAGCCTCTTCTGCAAGCATCACAAGTCGCTAAAATTCCATCGAAGCTGCTCAGACAGGTCTTTCTGAATGACAGACAAGGGAAGATAGAAAGTGGACAACAAGAGGAATTGATCTTGAGATATACCAGAAATTCGGCAGGCAATTGGAAAGGAAATCAGAGATCATGCATATGGTGACAAGACAATGCCTTCACAGAAGCAATTTTTTCAACACAAGACTCAGCGAGATTGTCTATCGCATCGCTATGCTCAACTACGCTCAAGCAACCTGGGCAGAAGGAGCGCGGTATGCACTTGGCGGCGGAGCTCGAGCCCGCACCGGCCTGACATTCTCAGATCTCGATACATCTACACCACCTTTTTCGTTCGTCGAAGTCTTCATCTTGATCTCCGCAAGTCTCCTTGTCACCTCGAAGTCCTGATGAGGTGCAGCATCGCTGATCGCTCTTCGGATCCCGATGGAAGATGCAGATCGCAGCGGAGGAGGCATTGGAGTGACGCTTGTCCTACCCATCTTGCCCGCAAGAGCGCTACCTGGTCTAGAAGGAGGGACGGGCAAGTTGAGAGGTATATTTGGACGCTCTGCTGCGCCTCCTAGGGACAGCCTCTTGGAAGCTGCATTGTTCAGTCTTGGCTGAATCTTTGGCGCGGCCAGTGAGGCAATACTGAAGGACTGGGTCTTCTTATGTCCTGGGGTGGTCGAGAAATCTACTGGCTTTCGCTCGCGCATCTGACTGGGTGCTCGCTCAATCATTGCGGCGGTCCTGTCACTTTTGACTGGGGAGCTTCGGCCGCTCGAAGTGGGCATGGGCAGGCTCGTACTTCTAGATGCGGTGGTGGGCGCTGTTACTCTGCTCGGAGAAGTCGTCATTGACGGTGCAATACTACCATTCACGACTCCACCTCTTGCCATGGCCGCCTTGTTCGTTCGTGGAGTGATAGCAGGAGGCTTGAGAGAAGCCAAGTTGGTCGGTGCAAGATCACGTCGGTGGCCAGGCGTGTTAGAGAAGTCTACCGGCTTGCGTTCTCGCGCACCTGTGCTCCTGCTGTCACTTCTGTCGGTGGTCTGGGTGCTCGTGGCGGAAGATCGTGCGCTGTCCACTGATACCATGCTGAGTGATCGAGTTGCAGTGATTCCCGGTCGCAATGCCCCCGTGCCTGTGCCCGCCCCTGCTCCTGCTCCCAGTCGAGCCAAAGAGGCTCGGTTCTGACGGGGCGCAATAGTAGGCTGCGCCAAGCTGGCAACAGAGCAGGCAGTACTGTTCCTTCGATGTCCAGGCGTGTTGGAATAGTCTACTTCCTTCCGAGGTCGCTGATACGTGGGTTGAGCTGATGCGGCAGCTCCACCTCCAGCCCTGACGAGGCTAGCGCGGTTGGCGCGAGGCTTGATGGTGGGCTCGGCGAGTGATTTGGGGAGAGGGACAGTGGCCTTGGGTAGTCCAGATATGCCTACAGGTCCTGCAGTCTCGCTGACTTCAGTCTTGTTGCCTCGGATCCGTGCGTCTGGTAGCTGGATTCCCATCCTGAGCGCAGCTGCCCGGGTCAGCCTTGGCTGTATGGCGGGGGTAGCGAGGGAGGCGGGTACCGGCTTGGCTCTGAACGTCTTGCGCCCTGGCGCGTCAGAGGACAATGCTTCAGTCGTGCTGGTGGACCTCGCCGAAGCTCTTCGTGTCTCGTTGAGCCTGACTATGGAGTTTTCAGCTCCTCCGTCGCTAAGAACCTCTCCGTTATCGGGGTCGAGCGCATCACCTTGCAGCATTGCCTGTATCTGGCTCTGATCAGCGCTCTCGTCCTCCTCATAATTAAGAAGTCCAGTGCCTTGAATCGGCAGGGATTCGTCTGCTTCACAGCTGAAAGACATGTGAAGATCGATGAGCGCCTCCTCCGAAACCAACTCAGGTGCGCATACGGCAATCTGTCTCTGAGCCTGTTGACAAGTGAGAGATCCATAGATCGAGCCCTTGCCATAGGTGGCTCTGAGTCCTTTCGAGCTTCCATTCAGCGACTTGGTGGATCTAGTCGAGCCAGGCGTGGATACATCCCCGCCGAGAAAAGCGTAGTCGTCTTCTTCTTCTTCCTCCTCTGTCTCTCCCGGTCCAATCAGCTCGAGCCAAGTCTCAACCGCTCGGGTCCGTTCCAGGACCATGAAGTGGATAGGCTCTCCAGTCAAATGCTCAATCCAGTATCGAACACCAGTGTCGGAGTGTCCATGGAGCAGCTCGTACAGAAAGTCTACATCATCTGGATAAGACCACTCCTCGTTGCGGGAGAGAAGGACGTCGAAACCAGCTGCGACGAGTTTGGACTCGATGGTGAGGCGGTGTAACTTTGCACAAGTCTTGGTCAGAATGGCAATTGTTCGCGTGGGGACTGAGGAGGCTGAAAATGAGATCGACAGGGCTGAAGGAGCTGGACTGGAGGCGAGCTGGTCGGAAAAGGGGGCCCTCTTTGGGCCCTGCTTGCTAGGAGTGGCCGGTGAAGGAGAGGGCGGGAATGTGATAGTCGCCATGCTGCATCGAAGAGGTCGTGTCGACCAAGAGACCGTGGGCGTGAATGGTATGGTTCGGTACCAAGATGTTGTTGACCGACACGATCCTCCCTGTTACTCCACGGCAATATGTGGCCTACCACAACTCATGACCACCTTGCAGGAACAGACCGCTCAGGGCCATCACAATCTCATCGCGGGCACTGGACGAGTATTCCCGACGCGTCGTGTTGGTTTGTCTCTAGGTGTTGCTCTCGGGCCTTGCATGGCGACGAGGGAGCAAATAAACAGGGGCGCCAAGCGCTCGGACGCCCCTCGGACGCCCTCGCATCGGCACACAGGGGCGAGCAAAGACAATCATCGTGAAAGAAGATCGAATGTCAGGGCGGTCGTGCGAACAGAAAGTAATATCAACAGAGGTATATCGAGGTACATGACGCGACAGGTGCAGAGACAACGAATCAAGAACAGAAAAGGGTCGGGCATACACGGCCTCACCAAGGTGAACCTCGTCGAGGCGTGGGTGAAACTGGTGAGGGGAACGCCGGCGATCCGCCTAGCAATTGACCATCAGTGATCATTTCTTGAGTCCACTGGGCAACCTTGAGAGCACCATAGTCCGCGTCTTCGTCTTCGTCTCCGGGAGATCCGCTCCTATGTACAAGTCAGACGGAAAGAGGAGCAAGCCAGAGGAGACATCAGACAACATCAGTGCAACTACATCTCAGGAGGTCTTGACTTTGAGAGATAGAATGAAGGAAAGAGGAGAGGAAGAGACCAGAAGGATGATGAAGGAATGGTCACATGGCTCTCGCCATATGCCACCACTCACTTGGCTTCCAGTCGGTCGAATTGGGCTTGTGATTGTCGAAGTCGTCGCTCGACATTTTCCTTTTCATCATGCCAGTTGGCAGATGAAGACGGCGGTAGTACGCCTTTGCCGGTGGACCAGCGTTGTTGTTGCAAGACGCCATTTTGGGCGGCGCCTGTGCCCAATTGAGTCTCAAGCTGGACAACGTAGGTCTTCGTTCGCTTCAACTCGCTCATGGCATCTTCAGCCTTGGCCTTGTATGAGGAAGCATTCTGTGTGGCATCAGCGGCGCTTTGTGAGAGGGATGCAAGATCAATCTGCAATTCCTTGACTTTCCGTTGCAAACGTTGATTCTCCTCCGCGGCATTGCTCTGCGTCATTGACCCTAGATCGGTAGAGGGCCGCTTCATAGCAGAGGGTGTCAAGACAGTGGTTCCGCGAAGGGCAGCCGCGCCGTTGCCATTTGCAGCATTGGCCCAAGAGGGTCGATCTGCCGCTGGACTAGCAGCCCCATTGCTACGAGGAAGTTTGTGCATTTGATGGCTCCTCAGCATCTCAGACTTGGCAGCGATGTCAGCCTGCAGTGCCTCATTGCCCATCTGGAGTTCTTCGAGGAGCTTCTGACGGAGCAGTTCGTCCTCGTCCTCTTGACGCTGTGTAGGGTCAGTCGGTAGCGAGCGACTATTGGAGACGAGGTCCTGCAGGTTCTGGAAGGTGTTGCTGTGCGCAATTTGAGAGCGATCCAGTCCCCTCTCCAATTCCAAGATACGCGCTTCGTACTCTTCTCGCGTCCGTTCGAAGGCGAGGTCTTTGCGGCGAGCATTCGATTGAGCCTCGTCTCTTTGGCTGGTGATCGCCTGCAGAGCAGCTTGGAGCTCAGCGACCTTCGACTCGAGGTCCTTGCTGCTCGAAACCTTCGACGCAGAAGTACCGAGATTGCTGAAGGTCTTCTCCGAGCGCGATACACCACCACCACCACCGCTTCGGTTCCACTGGGCCAGCTGCCTGGTCATATCTTCGTTCTCGGACATGATCTTGGCCTTGTGCTTCTCGAGAGCTTTGTGTTGAGTCTTGAGTGCATCAAGCTCGCCCTGAGTCCGCTTAAGCTCTTCGTCCGTCATCCTCTTTGCATGCATGAGGACATGTACGTGCTCGACAACTGTCTTGTGCGTCATCGACTCCGCCTTCTTCAAATCGGCCTTCATATTCGCGAGTTCAGAGCCCTGCTTGGCAAATTCCTTCTCTCTTGCGGTCATGTGCTCTTCGTGGCTGCCGATGGATGCAGCTTGCTTCTCGACGAGCACTTCGAGCTCCTGTCGTCGGCGTGATTCCGCGGCCAGCTTGGACTCTGCCTGCTCTGCCTTCTTACGCCATGCGGACTGAGTCTCCTCGAGATTCAGCATAGCCTCCTCCAATTCTTGGAAAGACTTCGACGTCTCCTCAAGTTGCTTCTCGAGCTGAGCTTTGGCCGTCCTTGTAGATGTCAGCGATGACTCAGCGGTAGAGGCCCTCTGCGCAATACCTTGCAATTCATTCTCTGCGGCACGTAGAGCCTTCTCAGCGATCGAATGAGCGCTAGTGACTTCAGCGAGCTTCTTCTCGTGAGATGACAGCTTACTCGCAAGGTCGCGAGTAGTAGCGGCCATCTCACTTTGCTGCTTTTGCAATGCATCTGATCGCGACTTGTGGACATTGAGCTGCTCAATACTCTGCTGTTTACTGGATGCCAGTTCATCCTGTGAGGAGAGAAGCTGTTTGCGCAAAGTCTGTAGTTCCTCTTCCTTCAGCCTCTGCACCTCAATGCGCTTGGCGTCTTCTGAGGTCTTTGCCTCCATCAGCCTGCGGGTCTCGTCCAGATCTGCTTGCAGCCGGGACCGGGTATCTTGAGTCTTCGCCAACTCGCTCTTGATAATCGTCAGTTCAGCCATAGCGTTGTCGAGCTGAGCTTTCACCTCACTTTGCTGCCGAAGGGCAGCATCCTTTTCTGCCACGAGCTGAGACGATCTGGACGACAGAGTCGAGATCTGAGTATCCTTGTCCTGTATCGATGCTTGCAGAGCAGTGTAAGCACGGGTGACCTCTGTCAGCTCGTACTGAATCTTCCGCACCTGCTCTTGTAACTTGGCAATCTGTGCCTGCGATTCACTTCTTGCGGCGCTTTCCGCTTTGAGCGAGGCCTCCAGCTCTTTACTGCGGCCTGATAGAAGCTTCTGCTGGCGTTCGAATCCATCGCTGCTTTCCTTGATCCTTCGCTCGAGCTCGTTCTTGATGCTGTTGAGTTCTTCGCGTTCCAATGACAGCTTCTGGAATTCTGAGGTCCGCTGACTTAATTGACTGCTTAGGGTAAGCTCTTTTGTCTTCCAAGTCTTCTCTGCAGCTTCCAGCCGTACAAGGTGTTCTGCCGCTTGATCAAATGCCGTTTGCAGCTCCGAGCGAGCGGCTTCCGTGCTCTTTTGAGCAGTCAGTGCTCTCTCGAGTTGGTCGTCCAATTGATCGATGTCGGCTTGCATTGAAGCCAGCTCGTCTTCCAGCGTAGACTCGCGCTGCTTTGACCGCACCAGAAGCTCGTCCTTGTCAGCCAGCAACGCTCTCTCGCTAGCAAGCTCCTCTTCCACTCTCTTCTTCTCGCTCTCCAGGCCAAATCTGAGCGCTTCCAACATCTCTCGCTCTTTCTGGTCCCGCTCCGCCCTTTCAGTGATCATCGCAAGCTCTAATTCCTTCCGCTTGAGCTCCTCATCATGTCGGGTGGCCGTGAGTAGTGGGCGAATCTTGGTGTAGAGCTGCCACCAGGGCCATTCTCGAAGCTGGACGTAGAGCCTGGCATTGCGTTGAATGGTTTTCACTGCTGCAGAACGATTGAGGATCTTCTTCATCTGCCTTCGGGCACTGAACATGCGACAAGCGCCTTGGAAGCGAGCGAAGATGTCGTACAATAGGGCATCTCTGCGAGCTTCGAGCTCTGCTAGAGCTCCTGCCTTGAAGAAGATCTTGGTCAGCCCGATCTTGAACACATCTCGATTCAGTTCGAGGGCTTCTGTCATTCGCTGACAAGCTTTGCGACCATCCATGTAGCCGCGAGGAATGATGTCAGGGGTGAGGACCTCGTATCTCGTCCGGAACTCAGTGAAGAGCAGCCTGTTCGGATAACCAAGTCGAGCAATACGGATACCCTCCAGCACTCCGTTACATCTCAATTGCTCCAGAACCAGGGGCAGATGCATCTTCCCAGGCTTGCGCTCAGCATTGGGCACAATGCAGCGTACGAAGTGGGGTTGGGTGGAAGCCAATTGATTCATCAGCGAATTGAGTTGTTCTTTGTGCTTCTGAGCCAGGGTACGGAACGCTCCACGCTTTGGCCGGCGCTTCACAGGACTGCTGGCTTTGGATGGCGTGCCGAAGTTCTGATCGTCATCTACTGCAAAGTCAGAGAAAAGGCTTGCAATGAAACGGTCGTTCGACTCGGACATCACCCTCGTCAAATTATCGTTGAGAGGATCCTTGTTCTTGTCCAGCCATCCTTCCGTTCTGTACTCGACATTGCCAGCGTAATGCTTGATGGTGAAACCAGCCGCGAAGCGGGATGGGACGTACTTGCTGGAGCCGTGTGCTACTCCACGCTGAGCTGCAGCAGCTGCAGCTGCCTCGTCCTGAGCTGATCCATCCCTCTTAGTAGCCCATGTCCTGTTGCACTTCTCGGTGAAGGTCTCGTCCGTCGCCTTGGGCATGATACACTCCTCGTCTAGGCAGGATAGGATCCCAATCGGCGTTGTGGACTCGATCAGGTCAATCGTAGGTTGCAGGTCGAGTCCGAAGTTGACGAAGTCCCACTCAATGCTCTCACGGGCGTACTCCTCTTGCTCCAATACAAACATGTGATGATTGAAGAACTGCTGTAGCTTCTCATTTGTGTAGTTGATGCAAAGCTGCTCGAATGAGTTGACCTCGAAGATCTCGAAGCCGGCGATGTCCAGCACTCCAATGAAAGTACTTTTGCTCGTCGGGCGATCTAGTGCAGAGTTGATGCGCTCAACGATGGCGCCAAATGTCTTCTCGTACATTGTCTTGCAAAGTGCTGCCGTCTCTTCAAGGACTTGCTTACGAGTTCTGGACTGCGATACCCATTCCCTGCCAGCCTTGACTCGTGGCCTCAGCAGCGCTTTTGTCAACTCTTGTTCTGGCACCCCCAGCAGATGGCAAACCTTCTCGATGTGGGCGGAGTTGTCGATGCGCGCTTGTTCAGCGCCTGAGCGATCTTCTGCAAGCTGAATGTTACCGATCTGCAAGATCGAGGCGACGACACGGAAGAAGTTCAGCTGCTCTTCTGGTGAGAAGCCAACTGTGTCGAGAGCAGTCCTGAGCGCTTTCCACTCCACGCCATCGTCAAGTCCCTCAACGTTTTGCCTAGAGCTTTTGAGGTAAGCGTAGTCTCCCGGGCTTCCTGTGAGCAGCAGCTTCGAAAGAAGATCACGATCGCCACTGCGAAGCAGCTGATAGAAGACGTGGAAGCTCCTCTCCGCTTCACTTCGATTGTGGACACGGGACTTTTCCAGGAGGTACCAGTCAATGTTTGCGCCCGCTATGCATCCTGTAGACGTGAACTCTATCCTGACGAACTTGCCGAACCTACTCGAATTATTGTTGCGGATCGTCTGAGCATTACCGAACGCTTCCAGGATAGGGTTCGCTTGCAGAATCTGTCTTTCCAGAAGACCAAGTTGCTTTGTTCCTTCTCCTTCGCTGCTTGGCATCTTATCCATGGTATACCTAGAACTACCGGCTTTACTGAGGCCATTACGCATTGAGCTGGCACTGCGGGTCAGCGAAGGAGCCTCAGGCGTGAGACTGGATCCTGTTGCTGGTGCCATATCTGCTGCTACTGCCGCCAGATACTGGATGACCTTCTTGGTGTTTTCAGTCTTTCCTGCGCCTGACTCTCCGGTCACGAGAAGACTCTGGTTCTCGCGATTATCGAGCATGTTCCGCATTGCCTCATCTGCGACTGCAAAGACATGAGGGGCATTATCTTCCCTTCTGCGTCCTTTGTAGGCTGCTACGATTGCGTCTGTGTAGATTGGTAGCTGATGATACGGGTTGACCGCGACCAGAAAGAGCCCAGAGTACGTCTGTGGAGAGAACTCAATGAGGTCAGCAGAAGATATATTACTGGCTGGCTGAGCGGCTTCAGCTTATGCTACTCACGTAGATCATTCCTCGCTGATACCTTTGCCGGAGGCAATGCGACACTCCAGCCTCACTCAGGAATGTCAAATCCGCAATGTTCTCACTCAGCTCGAAGCGAGGAGGGTTCTGTTTCGAGATGTCAAAGGCTGGCACGCTTTGATGCTGTACAGAGTCAAGTATGGCGGGGCAGAGAAAGTGAGTTGAGGGTCGTCGATGTCCCTTAGGTCTTGCCAGCAGCCACTCACTGAGCCATCAGGCAGAGCTACCACCACAACCTCTCCATTCTGCTCTTCCCTCACTACCCATCCAGGGAGGTAGCCGGCCTCCTTGTCGGGAACCCAGACGTACTTCTTCGAAGCAAACTCTGCAGCTGCGCCAGCTTCCGCCGCACTGCTGCCAGATGCTCCTCCAGAGTCTGCACTCCCTCTGGGCAGGGCTGCGAGAGTAGCGGATGCATTGCGCACCGACATGACAGCTCAAGCGAAACGAGATCTGCGTCCGGTATAGACCTCAGCAAGAGTACACCTCGATGTTTGAGGTCTGCGTCACAAGGGACGCGGCTGGGGTCGCGTGGCCGCGGAGTGTTGGTCTCCCGATGTTGTTGTTTCGGAGCTCGAGAAGTGATAGCGTAGAGACTCAGAGGGTTTTCTGCGTGCTTCGAGTCAGTAGACAAGGCAGATGCGGAGCGCTGCTCCGGTACGACGTCTGCTGAAGAGCGTTAATGAGCCAGGAGGGTATGGAAAGGGACGATGAAGACAGGAGTGCGAGGAACGTCGTCCAAGACCATCACGGCCTCTTGTCGCCTCGCCTGGCTGCATCAACACCCCTGAGCGCGACCGGACCGGCGCCTCTCAGTCCGTCGTGCGCGGAGTTTGAAGATTTCGGGCACGAGAAATTTGACCGGACGACGGAAGAGGCGTAAAGGATGGCAGCATACATTCTGTCCTTCTCCACCTCCTCAGTACCATCTTCGTCCCACTCAACCATCGCCACCCTCATTCTCACCGGCTCGACGGACACTGTTTCAGACAATCATGCCTGGAATAAAGAGGAAAGCCACTCCTCTGCCGCCCCGGGCATCAACATCCAAGAGCCTGCATCAGCCAACAAAGAAGCAGCTAAGGCCAGCCTCTCCATCCGACGACGATGGTGAGAGCGATTTCGATGACGCAGCAGATCTCATGGCAACCGCCACCACGAGCGCCAACGGCATGGCTGAATTCGAGGGAGCTTATAGCGGCGGCTCTAGTGAAGAAAGCTCAGAAGAGGATCAGGCGGCTGTGACCATGATGTCGGATGAAGACATGGAAGGCGGCTTTGAAGATCTGGAAGAAGGAGAAGAAACAGGGGGTTTCAACAATGGGCGATATGAGGACAGTGACGGAGATGAGGATGACTTCGAGGACCTGGAAGCAGAAGCCCATGAGAGCAGCAAGACTACTAAGCGGAAGGGTGCAAAGAGCAAAGAGGCATTGTACGCACCCCCGACCAACGAAGAGATGCAAGGCTTGCGCGAGACAGGAGAGCTCTTCAAGAGCAATGTGATCAAGCTGCAGGTGAGTATGGTAATATCACGATTTCCTTGAGGTTTTATTTGATGCTCACCTCTCCACTGGACTACCGTATCTCGCCGCAGATCGAAGAGATGCTCGGAACAGTGCGGCCCAGCTATCACAAGGCCGGCCCCCTTGAGCTTGTCCTGCGTCGCCTACATTCTCTCTTTCAGTCGTTGCAGCCTATCGCTCCACAGAGCGTAGCGGAATGCTCAAAGGCCATCCGTTCCGCATATCCCGCTTCCACGAAAGTCGTCATTCCCTTTGCGGAGCCTCAGCCTCAGGCAGATGTGAACTACAAATTAGAATTCGAACCCCCTTCCGGTCTGCAATTGGTAGGCGGCTGGCCCGTCAAGACTTCTTCCCTGCGGCCGCAAGGACTAGACGTGGACGTAGCTGTGGTCATGCCATCTTCCATCTTCCAGGAGAAGGATCATCTGAACTTCCGGTACCACCACAAAAGGGCCTTCTACCTTGCAGTACTAGCCGCCGCCATCTCTTCGTCTGCCAAAGATCTGGGCATCGAGGAGCCGAGGTTTGAGACAGAGGGATCGGACTCGAAGCGGTCCATCATAGTCATCAAACCACTGCGGAACAAAGCAGAGACTGACTTCTCAAAGCTCAAGGCGGAGATCAGGATCCACCTCGCCCATGACCCTTCGCTTTTCCCCTCCGGCCGACTGTCCCCTTCGCGGAACAACATCAGAGCGGCTCAGAGCAAGGACGCAGTGGGAGGCGAGGGGTCTCAGGAACACGTAGCTACACCGCATTACAACGCCTCCATTCTCAGTGATTCTCTAATGGCTGCACACCTTGTGTATTTGCACGCTACAGCAAAGGCATGCGCAGGCTTCGCTGATGCGTGCAGGTTGCTCAAAGTTTGGGCCTTTCAAAGAGGCTTTGGTTCGGGTGCTTTCTCCTCCAAAGGCAAGGCGTCTCAGGCATCGATCAGACGAATGGTGCTCGGAACGGAGTCTACTGGCTTCCTCCTCACTATGATACTTGCTCACCTTCTACATGGCGAAGAGCGGCAGCACGGCCGAGCTGCTCACACCGCCGCCCCTCGTAAGCTGGTCAATAGCTTGAGCAGCTATCAGCTCTTCCGAGGAGTCGTAGACTGGCTTGCTCATCACAACCTTGCCGAGCAACCTGTCTTCATGAAGGCAGCAGACCCAGCTCTTGGTATCTTCTCGCGCTCGGATAAGATCCCTCGTCAAGACTTTGCGCAGCACTTTCAACGGGTGTTTGTAGACCCGACGGGAAGCATCAATCTCCTGACACAATGGCTTCCAGGCTCGGTAGATCTTCTACAGCACGAAGCCCGTCTTACATTTGCTATGTTGGAGGATGCAGAGACCGACCATTTCGACAGCCTTTTCCTCACACAGCGAGCGTCGCCCTTGTTCGTCTTCGACGACTGCGCTCGGATTCCTCTGCCCTCAACTGGCCAGTCAGCGACAGAACGTTTCAGCGCACTTGACACTGGAAGCGCTCGCAATTCCATCAGCCAAGCCATCGAAAAATCAGTCAGGCAAGCCATGGCGCAACGAGCGCGCTTCTGCACCTTCCTTACAACGCACTGCAGCAGTGAGGATCGGTCTTGGTCTGCGGGACAGGCTCGTCCACAGGGGCGTGCAGAAAGCGTGGAATTGGGAATAGTCTACGAAGGCGCGCTAGCGCTTCGCTTGGTGGAGCATGGGCCGACGCCAGAGGAGAAGGAGAAGGCGGCTGATTTCCAGGCATTTTGGGGCGATATTGCTGAATTGCGACGTTTCAAAGATGGCAGGATTCTCTTCAGTATCGTGTGGGAGACAAAGGGACAACACGAGCGCTGGTCCATTCCGCGCAGGATCCTGCGCCATGTCCTGGAGAGGCACCACTCCATCAGAACGAACGGCGTTCACTTTGATGGCGAGGCTCTCACCGGCATGTGCGAGATGCCTGCTTCTCTGGTCGACAAGGTGTTCCTGACTTCTCCTGAAGAGAAAGGCTTCCAGCTCGTGCAGAGTGCATTCGACAGCCTGACCCGTCAGCTGCGCGCAACGGAAGATCTGCCACTGTCTTTGATCAGCATCTCGGCTGCAAGCTCTGGGCTACGCGGGACTTCCGCCTTTGTTCCTGGGCCAACGAATCTTGGGGCTCTTGGCTCCAGAATTCCAGATTGTGCATCGCACATCTCGGCACAAGACATCGTTTTGACTTTCGAATCTTCAGGTCGCTGGCCTGATGATCTGAAGGCGATTCAGGCCATGAAGCTGGCATTCATGGAGCGACTTGCCACTCTCCTACCGACAAAGATCCCAGATTTGCAAGCTCACGTCGCCCTCGATGACGATGCGGAGAACAGCTCGATACAGGACTGTAGCGCCCTGGAGCTGATCTTGCCTTCCGGCTTCGCTTTCCGAGCTCGCATCCACCACGAGCGTGAGAGAGTACTGCTTGAGCGGATAGTGTCGGATCAGCGCTTCGAGACGCCGGCCCGAAGAGAGGAAGCTGCTCGTTGCCTTGCCAGGTGGGAGAGGCGATTTGTGACAGGACCTTCGCACCATGCTGCCTTAGCGACGCTCCAACATCGCTTTGTAGCTTTGAGCGACACGACTCGGCTCGTCAAGCGATGGTTGACTTGCCAGATGCTCGACAGTCAACACGTACCAGAGGAGATTGTTGAGCTCCTATGCACGAGCGTGTTCATCTGTCAGGGCGCAGCAGTCCCCTCTTCTGGCGCTTCTGGCTTTTTGCAAGTCGTCCAGAAGCTCGCCACTTGGAAATGGCGGGACGAGCCTCTGCTTCTCCCTTTGCGAGCGGCTGTCCTCGCTTCGGATGAGACTCCTCTTACAAGCGGTCTCCGTTTCCAGACGGAGAAGCGAACCGAGGCGATGGATGCCTTCAAGAAGACGCGCAGCACAGATCCGAGTATCTCTAACCGAGGCTGGTTCATCGCCACCGAGGAAGATGTCGAGGCTCGCCATTGGGGTGAGCTTGGTCCATCAGGCCCAATCGCTCACTCGATCCAGCAGCTAGCCAAGGGCGTCTGTGCCCTTCTAAGCAGCATCGAAGTAAGCGCTAGCGCACAGGGAGGCATCACCCCCGCCATCGCCCGCGCGCTCTTCACACCCTCGACAAAAGCCTTCGATTTTGCCATTCACCTGCGTCCCCAGGTCCTTCCCCGCTACGGGCAAGGTCTCCAGTCGGATGAGACCTTCTGGACAGCAGGCGCCTCTACCTTCCGCAATCAGCCCCTCAAGGCAGGCGGGCAGCGCACCGTCTACGGTTCCACACCACGCGTCGACTTCGACCCGGCTGCGAAGCTCCTCGCACTGCTCCGCTCCCTGTACGGCGATTCGCTACGCCTCTTCTTTGATCCACACGGTGGAGCGATGATTGGCGGGATGTGGAATCCGGCCTTGGTGGGTGAAGAGCACGGCAGGAAGTTCAAGGTCGGTCTGGGGTACAATAGCGTGCCTGTGCATGGGGAAGAGGGGGGTAAGCTGAGAGATGTCTCGCTGAATACGAAGGCGATTCTTGCTGAGATGGAGAGGTTGGGAGAAGGGCTCATTGAAAGGATCGAGCTGATCAAGTAAAGCGAGGTAGTTGGAGGAGAGGCAAAGGCAGCAGTAGGAACTCGTGCCACAGTACTTGCAATGCTGCACGATGGGGACTCTTGTACAGATGAAGTCGTTAGTCATTACAAGCATTACACAAAGCCATTCTCCCGATCAACAATATTACATGAACATGTCATCGTAGCCACTAGGCGGTCTGACGTCGTCCCAATCAGGATCGCCCCTTCTGCCCTGACCACCTTGCGCGCCTGCCCCACCAGGTCCAAAAGGCCCTCTAGGACCAGCGCCAGGTCCTGCGCCCCAAGGTCCTACTGGGTCGAATCTCGCCCCTGGAGGAACAGCCCCGGGAGGGAGGAAGCCATCACCTCCCCACGGCCCCATAGGTGGTCCGCCAATCCCGCCTACACCGCCGCCGGGGCGCTGGAAGCGATCGCGAAAGATGGGATCGTCCGGTCCTACATACATCCCCCCTCCACCTGTCCCGATTCCCCCAGGATTCCCGCCGAAGAGGGGTGGAGGGCCAAAGCCGCCCATTGCTCCGGGCGGACGAGCGCCCCCAAGTGGGTCTAGATCGCGGTCCCCAATGGCGAGAGGGTTGCGTCCACCTGGGAAGATGAAACCGCGATCACCGGTCCTGTCTGGTAGACGTGGGTCATCTGGATCGGGGAAGGTGGGAGGGGGACGACGGGTCTGGTTTGAGGAAGAGGAAGACGAGCCTGCAGTGGGGTCATCGTCTGCGCCTGTCGATTCTTCGTAACCGTCTTTTCGGAGACCGGGGATGAGCTTCTGGACAATTTTGCCCTTGAAGCCCAGCAAGAGATCGCTGAGTCGCGACGTTGAGATGAAGCCATGCACGAGCGGCTCCTGGGCAGCAGCGCTACTCTCTCCAGCGTCTGCTCCCGCGGAATCCTTCGGGTAGGGGAAGAAGCTAGGGGAAGTGTAATCACCCAGTGGCAGCTCCCACGTTGCCGTCTTGTTCTGCTCTAGCGCACTTGCGTGGATCAAGACACGGGTGCTCATACGGAGCAGCTTGAGAAGAAAGGTGAGGGAGGATTGATCGTGCCTGTAGCGCATGGTGTATGACTCGGACCCATTGCGATTCCAGACGTCGGGCAGTGCATTGGTCTGCGTAGAAGTAGAAGGAGCGCTACTCGAGGATGCCTCATCGGCGGTGGAAGATGAGGCTGCCTTGTAGTCAGAGATGCGATCCTCCTCGGTCAGTCCTACCAGGCGGAAGTCTAGCCTGGTCAGTGCGGCATGGAGGAGAGCGGCAAGTGCATCTTGCGGCTGGCGGAGGCGTAGAGAGCTCCCTTGTATGAGTTGGGTGAGCGTCTCGAGTACTGCGGATGGGTCAAGAGGATCTGGAGCCATACTGGAACGTGGTGCGAGAACAGCTATGGAGTACAGTCGAGAGGTGAACAGTGAGGATATTCATCGGAAGGGCAATGCAATTGTCACTGGGGAAATTGCCGGCTGGGTGGAGGCACGCGCGTCGGCGCACGGTCTCCTTCCGGTCCGACAATCATGCCCGACTCTCCTAGCGTCTGCAGATACTCCTCTCTATCCCACTGGTGATGTCAACTGGAAATTAAGGTACCCAAGGTCCCCAGCATCCATGCCGACGCTCTTCACTGGATCTCGTTAAGTGTTAAGTAGCGTACCTCGCCATTTTACCCCCGCGCCCTGATTGTCAGCATCCGCCGTCCCTACTAGATCCTCCGCCGCGCCTGAAGAGGCACTGCAGCAGTCTTTCCCCGGACGACGAAGCTCGGCACGGACCAATGACATCGCCCATAAGCGAATGGCGCAATCCTTCAGAAATACCCAATCTCGCACGCAATCGGGAAAATCAGCAGACCCCTGGCACTGCTTCCTCGCGATGGAGGTACAAGTATCTTTGATGACTGTCAAGAGTAATGTGATTCTTACTTTTTGCACAATATCTTTCGGGCGGTCCCAGAAGCAGTCGCGGCAGAGGCATCATGAGCGCCGATCGTACCCTCGCTCCTGCACTGCCCGTACCCTCCAGGGACAAGGCCGCGCGTGTCGACAGCATCTCTTCAGGCTCATACCAGGAGCAAATCCACTCAGCCTCTCGTGAGACTTCCTCTGAATCGCCGGAGCCTTCTGATGAAAAGGCTGCAGCTGCAGCTCACCATGGTCGTGAAGGAGTGGATCCAAACCCGGTATATACAGCGGAGGAGGAGCGGAGGTTGGTGCGGAAGATCGACCTGCTTCTGCTGCCTTCGCTGAGCATCTTGTACCTGTTGAGCTTCCTGGACAGGAGCAAGTGAGTAACGGATTCGTCATCTAAGCGTGTTGAGCACGGTCGACTTAAACTTCTTGCTCCTCTCCTTACCTCACCTTAGCATCGGAGCAGCAAAGATCGACGGTATGGCCACCGACCTCCATCTGGGCACTCAATACCCCACTGCTCTCACCCTCTTCTTCGTAGGCTATGTCCTATTCGAGATCCCGGGCAACTGGGGTCTCAAATTGACCAAACCAGCCTTCTGGATGCCCATGACGACAGTCTGCTTCGGGGTCGTCTCACTCACGCAGGGACTAGTGCATAACACCTCGGGACTGTTGGCAGTGAGGTTCTTCTTGGGCGTCTGTGAAGCAAGCTTGTTCCCCGGAACGGTCTTTATATTCTCGCAGTGGTACCTGCGAAAGGAGCGCGTCGTACGTGTGAGCTTCTTCTTCAGCGCAGCTGCTGCAGCGGGCGCATTTGGTGGGATCTTGGCCTACGTGATTGGCTTGATGGACGGAATTGGTGGCAAGCGTGGATGGCAGTGTGAGTATCCAGCGCTCTGAGGAGCTGAGATGGTACTGTACCTGACTCTAGCTGACTTGACCCGCTTCGGCCGCGCTGCGTTGGCTTACGCTCACAGGGATCTTCATCATCGAAGGTCTCCTCACCATCGTCATCGCCGGCATTACCTTTTTCACCATCCCCCACTACCCCTACAAGACCAACTGGTTCAACCCCCGCGAGCTCTCCATCCTCCACCATCGCCTTCGTCAAGATTCCGATGCTCTAGAGGAGGAAGGTTTTAACTGGTCCGGTGCAAAGCAAGCATTCAAAGATCCGCTAGTGTACGGGTTTTGTTTCCTCTTCCATGGTGTGAGCTTCGCACTCTATACCATCTCCCTCTTTGCCCCCTCCATCATACTGGGAATGGGATATACATCTTGGCAAGCGCAACTCCTTACTACACCGCCTTACGTCTTTTCTTTCCTGGTGACAATGCTCGTTGCCTGGACTGCAAAAAGGACAGGGATTCGTGCACCGTACATTCTAGGGAGTATACTGGTGGCCATCCTGGGGTATATTGTCCTCATCACCTCTCCCACGGTAGGAGGGCAGTACACTGCTCTGTTCCTCATCGTCGGTGGAGTCTACCCAGCGGATGCGCTCCTCCTTGCTTGGCCTTCGGAGAATATCGCAGGGGCAACAAAGAGGAATACGGCACTCGCGATGGTCATCTCGATTGGAAACGTGGGCGCAATCATTGGGACACAGCTCTATCGTGAGCCATTGGGAGGGCTGAGCAACGCGGGATATCACGTGTCAGAAGGGCTTACGATCCTTTGGCTCTGCATTGGATTGAGCGCTTGCTCCTTCCTGTGGTGGCGTATGTCGCGCGCTAATGCCTACCGGAAACGGATCCTAGACGGGCAAGCGGAGGGGTCAGAAGGGTTCAGGAGTGAGGCGGAGAAGAGTAAGGAGGAGATTTCGCAGGAGTGGAGAGAGCTGGGTGATCGAAGACTGACGTGGCAATATCAAACGTGAGGGTGTGCGTCATACGTGCGAGTCAGCCCGCTCTATAGACAGTCCCTGATCTAATGCGTAACAGCAGACGACGTGATGCCGACAGTAATTGTATCAAATTTGTCATTGCTCAGCAGTCGTAGTGCGTGACACGCGTCTTTTGATCCTTTCTTCCGCCCCTCGCTTCACATCTTGACCGCCTTGTAAAAGGAGGCATACATATTTACCCGATCAATCGCCTTGCCATCTTTCCTGATATGGATAGGCTGTACCCTGAATCCCATCTTTTCAAACCTCTGCCTGTACCAAGGCTCCTTGGCAGCGCTCCTCCAGAAGACGGCTCCTCCGGGAGCAATGACCCTGCTGAGCTCACGAATTTCGCGGTCCAGGTCAGAGATGGACGTGTTGGCATCGTCCCTGGAGGCCTTGAGGGAGGGGGCGGGGACTTGAGGAGCAATGGGGTCGAACCAGTCCATGTGGTCCATCAGGATTGCGTGAGTGAGGGACCCGTCGCCTAGACCGCGCAGGACGTGCACGATGGAGTCGGTGTGGAGCCTGAAGGCATTCAGTGTCTGCGCTGCTTTCTCTTTGAGCGACTCGAAGGCGTCTCGCTTGAGGTACAGTGGACAAGACTCGTGTGTGTATCGGCCGGTGAGACAGAGGTGGTAGTGGTAGTTGTCGTCTTTGAGCAGGGTGTGTTTGACCACGGGATCGAGAGTGTCGGCGGCAAATTGTCCAGCAGTGACGCCTTCGTTACGGAAGCAATTGTACTGGTTGATAGGAACCCCGAGGGCGTTCCACAGGAACGCAGGGTTAGATAGAACGAGGTTGATGAAGGTCTTGTTGATCAAGATCTTACGTAGATGCTTGGCCCAAATGGACTGTTGCTGCTCGAGAGTTGGAGCTTCACACATGCGTTGTGCCCACTTATTGACGCCTGCCAATTGGAATAGAGTCTTGGCCAAGCGAAGGGCATGGCCAGAGTAGCCCCTGAAGTAGAAGTTGCGGTCCCAGCAGTGCGTGTTGAGACGCCAGAACTGGTAGGCGTGGCTAGACAGGTGAGGTGAGATCTTGCTGTCGAGTAGCTCTGCAAAGTTGTTGCACTTGCCGTGTCCAAACAGACCCCAGAACTCATCGTACGTCAGCGCAGCGATGGAAGCTAGCTTCAGCTCGAGGAGATGACCTTGGCAAGGGTTCATGTCGACACAGTGGATTCGGTGAGGCTTTGCAGCAATGGCGTAGTGAAGAGCATTGTCTCCAGCAGAGGTGATGCAGAGCACGGAATCGGTGGACTTGAGGTTCATGTGCTCAATGTCGACATAGGGGTCCTCCCACGTGAAGCCGTAGATCCAAGTCCTGAACATCTCACTGAATTTGTTGTCGACGAATGGCAAGCGCCAGGTGTGGGATTGATAGTGGAACGAGCTTAGCGGCAGCTTAGGACCTAGATCCAGTCGAACAGCATCGTCGAGGCTGACATCAGATTCTCCCTCCTCGTCCGAGCCCCGACGTCGGACTGAGCTGGAGGTGCTACTCTCGGTGGCCTGGGAATACCGACGCTGTAGGGCTGTAGACTTCGCCGTCCCCTCTTCCTCTTGCTTCTGAGCGAGCATATGAGCAAAGGATAGCTCCGGGAATGAAGGAGGGCAAATGACCCGGTTGCCCGCCTCAATCTCGTAAGCGTGAACGGCCTTGGTTGTGTCTCGGCTGCGAGAGCACCCGATCCACACGTAGAAGGGGATGCGAACGATGAAAGGGATGATGAATCGGTTTCGCCCATTGTAGCACTTGATTGTACCGAATTTGTACTCTAGGTAGTCTCGTCGAGCAGGATGTAGCTCTACGTGGTCTAAGGAGAACCAAGTCCGCCAGAACCAGCGACTGAACCAGCCGCATTCCCTGCGTACGTCACCTCCGACCAAGGCGGTCTGAGGTCCTGGACTGGTCTTGCCCGATACGTAAAAGTCAGCCACTCCAAAGATGCCGGTATCAGGGTCCAGCATGTCATTGATGCGGTCCAGCACGGCATAGAAGGGCGGGATCTGCGGGTACACGAATTGTCAGAACCAGTCCGAAGTGACTACACAAAGCTGCTGAACTATGCTCACCATCGAAATAGAGTAGCTGCATGTGAAGAGATCGACCTTGTGGTCTTCAGGCAACCCAGGCAAGGTAAAACCAGCGGCATCCTGGCAAAGGACCTGCACATTCTTCCAGCCTCTTGAGCGGAACCTTTGCCGAGCCACTTCGAGGAGAGGCTCGCAAAGATCGATGAGATAGATCTGCGATAGCTCCTCGAGTGGAAAGTACTCTGCCATTTGCTCGATATTCCAGCCTGCGAAGTTATAGTGGAGGATTGAGCTTTTCGGTCGCACAAGCAGCATACTAGAGGCAGAGGAGCACTCACCAGTACCTCCCCCAATGTCTACCCAGACCAAAGGCTTTCCGGGATGCTTTGCCTTCATTTCTCGAAGCTGAGCAGCACAGAGCCTAAATTGAGTGACAGGAGACATATTTGGTTGAGTCACTCGAGCTGCTTCAATAAGCGCTACAGCTGCTCTCACTCACTTGAGCATGGTCTTTCGCCCCCGTAGCAGTCCATTGCGCGTCGCGTCGTACACTGGTGAGGCAGCAGAATTTCAGCATTAGCCCCTTTACACTTTCGCTTTTCTAGATCGCTTCACTCACCACTAGCCTGATGCTGGTAGAACCTATCCAACCTCTCACTCTGATTAGCCACCTTCCCAATCGGCTTCAAGAAGCAATTCCACGCAAATGTGAGAGAAGTGCGAGCTGCGTAGGTCGAGCAGAAGCATTGATCAGATCGAGGTCTCCGTCAGCCAGTCGTCAGCTACTTCTCGTCTTGGACAATGCGTCCCCTTCCTCGATGTGAACTCACCGGTCTTTGATGCTCGGAGGACACAGAGGATGACGAGGGCATTAAGGAGGGTGTATTGGAATACGATGGAGGTCATGAAGCTGGGTAGGCCCGAGTGGGCGTCGGGTGCCCACAAGAGTGGGAGGTTCGACATGACCGTAGTAGTGTCAGAGGAGGGTCAGAGATGGAGAGGATGAGGAAGGGAAAGAGGCAGAAGGGGTTGGGTGGAGAAGGTATCCCCCTGTGGAAGCGTGGTTGGCTATAAAGGGCCATTGGCTGGCGCAGAGGGGCGGCTCTCTGGTGCTGCTGCTGCTGCAGGCCCCTCCCTCCTTCTTCCTTCCTTCGTTCCTTCCCCGCATAGCTGGCTCGAGGGAAGGTACAGACTGGCTGAGTGCGTGTGCGTGTGCGTGCCGAGGTGTTGCTGCCATTGCAGTGTGCCGTTGCTTCCAACGTCGTACTAAGACGCTTCTACCCTACACCTTCTTTCCGGAAAGGTGCACGGGCCACGCCACCCCCGCCCCTTGAAACGTGTCCCGAGGCGGTAGGGCACGTTCTGCTCCACCCCTCGACTCGCACCCAACGGCTGCCTTGCCGCGCAAAGTTGCTGCCTTACTCCCTCGGCTGAAGAGATGAAGGATCCTTTCATGGATCCCCGGTTGATGGGGGACATACACACACGCACACGCGCGGACGCGCAAGCGAGGACACCACAGTGGTCTGTTGCACGATAATGACGATGCGTTACCACCTGGCGCGTATAAGCGGCACGCGTCGCATCACGGACTCTGTGTCTGGTTTGGTTTATATACAATCGAGGATTTGCCCTTGCGCACTGCCTGCCTCGACTCTCTCCTTTCTCATTGTGGTCTGCCCCCCGCTCCCGGCTCTTTTCATGCCCATCACCCACACATTTTACCTTACTTGAAGGACGTCGCCTCTGTTGGTGCAAAGATGGGCAATGGATGAGCCTCGGTGTTGAGGACCCACTGTGAGAGCGGCAAAGTGGACTGATCATCGAAGAGCAGATACAGATATTTGAGCGTCTCACTGAGCCAGAAGGTCTCCTGTCAAGGGCAGGTTTACGTGATTCCGAGCATGAGAAAGATTAGCAAGAGGATCACCACATTACGCCGCATTACTGCTCGCTCGCTCACTCACCATCTTGTCTTCGTGCTCTATTGCGTCCAGGTCAGCATCCACATCCTTGATTCCCGCATACGCGCCATTGGGCAGCTTGCAATGCTTCTCAAAGGCCTGGAAGATCTCCCAACCCCACTCGCGATAAATTGGGTCACCGCTAAGATGGAAACCAACAAATAGAGACTCGACTGTTTCCGGCCGCAAGATGTTCCTCGCATCGATCAAGGGCGCAGCTGGCTTACCCTCAACTTCAGGCGCAGGCTGCTTGATATACCAATCTTCTTCCTTGCCCTGAGGATCGTTGGGAGCTCTCCAAAAGGCGATTTCGGGACCGAGACCAGTGCTAGTCTCCTGATACGTAGTCATACACCCTCGCACAATCTCATGTCCTACAGTCCAGTCTTCCTGCTGAACAGCAGAGACGGTCATCGAACCCGACTGGGCGCCTGCGTAGGGAGCCCCAATCTCGTGCGCGCCCAGCATCAGGGCGCCGCCTAGGAAACAGACGAGGTGGTCCTGCTTAGGCAGCAGTCTGAAGACGGGCGCTTGACCCTTGCCCATTACCCTTGGAATGATCTCAGAGGTGAAAAGAAAAGGAGGATCCGAGAAGGTGCTCTTCTGGACCAAGTGCTTCTTGACGCCAGTCATGGAGCGGTCAAACATGTCCCTATACACCTCCTCTGACCGGTTCGTTTGCACGTACTGCTTGATGAGATACTCGAAGTACGAGTCACCTCGAGATCCCAATCGGACCGGTGAAAGGTAGAATTGACCAGTCTCAGCACTGATGAAGATCGGCAATAGACCATCCTGAGTCCCGGTCCTCGTAGCTTCACGCACGGCCGCCATGGGCCGTTCCGCCAAGGTCCATAGACTCTTCTCCTGCAGTAGATGAGAGAGGTATTTGAACTCCATCTGGACCGTAGTAGCTTCAGCTAAGCTCGACGCCCCATTATTGTCCACGTCGACGAATGCTTCGCCAGAGTGGAAGTCGACTTCCCGCTTGGGGATACCAGTCGGCGTGTCGAATGCCGGTCGCAGATGGTGGGAGAGTTGCTCGGCAGTTTCCAAGAACATCTGAGCATCCCCGGGGTCGCAGATCCTGTAAAAGGATGACGTGAGACCTTCGATGTTCGATGGGTGCTCTGTGCAGAGTGCATAAGCGGAGAGAAGACCGCCCAGCGTTCGTATCACTGTCTCGAAGACGTTCATTTTGCCCCTCTTGCCCCACTTGTCAGCACCCCCGTGCAAATTGGTCCGCACCCAATCCCTAGCGCGCTTATACTCTGACTCCTCACCAAAGAGGATGAGTGTATCGAGAGTGTCAATGATTGTGTAGCCCATTCCTCCATCGATACTGAGATTGGATCCTGTGTGGCTCAGAGGATGGTACTCGTCTGAGCCCCATGCCTCGGCAACGTATGCTGACCATGAAGACTGGAAGGCTGCCTTGACAGCATCTCTCTTGCCTTCATCGGCAGTTGTGATGGGGCTCTGGGGCATGCTCCTCGGCTGCACATCGAAGGGAAGGGATGGACGAGATGTGAAGCTCTTGAATTGCAGCTCCAGCTGCTTGATGCGCTGCTCTCGTTCTGATAGCCCTCCTGTGCCACCATCCGACTTTGATGACTGCTCAGCGTTTCCGTGGGCTTTGGAGATTGAGCCCGGCTGGGGGGACACAATGTAATAAGAGTAGTGTGTGTAGCCTACCCAAGCGAGGCACATGGTCGCAAAGCCTAGCAGCATCCCCCGTCGAAGCGGTGTGCCCCATCCAGGAGGCGCGCCAGAAGTCTGTGACTTTGCGTTAGGCTTGGTCGCAGCATCGCTGGACGACTTTGTGGCGGCCTGATTGCGCCTACGGGTAGCCATGCTATACGTGGAGTGGAACCCTTAGGATGCGAATGTCAGGAAGGAACAGAACGACAACTGCATCAGCGGAAGTGACAACCTGGCGGACGCGATGTGGGCGTCAGCCGACACGGAACGGAAGCCTTCTGAGTCCTGTCCTCCTTCCCCTCAGTGCACGAAGGGTTTCGCCTCATCGCCGCATACATCATCATTGGCCGGTAGCGATGAGGACAGGATGTCCCACGATGCTCATAGAGTGCCTATCACCTTCCGTCATCTGGTGAGCGCTGGAAGTCTCAATGCCTCAAACCCTCTGCGCGTCATCTCTCTGGTTGACGTCGACGCGGCTTACGCTCAATTCGAAGCTTCGCGCCTCGGAGTGGATTCGTCAGTGGTACCCCTCGCGGTACAACAGTGGAACGGTCTCATCGCAATCTCGTATGCTGCGAGGAAGTTTGGTATTACCAGACATGAGACAGTTGAGTCAGCCAAGGAGAAATGTCCTGAGATCCGGCTAGTCCATGTGGCCACTTATGCAGAAGGGGCTCAGAGGGCGGAATACAATGAGGATCCGAGTCCAACGACCCACAAGGTCTCCCTCGACCCTTATCGCCGGGAGTCCCGCAAGATCGTCGCCATCTTTGACGAGATGTGCCCTTTGGGAGCCGTCGAGAAAGCTTCCATCGATGAGCTCTACTGCGATTTGACTCTCGCAGTGAGGCAGGTCATCCTCCAGAGGTTTCCCGAACTTGCTCGTCCACCGGCCAACTCCCCTCTGGGACTCGATACCCCACTCCCGCCGCCGCCCAAAATCGACTGGACTGATCTGGGCTATCGCGTCCCGACAGAGGGGGCTCACCAAGAATCGGCAGAGGGAGATGATGCGAAGGACGCACAGGAAGCGGACAAGCAGGCTTCACGGCAGGAAGAGCTGCAGGAGAGCGTGAGGGAAGAGATTGCCGCAGACACCTTCAAGACAGCCGCTATCAATTCGTCGCCCCCGCTCGTCCAGCAAGCCGCATCTTGGACCGATTACGCCTTGGCTTGCGGCGCCGAGCTCATCCTCAAGATTCGGCAAGAGGTCATGGATCGGCTTGGCTACACGATGTCAGCTGGTATTGCCCCGAACAAGACCCTGGCGAAGCTCTCCGCCGGAATGAAGAAGCCCAATTGCCAGACTATTCTCGTCCCTGGCGCCATTCACGCTTACCTGAAGGACCTACCTTTCCAGAAGATCCGCTTCCTCGGCGGCAAGCTTGGAGACGCGATTGCAAAGGAGTGGGAGCGATCGACGGTGGGCGATTTATGGTCTGTGACTCTTGCAGAGCTGCAAGAGAAGGTGGGGGACGAGTCAAAGTGGGTCTATGATGTTCTGCGTGGTATCGATCATACGCCGGTCATTGAGAGGACGGCAAATAAAACGATGCTGGCATCCAAGAATGTCAAGCCACCGATACGGACGCTGCAGGAGGCTCAGAGGTGGATCTCGATTCTTTCCTTGGAACTGTGTGTTCGACTGAAAGAGGCTAGGGAAGAATCGCCCAACATTTGGCCTTCGACCATGGTCTTGCGATACCTCAAGGCAGGGGAGACTGCCCGAAGTCGCCAGTCTAGCTTTCCCTTTGTGAGGGATCTCAAGCCCGAGAGCGTCGCGGTCGTTGCTGAGCGCCTCTGGGGAGAGGCTGTCGGGGAGCAGATGTCCAGCGGGAAGCAGCTGTCTGAGATCATCGTTATTGCGCTCGGCTTTTCGGGCTTAGAGGCCGGCGAGCAAGGGCAGAGAAGCATTGAAGGCTTCTTCACCAGCAAAGCAGCTGCCTCGAATGCAAAAGTCCCTGCGCTAGCTGCAGCATCCCCGCCGATACCGCAAACAATCTCTTCGAAGCGCGAGCGTGCTTTGGAAGGCGAGACGATGGAAGGCAAGGGAGAAGACGGGCGGTCACCCTCGCCACTGGGCGTTGTCAATGGAACGATTGGCGAGCCGTCGGCGAAAAAGATCAAAAAGGTCAAAGCCTCCGGTCTTCAGTCGCTCTTCCAGAAGGCTGCAGAAGTGACATCTCCCCTGCAGCCTGAAGCAGCGCAGCCTTCAGTGGCGCAAGATGCTAGTCTGGACAGTGTGTCCCCTGCACCACTCACCGAGGAAGCGCCGTCGATGCCATCCTGGACTTGTCCCGAGTGTCAAGCAAAGATCCTGCCGCGAGCGCATGTCGGAGAGCCAGGTCGAGCGGAGGAGGGGGAAGATTCAGACAGACGACTAGCACAAGCAAAGCAGGACCATGAAGACTGGCATTTCGCCGTCAACCTGCAGAAGGAGCACAGTGCAGCGTTGCAACCCAGAGGAAGTTTGGGCCCTTCGGCTTCCCAAGCTCCAGCTTCCCAAAGAAGTGCGTCGCAGAAGGGCGGCGGCGGCAAGGGGTCGAAGGACAAGAAGGCGAACAAGAACGCTATTCAGAATTTCTTCAAGAAAGGAGGCTGAGAGGTGGTACGGGTTCAAGAGTGGAGAGGACACTTTGTTGTTATATACCTGCATTGTACACTGCACATTCCGCTAACATGCAACTGATACCATAGACATACATTGACGCTCGTGAGAAGTGAGCCTCCTGAGAGATGCTACCCTTTCGCGCCTCGGGCAGAGCCAAGCCGGGTCTGAATCGGCTCGGCATTTCCGTCGCCGGCGACTTCAAGGCGAGCAACGACTTGTCACACCTGCACCTTGATTGATTCACACGACACGACTCAGCGCACTCGAGCTCAATCACTGAGGCCACAAAATCTCATCATCGATCCAATGCTTTCACCAATCACCTTCGGCACCTTCATTCTCGTCGCAATCTTTGGTCTCGCCGGCCTCCACTCCATTCTTACGTGGTAGATCGAGACCTGACCCGCCATGGCTAGGATCATCTCTGACGATTCTCGTCCCACTGGCCGCCCTGGAAGGAGAAGCTCTGCCAAAGACAAGAAACCTCCGCCATTGATCTCGTACCTCATTTTCCTACTCCCCGCTCTCGCCTTTGCCATTGGCTTCTATGCCCACTACACTTCCGTCCACGCTTCTCCATACGACAGGCTCGCCTCGTTGCAGAAGCTCTCACCTCCAGAACTTCGAGTCAAAGCTGGCCTGCCCGCCGAGTTCGGACAATGGTTGGACTCATACCCCTTTGCAAAACTGCCCTGGCTCCTTGATGTGATCTTCGGAGATCTCATGTCACACAACATGGGCAAAGGCCTCTTCACGCTCGTCCTCTCCGCCGCTACGACTCCCTTTGCCGCACTGATCTTCGATGCTCTACGACCAGGTACGCCTCTTATGCTTGGCATCGGATACCTCCTCTTGGTGTGCCTGATTGGACAGATTGTGATGATAGGCTTTGCGATCCCTGCCTTCTTCCTCCCCGTCTGGACTTGGTACACCTGGAGGCAAGCCACTCACTCGCCAAAAGTGATGCGACCTTTACCCTCACCACCAATGCCCCAGATCAAGACTGCGAGTGTGGCACTTGGGCTATCGATTCTGACTGCCGTGTGGACTCTCTTGGTACCCCCTTCGAGCAGCAAGCACTTCTTCTGGGCTTCATCGGCCTTCCAACTTTACCCACTGGTCTGGTTGCCTCTGCTGTTCATCAAGCCTGTAGAGCCGACGAAAGCTCCCAAGAGCCCACGTCTGGCAGCTGCAAACGTTCTCATGCTTATGGCTTATGTCAATATCCCCATTGTAAGTGTTGTAAAGAAGTCAATGGACCGAAGCTCAGGCATGGTATCTCGCTGTCGTGCTCGCTCTTCTGACAGTACACTTTCCTTTGCGTTCGCTCGCTTCATCAGTACTGGCTCGGTCTCTATCTCTGTGTCCCAGATCTGCTAACAATTATGCGCACCGGCTCAGGCTGGCCAGACGACATCACACGCCTCATCTTCTACGACACTGTTGCTCTTACCCTCGCATGGTACATCATGGTTCTGATTCAAGCTGAAGTCGATGTTCGCGCCCTTCAATGCGGCGGTCCCCGAGTGCATAGGGCTCGTCTGTTCATCGAAGATACAGTCTTTGGGAGCGTGGGTGCTGTGCTGGGAGGTCCTGGCTTTGGCATGGGCATGTACTTTGCTAGGAGGGAAATCATGGCAGAGAAGGCGAGGTGGGGAGTCCAACCAGATTTTGCAACCGCTGGCAAGGAGGTGAAAGGAGCTGAGGGCAAGAAATGAAAATCGCGCGTATACGTTGACAATCCATACTGTCCTGGTCTACCATCGTCTGAAGTAGATTTACCATGGCATGGCGTAGCTCGAGACGCAGGCCAAATTACTTGTCCACGTCGTGTGTCCCTAATCGGTTTCTAGCAAGAGATGCCGCCATTTCCCACGCGCTTGGCGGGAAGCTGCCAGTGTGACGTCAAATTGTGGAGCCGATCATGCAAGGCAGTGCCGCACTTCGACGCCCCCAAGCTGCTCCCAGTTGAAGCTCAAGTCGCTGGCGGACATTTTCTCTGGTGTTGCACTGGACGGGTAATCTCCCGTCCTACCATATCCAATCATCTCTGAAGCTACTACATTCTACGTGATGACCACGGCCGCTACAGGCGAGGAACAAGCTGGTCCAGCCGCGTCCCAGGCCCCTGCCGGTATCGTGCAGCGGGCAGCAGACATGGGAGCGGATGCAGCTACCAGCGTAGCCAACAGTGGCTTTGCCCAAAGTGCCTCCAATGCCGTTTCTTCAGCTGGCGACTCCGTTGCCAATGCTACCGCCAGGGCCTTGGGCGATTCGGCTACAACAGCTCACGAGTCGGGAGATCATCATGAGAAGGACCATGGTGAGATCCCCAAGGCTCATCCCAATGATGTTCCCGATCGCATGAAGGACCATCCGCACCTCGATCACCCTCCTGCCGTCGCTTCTGGCGATGAGGTTCGCCCCGCCGAGCCAGAAATTCAGGATCTTGGATGGAGCGAGGATCCCAAAGTGCCTCAACCGGTCATCTTTGGAGCTACCAATGAGAATGTCTGGGTGCTGGTTCGTCGATTCAACAAGCAGGTCTACCATGTCAAAGCGCTGCCTCATCCGCCTCCCGGCGAGCTCGACTGCAACATTGCAGATAAGGACGAATTCTTTCCCGATAAGCTACGATCGACTCTGGAAAGATGTTACACCACCGTTGGTATTGGTATGATCTCCCTCTTCACCCACATCGCACGTGTACGATCCTGGAAGGAGACGAGGAGGACTGCCCTTTTTGCCGGCATCTACTTCATCGCCTTCATCTTCGGCTACCTCGTGACCACCTTCAGCGCCTTTCTCTTGCTCCTCTTTGTCTCTCCACGTGCTCGCACCATCCTCTTCCCGCCTGCTCCACTAGCTGCCATTTCCAGCAAAGGAACAGCGCAGGTACCCAAGTCGGGCCACCTAGGCAGCACAGACTCGGCTACTGGAGCAGCAGAGTCGTACAAGGGTGAAGCGGTCGAGCAGGAAGCTAGCAATCTCGTCAGCTCCATCTCCTCTGTGGCTGTCTCGACGGCAGTAGGCAAAGGCGCCCCTTCCGTCGATGATGCACACCCAGACGACATCGATGAGGAAGACTCTGAAAAGGGACGAGCGACCGAAGAAGCTCTGCCTGACCCGACCCAGGTGGCCAAGAAGGGTGCGGAAGCCAAGAGCAAGGCTGCGGGCGATCCGAAGCTGGAAAAGGGCGACCATACTGCTGGGGCCGTCGATCACTCTGTCTGGACTCAGCTGCAGCCCATCCTACACGCCCTGGAGGATGTAGCTGACACCTGGGAGCGATTCGGCAATGCCCTCAGTCCCACCCCTCCCTTCCATCAGTACCGCAACCGAGTCTTCATCGCAGCTGCTCTCGTCTTGCCAATCTTCCTCCTGAGTCTCTTCGTCACCCCCTGGATGGTCTATCATGGCACCGCCTTCGGCATTGGTTTCGGCTTCTTTGGTCAACCAGCCTTCGATGCCGTCAAGCTTAGTGATGCACGCAAGTGGCTCGACAAGAATTTCCCCAAGTGGAAGGAAGCACTGCAGCTCAGGAACAGTCTACTCAAGGGAGTGCCTACGAATGCCCAGCTCACAATTACTCTTCTGCGTATCGCCGAGGCGGCCAAGAGTCCTCTACCACCACCACCACCTCCTATTGCTGCGCCCAAGCCCGAAGCTTCACAGGGAAACGAAATGGCCGGAGATGTACCTCCCGAGTACCAGCAGGAGATGAAGGAAGCCGTGCACGAAGGTCGCGGCGATGCTGCTCCCAAGCCCGATGGATCTACGACGTCTGCTCCGGACGCGGCAACTACAAAGAAGAAGTCTGGCAGCAAGCGAAGTTTGCTCATGGGCTTCTTCAAGGGAACGGTTGCTGGTGGTACCCAAGGTGTACTCACAGCCAATAGCGCAAAGGCCGTTGTTGGTTCCAATGTTTCGAAGAATCGTCTAGGTGTCGTCAAGAAGAATCTCCAGCAGGAAGCACGAGGAGATGGTCCTTCGTCCTTCAAGGGCCGACACAAGGGGAAGAGGGGCTACGTCGATGTCATCACTACCGCTGCTACACCCTGCGTCGTCTTTGAACCCGAGTGGGGAGCCCACGCCCGTGCGGCCCAAGCCGCAGTGGATGCAGTTCCTACAAAGGGGGACGAGGAAGGAGGCACAGAAGCCGATTCTGCCGCTACAAAGCAGACGCGTTCTGCCCTTCAAGCAGCTCTGGATGTGGCTCGACCTAAAGCACACTTTTCAGTCCAAATCGATGAAATTGTTGAATTGCGTAAAATTGGTGGATTAGGTTGGAAGGGGAAGATCATCGTTGGTTGGGCTCTTTCCAGTGAGATTGCAGATGGATTGGAGATCACCACTGTTACCGGTGAGAGGATTCGATTGACTGCTATGCCTAGACGGGATGAAGTCTTCAATAGGCTCGTCTCTTTGGGCAAGCAGCAGTGGGAGATGTGGTGAGCCACACACTAGGAAGGCTGTGCTGGTAACAGCTCGAGAACGTGAGGGTCTTGTGTGCTTCGCGGATCAACACGGCTTCGTACACCTACTTTTTATTGGCCAGCATCCAAGATTTGTATTACTCCACCTATTAGCTCCCTTTCTTCCTCCCTCTTGCAATAGATTGTCTCCGACTCACAACATCTACTTCTGCCTTCTTCGCTTCTTCATTGTTTGCACCAGACAGCTCAGCATGGAAGAGACATGGGAAGGGTATGATTGAACGGTGACTAAGTGAAAAGCGAACAAAGACGACGTACAGACTATGACCTAGGTGACTGAGGAAAAGAGGTGACTAGAGCAAACAGAGGGAACAAGTCGACTGCTGAATGGCAGTCATAAGAGAGGCTAAAAGGGGGAGAAAAGGAGAGCTGAAAATGGCGGACAGGGAGGGAAAGGGAAGGATACATGTAGATTAAGGCAGAAGAGAGGGTGAGAAGGGAAGCGTGACTCGCCTCGACCTTTGGGTGCTCCTATACAGGAGTATAAATCAGGAAATACTTGGTGGAAGAAAGCAACGAGGGGACGATGCCGAGCATCCGGTGTAGAGGGGACTTTTCCCCATCTATGGGAAACGTCTACGACTTGATGACTCCTGTCTGTCTATTTTGGTCCAGGAGCTGGAATACCAAGAAGAGCCTGCTCCAAACGATTCTTTGCTTGGCCTAGGCTGAGGAGGCGTGGTCGGGGCGACCAGCGAGGAGACCCGGCTATTGTTGAGCCGTTCTTGTCCGCACTGGGAGCAGGCTCCGATGCTCTGTAAGGCTCACAACTGGTGCGAGACGTCGTGTCATACGAGTCTCCTTGACTGTCTCCGCCAGCTTCCAGAAGACTGCCAAAAGCTCTTGCAGTCTGACTGACACTTGTGCGACGACCCACGAAAGTCCACGATGGTCGACGGAGGAAAGTGCTGTCCGACGAGGTACTTGGAGAAGCTAGTGAAGGGCCCAGAGGAGCCAGGCACGCTGCATTCTCGTCGACTGATGAAGGACCCAGCAAGCCAATCTTCGGAGGAGTAGTGGAGGCGACATTGGGGAACCCAATGTTCTGAGCGACAGGAGACGTCACGGTCCCTAGGATTCCGCTCATGACGCTCGACCTCCTTCTCCCCGCCCTGGAATCGGCGTGAGGGACATCCACACTGAAGTGCTTTGCCCTTGCGTCTTTGGAAACCTGCATGTCTTGCTCGTCTAGCAAGATCTCAGTCTCGTTCGTCTCCTCACAGCTGCTCTCTGAGCCTGTGCCTTCGTCCGAGGCGAGATCTGCAAGGATGCGAGCTTGAATGTGCGAGTTCGAGCTAGAAGGACAGGAGTCCGCTGAGTCGGAGCGTGACGAGGCACACAGTCGGGGTCGATATTCTTGAGGACCAGGAAGAGCGAGAGATGTAGCAGACAAGTAAGCAGAAGAGGAAGATGTGGATGAGATCCACCCAGCGGGGACAGCGCTGTTCTCTTGCTGGTCCGCTGAGGCGGCAGACGTCTGCCATACGCCTGGTTCCCTACTGTCCTCGACGGAGCCCTTGTGGAGTCCAAGCATCGACGATGCGTCGGCGGTCTCCATGTGGTTTCCTTTTGGAGCGACAGCAATCGAGCCCGTCGCAGGGTCAGACGGCAGCTGACTTTGGGTATACCTTTGCCTGCTTCGGAAGGGGTCGCTTGTTTCTTGCTCAACTTCAGGTCGGGCGCCCGCATCCTGCTGACCCCTCTCATTTGCGACGTAGTTCAGAGCCCAGTCGAGGTACAGAAGCTTCTCAGGACTCAGCGTGCCTCGAGGCAACCTGGGCATGCCATACTTGGTGTGAGGAGTCATAGGAGGTGCAGCAACGGCGAGAATGGCGTTGGCTTGCGCCGGAGAGAAGCCCACGGAGATGGCGGCTGCGAAGCGAGCGGAAGGTTGAAAGGGCTGGTTGACACGATGACGGTACATCGGCGCTTGGGAGTGCGTAGGCAAGTAAGAGGTACCAGCCGAGGCGGTATGGAGCTGTCGTGCGTACTCTAGTCTTCTTATTGCTGCTTGCGGATCGGTATCATCGACAATCGTTGAAGCTGAAGGCAGTGAGGGAAGTGCCGAAGGAGATCGCTGCTGACTTGGGGCAGGACGAGGAGGGATGGTGGAGACGGGATCTACAGAGGCAGACCTTTCCTTGTTACTCTTCTTTGAGCCAAAGACCTTGGCGAGGGAGAAGCTTCTGCCGCGAGAGCTCGACGGGGCTTCGCCTGCATTCGCCTGTGAGTCTTCATGGAGCGGTACTAGACGCATCTTCGGCGAGGGGCCGCTGGCGAGCGATGTGGGGCTGAGGACGCGCGAATGTCTTCGAGTGACCCTTGTAGGGCTGCTGGCCCAATCTTCTTTGGAGGTTGGGTAGGATGGAAGTGAGCTGAGAAGATCAGCCGACGTGTCGGTGAGACGAGGAGCTGAATCCATCGTCGTCATTGTCAGAGGGGCACGCCTTGGCAGGGGCGGCGGCAGGACGACAGTCTTGTTCCTCTCTTTGCTACCACGTCCTCTCGGCCCGGCTGATCCTTGTGCCTGGAGACTGCAGGAGTGGCTGATGGCGGTGCTCGAGGAACGGTGCCTTGAACGCTGCCAGGAACAGTGGCCGACCTTGTTTGCTCCCGAGACGTAACTAGGCGCACCGGGATTGATGTCTGCAGAGCCAAAGACGAGACGAAGCAAAGTGGAGTGGCGGATCTGGCAATGGCAGAGGTGATTGTTAAGGTAGTAGGAGTATCGAGGACGGAGGGAAGGAGAGAGGCGAGCCTGTAATGGAAATATGGGCAAAGGGAGGATGGAGGAGGGGGTTTCAGGACGAGAGGGAGGGGACCAAGGTAGTAAAGGTCCAGTGAAATCGCCGGCGTAGAGAAGAGGAGCTGGATCGCGGTCCAGGGTCGTCCGCACCCCGACAGCCAAGGACGAAGGAAAGGAGTGAAGGTGATCGTGCAAGCGAGGCCAAGGGTGCGGGGATGGATGCAAGCAAGCAGGGATCCGGACACAATGAGGAATCGCGACTGCTCTCAGGCCCTCCTTGTCACTCTTCCCCCTTTGCACGACGGCGTCTCCGATGCCATGCGACGAGGACGGAGCTGCTTCACCACTATTCCCTGATCCATTTCACCAACCCCGTCTACGCCTTGTCCCGCCCCGACGCCCGGATCGCTCCGCCTACGACTCACGGAGGAGGCGGCGGTGGGGGCGGCGAGCTGGAGCAAGTGAACAAAGGTGAGAGAGAGAACGGGGCACAAGCAAGCAGCTGCACAAGGGAGAGGGGCGAGACGAAAAAGATCGGCTAGGCCCGGCCCTGTGGCAGTAGGCCTACCCCGCCTTTACGCTGGGCGCAAGGGGGCTACTTGGCTGCCATCCAAAGGTGGGTTGGGTAGCGCCTCGCTTCAGCAGCCCAAGTTAAATTGTCCATTTCGGCTTTGCGGGGTCGCAAGCAGGCGGGCGGCAGAGGAGGTGGTCAAGTGCTCCTGTGCAGTGGCGTACTCGCGTGGCTTGCGTTGGCGCATAGATTGATTTAGACGTCTGAACCCTCGCCTCAGGAGGCCTCCTCCTCCCACCGCCGCCCTTTCCGCGCAGCGCCCGCCCGAGAGTATAGATGAGCGGGGTGCATACATAGCCAACGGGTTATTGAATGACTGCAGCTGGGGGCCAGGCATCGACATCGACGACAATGACAATGACAACGACGTCCACTTCGGCATCGGCATCGGCATCGGCGGGGCGGTGTCGGCTTTTTGCGCTTTCCTCTGATCATCTGCTCTACCTTCATCCACGGGCTATGCTCATTCTTGCCTCTCGCCCCTCTCTCTTCCGTACGAAACGCGCCAGCCCGGCCCCTTCTCGCGACGCGTTCAAAGCCACCTTCGTGTAAACTTGCCGCCCATGTTTGCCGATGCTGAGAAACTGGAACAAACAAATTCAAGAAAAGCGAAGATAAGACGGCGGGTATATTGGGCAATGAAAACAAGGCGCGCAGTCCAACCGACAAAGACATGAAGAGGACAAAGCGCCTCGTTGCACTTTGCTCAGGAGAACAAAGCGCCGCGTGCCCAAAAGTGCACGGAGCAGGAGCAGGGGCCTCTTTCGAACTAGCGGCTATCTCGAACTAGCGGCTATCTCGAGCTGGCGTCTCGAGAGGGAAAAAGTTCTTCGACAAAGATGTCGAGGAAGGTATAGATCAGATGTCGATTCAATCGTCGATTTTGTGTGACGGTATTGAACAATCGCCGTGCGCCCTTTCTGGCCTTCTCCCTCCCCACTAGAGAGGCCATCTGGGGTAGCAGCAGGTCAATCTTCGACCTCGCTCGCTGCTTCAGCGCCTCGCTCGCCGCTGGAGCTCTCGTCACTTTGGGACCTGCCTCCCGTAAGACGCCGCCGGGCCAGAGGCTCTCTTGTAAAGAGTTCAGCAGGCCCACTAGGTAGTCTTCCGAAGTTAGCTGTCGAAGGCGCGTGCGCACCTGACGGTCAATAGTACCTCCCAGAACCTGTTGGACTACGACGGCAATTGCCGTTCTTCTCCATTCATCTTGTCGCAGGTCCAGCAGCTCTACAAGCAGGTCCACCAGCGGACCCGTGATAACGCCATTCCCAGGCTTGCTTGCTGATGCGGCCTCTTTTGCCTGAGCTTGTGTCACCGATAGTCCGGGGATTGCATTCGTAATGGTGGCCTCCGCACCTGCTCCTGCTCCTGCTGCTGAGCCCGATAGATGGTGGGACAGGACATCCACAAGTGGAGTGGTACCGAAAAAGAGGTCGTCGACGCCGCGAAGCAAGTCTCGAACGAGAGCCTGACCCGGAAAGGAGAGCTTGGACCCGGAGAGTGCAGCAGTGGCGCTGTTCTGGTGTGATGGTAGCATGACAAAGGGGCCTTCTCGGAGAAAACGTCTCAAAACGCCCTGCGAACAGGCTTCCGGAGACGCTACGACTCTCTGCAGATATTTCTCCAATCCGTTTCGACGAGTCTCTACAAATCCTGGAGTGAAATTGAGGGCTACGAGTCTCTTGCCCGGAAACAGTGCATCGATGGCTGCGTGCTGAGGGAGATTTGCTGCCAGCAGGGCCGAGTGAAGTAGGTCGAACTCGGAGTATCGGCGATGGCATGTCCAGGTCGCCACTTGCCCTTCGCCACCCCTAGGCCTGATACACACGAGGATGTGATAAACATTGTAGGTCTTTCCGTCCGCATCTGTCTTGACCGTAGATGTGGGAATCGTTACGGAGGTGCGAGCGGCTTCTAGGGCATAGCGCTCGACGTCCTTGAGATGCGCGCTGACTACTTCCAGCTCGCGCCTGACGGATGCAATGCTCTTTTCCACCAGCTGTTGCTCTTTCAGAGCCTCGCCCATGAGCTCGTATTGAGTCTCTAGCTTCGACAGGACATCCAGTTGCGATGTCAGCATCTGTTGTTTCTTTCGTAATCGATCAGCCTCTTCCCCTTCCAGGTCGACTGTGATGCTCTGCCCCGTTGCGGCTGCTTTCTGGCGACTGTCCTCGTCAAAAGAGGCCACACGATTGGTGGTAGCAGCTGTCCTAGCAGCAATCTGAGGAGCAGAGGCGCGCCGTGGCGTCAGGTCAGGCCTCGGAGGCTGCAGCGACGAAGTAGCCGTCTGCCGTGGGGCCCCAGCGGCTCGCAGCTCCTGTATCGCTCGACTTGGCTCCGACATCTGACTGAGGCTCATGTCTGACCTCGTTTCCCGCTCAGCTACAGGGGTGTGGACGAGATCAGAGATCGTCTGTTGAAGTGCGTCGATTGTCTCTGAGCGGACGTACTGTTCGTCTCGAGCGGACGAGCGTGTACCTTCGGATGACAGAGCCACAGTCTGGACATCCTGCTGATCGTCGTCGAAGAGAGGGTCGCTGAACAGGGGGGACCGACCATCAAGGTGGGATAACATACCGCTTTTACCGCCCAACAATTGTTGCAGATGCATATCTGCGGATTGATCACGAGCGGCGGCACCTGTGGGATCCACTGCCACCACTTTGTCGGCTTGATCGTCATCGCTGTCGGATCCAAATAGATCTGCGTGGTTCGCACCACGTTGAATCTTGTCCCCTTGAGACGCAGAGCGGTTCTTCTCCATGGACGTCCCTGACGCTGCTCGAGAGGTGCGAATAAACGAAGGCGATCGAGGCTGAGGAGCTAAAGTCTCAAATGGCGTCATAGCGCCGTTGTCATGGCTAACATGCTGCTGCTGCTCAGCTATGATGGCGCAGGCAAGTCTATATTGTTTGGATGTCCCAAACGCTGGCCAGTCTTCTTCGAAGAGCTCTTCAAGCACTGCTTGATGCGACTCCAGGATTGCCTGTCGTGCCTCTACTTCCGGGATCGAATGCGACTCATGTTGGAACGACCGCAAGGTCTTCAAGTACCTCGGTGAGAGGAACGAAAAGATAGGGCGGTCAAGGGCCGAAGCAAAACGAGCGGCATCTTCGGTCGAGAGTGAGCTAGCTGTCGCAACTCCGGGCAGCTCCAGAGGGACTTTCCAGGAATCCACAGAGATGTGGTACTGTATTAGGTAGCCTCTTCCTCTGATGTCAAGGAACTCGGAAAAGTATGAGGTCGCGATAGGATCATTGAGCACCTGCGCGAAGTTGACATCGTTAGTAGGGCCATTCGATCCATTTCTCTTTGCGGACTGATTTTCGGTATTGCCGAGGATGAGTATCCGCTCGTCGAGGGCGGCTATTGCTCGTCGCAACATCTCCGTCCTCTGATCGGACTCTGCTTTGGCAGCAATGCGAAGCTTGAGGTTGTTCCTGAGGGTTCGAGCTTCCACGAGCGAAGCAATCTGCTTGATCTGCGCGAGGTAGCGCTCGAACGCTACAGACGGCGACTTCTTTGCATGCTGAGATTTGCCAAAAGCAACCGAAGAGGCTCTCGTCTGTTCCAGGTCCACCGCCGTACGTAGATTGCTTATCAGCCGCTCTTCTTCGAGCAGTATGGTAGCTCTTCGGTCTACCAGCTCACTCCAGAAGTCAGGTTCGCTAATACGATCTACCAGAGGCAGAAGAATAGTGCATGCAAAAATTTCGCCGAGGGTGATGCGTAGTACTTTGGTAGACAGTTCAACAGCCGGTAGAAGGTCTCCAATGATACGGCTCGAAATCCTGCGCATGTGTGAAAGTTCCGTTGGTCTTGTATCGGAGGAGAGTGAATTGATAGCTGGGTGGAGCCGCCTGAAGTGGTTGTATCTGCTTGCTAGGAACAGGTCGCTCTCGTAATCATCCGAATCTACGTAGCCCCGTAGCTTTGTTTCCTGAAGCCTGATTGCCTCGAGGTGAGAAGTGAACTCTGATACCACTCTGCCGTAGATATTAGCCGCGTCGAGAGTCTCTACTCTGCTGCCCAGTCTGTCAAAGACGCGCTCAAGGAGCATTTGCACTTCTCCCTCGAACCAGTCATCTGGTTCTGCCTGGTCCCCCACAATCGGAGAGTGCCATCGCTTGACAAAGTCCCTGACGATAAGTGGCACGAGCTTCCGCTGCGCTATGGCGGAGAGGCCCCGAAGCTTGGGCGGCGGAGCTGTGTAGCTTGTCTTCGTGGGTTTCTGCTCTCCGAGCGTGAGATTGCCAGGTGGCCTGCTACGATGGACTGTGAACTTCCGATGAATGGCATCTAGGCGCAGAACCGACAGCGGTGCTAGAACAGCTACGACGATTGCGACACTGAGTATCCAGGTGGTGACGCCGCTGACGAGGGGGATGAGGCCCACCGCCAATGCGTATCGCACAATGGAAGGTGCGAAGGCGAGCAAAAGGAGGACAGCCCATGCGGGAAAGCTTGCGAGGAAGGCGACTCCAGTCACATCCGACATGGCAGGAATAGATGTATAGGCAGCGACCCGAGCATTGCGGGGCGTGGGCAGTGCTTTGAACAGTATCGTTGTATGGTATCGGAGGAAGGAAGGTGTGCAGCCCTTGTGGAGTGATGCAAGAGCTTTCAGGCGCATTTCAGACGCGGGAGTGCCAATGTGGGCGGGCATAGTCCAACACCCCCTCTCACTACCTCCCCTACCAACTCATCATAACCTCAGCCGTCGTACAGACGTCACATTACATGCTCCTTGTGGCCCTGCTGTCATTCACAGCGCAGCCATGAGGAACCCATTGTCCAAACAACCTGATGATGGCTCCCTCCGGGCACCAGCTCAGAGGCAGGGCAGCACTGGGAACGTAGAACCCTCGGCAGCAACTCCTTCAAGCAATCGCAAGAGTGGCGTGGCAGCATTGGCTTCTGACACCCGGTCCTTCTTAACCCCAAGCTTCGCCTCATCATCGTACAAGTCGCCGATCCGACCAGCAGCATCTCCAAGCGCCACCTCGACAATCTCCACCTCGTCTGCTGCTCGGTCTCCCTCGGCCCAGGGGCTCAATGGTCAAGAGGGAGCTGCTGCCCGGCTAAGAAGAGTCGCTAGCAACGCATCTTTTCAAGCTGTCAAGAGTAGTCATACAGCATCGACACCTACTCAGAACGAGGCAGAGGAGCGCAAAACAGAGGTTTCGCCTCCTCATGTCCAAGCGGACGCTACTGCTCCAGAACCGGAACCGCCCGGCAAAGGTGATGGAGGTTCAAATTTGGTCGTGCCCGAGATCGGGACAAAGCGTCCACTGCCGGGCGGACAGCAGCGTCCTTCTCAACCAAGTCGGTCCCCTTCGAGACGCAAGACGTGGTTTGGATGGACTGCGTCAGAACAGCAGCCCGATGGGGTCAGCAGCGAGACTCCTGCAGAGCAATCTGGGCCAGAACCCCGTCCTAGGGAGCCATCTCAAGTGACTTCGGGCGAGCTTGCACAGGCCGAAACAAGTGGTGACCAAGGCCCTGCACAGCTCTCGCGTTCATCCAAGCCGACCGCTACTTCAAAAGTCAATGACGCAGGGGACAGGCAAGCATCGTGGTCGATGTGGAGAGCCGCTTCCGCAGAGCCGTTGCGCAAGAAGGAGGTCAAGTCGACAGAGCCCGTGCCTCAGGGCGCAAAGGAGCAGGAAGAGGCTCCACTCAAAGCTCAAGAAAACGAGACCAGTAGTGTCGCACAGGCTGCAGAGAGGCTTGTCTCGCAGGCGGCTCAATCCGTCACGCCTGGCAAGAAGACTAATCAAGACGCCACAGGCGCAACCCCGGGAGGCAACGTACCCGCCGGTGAGGCAGCCAATGCTGCGAACGCCGAATCCTCCAAAGTACAGCACTCGGGCCTCTGGTCTTATTGGCCCGGAAGTTGGTCTACTTCAGGTCAGAGTCAGGTGCAGAAGAAGACAGACGCTTCTTCGAAGGACATTCCAGAGCAGCAGCAGCAGCAGCAACACGACGCAACGCCCAAGAATAGCTCTAATAATCCAATGGGAACTCGAATGGACACTGTCACTGATGATCGGCAAGAGCAGCCTGTCTCAGATATCGGCAAAACTGTCGTCGCTGCTCCGAACGGCTGGACGAGCTGGCTTCCGTACGTTGGTCAACCTTCTGGTAATGTGGCTGCAGCACCTGTCCAAGATGACTCTGGAGAATCTGCAGTGGAGGCAGCCAAACCTCTTAGCCCAGCAGAAGAGGTCAAAAGAGCCGCTTTGGCCAGGCCAGATCCGTCTCCCCCCGTCGCTTCTTCCTCTTCCCTTGAGCCTTCATCAGCTGTCCTCAACACGGCCACGCGCAGCAGCTGGCTGGCTTACTTCGCCACTCGTGCAGCTCACCCGGCTTCTCGCATCACAGGTGGACAACCTGAGGCGATGGAGGTCGACTTCGAAGAGATGGATGTAGATCCACCTGCAGCCAGCGCTGGTGTAAAGGGTAGTGCTGCCGCTCCCAAAACGAAGAAACCAGCCACAGTACACAGCGGAAAAGCGGCCAGCACGAAATCCACCCCTGCACCGTCGATTAGTAAGGCAAAGGCCAATGGAGCTCCCAAGCCCGATCCAGCTCCACCGACGGACGAGCCCACCACTCCACTTACAGAAGATAAGGGCAAAGCCAAGGAGGTTGCTAAGAAGGCCTCAAAGCAGTCTAAGAAGCAGGCCTCTTCCCGGCCGCCACTTCCCAACCTCGTTCTCCCATCCTTCGATGACACCTTTCGTACACTTCCTCGCTCGATTGCACCTCCAGCTGGCGTACTCAAGAGGACCCTGAGCGCTATGAACGCCTGGCTCTCCAGTTCGCCACCAGATGCTGCACGTCTGCGCACTGCTCCGAAGGTCGGCAAGAATATGCAGAAGGATGAAGCAGGCCTTGCGCTAGCGGAGCAGGCCGCAGTCAGGCTGCCTCGTACCTGGGACGTGGTCGGTCAGAAGTCTCGATCAGAGAAGCGCGGATGCCAGAATGTCAATCGAGTAGTGGTCATTACTTGTCATGGTTGGTTTGCGCAGTCGAAGTTTTCGATGCTCATGGGAAGCCCGACGGGGACCAGTCAAAAATTTGCTCTGGAGATGAGAGCAGCAATCATGAGACACTTTCAGTCGGTCGACGGGATGGAGCTCAATCCCGAGGCAATCACACTGATCCCTTTGTCCGCTGACGGCACTGTAGAGGTGCGAACAGATGCCTCCTTTGCCGCTCTCTTGAGTCGCAAAGAATGGGTCACCCACCTCGCAGCTGCAGATGCAATATTCGTCGCTTGTCACAGCCAAGGCTGTGTCGTGGGCGCAAATCTTCTGGCTCGTTTGATCGAACAAAGCTACATACAGACCAGGAAGACCCGGATCGCCTTACTGGCCATGTGCGGTATTCACGAAGGACCATTCCAGCACATTCAGTCAATGCTCGTCTCTTCCTACCTCACATACTTCGAAACCGAAGCTGCCCAAGAATTATTCGCATTCCAGTCTTCCTCATCGCAAGTCTCAAAGAGGTATCAGGCGTCTATGCGCCTCATTCTAGAAGCAGGGGCAAAAGTCGTGCTCCTCGCTAGCACAGATGATCAAGTCGTCCCACTGCATTCGGCTCTCTTCACCTCCATCGATCATCCAAGCATACTTCGGGCCCTTTACATACATGGCAACACATTCCCCAAGCTAGACTTCCTCACGAACGTTCTCGCCTTCTGTGTGCGAGTACGGAATGCCGGCCTATCTGATCACCAATTGCTTGCGCTACTGTCTGTCACGGTTGCTGGCTCCCTTTACGGAGGAGCCGGTCACTCGCTGTGCTATGACGAGCCCAAAGCTTACGATCTCGTGGTGCGGTACCTCTTTGAGACCACTCACCCGCTGTCTGAGCCTACAACCCGCTCGGATGAGTCGCGACCTCCCAAGCTCGACATTCAATCCTTCGAAGCACCCTCAGCTCGAAGAGCTCAGCTGAGCAACCCTCATCTTCTTCCATGGTCTTTGAGAGGACTTCTCGAAGATAGAGCGGTCAGAGCGACTTTCAGCGAAGAGATCCAGAAGCTCCACGACGATTTTGAATCGTGGAAGCCCCTGACCAAGACGCTGAAGGACGTACAATATCGCCTCGAGCCAATGAGGAGTATCGCTCGGCCGAGAATCCCGCCGCCACCTTCTCCAACCCCTTCCAATTCCAAGCTGTGAAGGGCAAAGTGATCGACTTTTTTTGCTAGAGACTCATCAATCGCCCCTGTATCTTTAGACGTCTGTACACATGCCTTGTCCATAATGTTGATTCTCTCATGCTTTCCTCTTTCCTTCCGTTCCGTTCACTTTTGAGACTAAGCGTGCATTGACCTTCTGAAGCTCGATCCGGATCTTCCACCCTGGCTCGATACCCCACACGTCATCTCCTATGCTGTCCAGAGGTGCATTGCGAGCAGTACAGCCGGCCAGCCGGTGGCGGCTGGTGGTCCTCGCCTCACAGGCTGGATATAGCAACATCACGACAAGGGGTGTAGCCACCTCAGCCTCGTCACTCTCCCCCGCGGGGCCTCCCACCTTGCTCCCTCGTCAAGTCGATCGCCTCGCACCTCCCAAGGTCCAGAGATGGATCACCGACTCTCTGGACACCATCAGCGACTCAGAGTCGGGATCTTCACAATCTGATGATCGCTTTACTCCAAACTCCCTCCTGAGAAATGCAAGAGATCGGCGAGCTGCTTTCCGATTGCAGGACTGGGATCGGCTGCAGGCGCTTCGAACGGAAAGGAAGCGGGTTGGTAGGGAGAAACAGAAGGCAGAGGTGCAAGCGAAGGAGCTACAAGAACAAATCACTGCCTTGATGAAGAGCAGAAGGGTAAAAGGGTCTGCTAGAGGTAGTAGTGCGACAGAGGGACAAGGGACGAGCTCGTCTGCCAGTGTCCACGGTGATGCTGCTACTCAGGCCAATGGGGAGAGCCTCCTTGAGAAAGCTCGAGAGATGAGGGAGAGTGTTATGAGGATCACAGAAACGTACAGCTCTCTATCAGAGCAGATACAGAAGCTGCTGCTGCTCATGCCGAACAACACTCATCCAGACGCACCAACAGGTAGTGAGAGCTCTGCCTTTGTGCACTCCTGCTATCTAGGTGCTGCTTCCTCTACTTTACCTGAGGGCGAGCGAAGAGCCTTCTTCTCTGCTCAGACTTCTGCAGAGCGGCAGCAGTCTCGCTCTGAGCGCTCGACGCTCAACGATTGGGAGAGGCAGAGCAAGACAGAGAGCTCGCCTGGCTCGTCAAAGAATGGAATTGCAAGGATAAAAGACCACGTGTCTCTTTCTTCTTCTTTGGAACCTTCCGATGCTCTGGAGATTGCAGCAGGCCGGCTGGCTGCCGGACCGAACTTTCCATACCTGATCGGCCAGCTTGCTATGCTAGAGCAAGCTTTGCTACGCATGTCCGTTGCCTACGCAATAGAGAGGGGCTTCCACCTGGTCTCGGCGCCAATCGTAGTCAAGACAGATATCGCCGAGCGATGTGGATTCAATCCTCGAGGTGGTGAAGGTGGCCAGACCTACTTCGTGTCCTCCTCTTCCGCCTCATCTGAGAACGACAAGGAGCTATGTCTCGTCGGAACTGCCGAGATCTCACTCGCAGCTTTGGTCGCAGGGAGAACATTCTCTAGGACACAGCTACCCCTTAAGCTCCTCGCCGTGTCTCCTGCATTCAGGGCAGAGGATGGAGGGAGAGGATCTCAAACAAAGGGCTTGTACAGGCTACATCAATTCCAGAAGGCCGAAATGTATGTCGTATGTGAGGCAAACGAGGGACTTGAGAGCTCAAGCGGGTGTCGGACGAAAGGAGAGTCCGAATCGATGCTCGACAGTCTCCTGAGCATACAACAGGAAGTACTTCAGTCACTAGGCCTGACGTACAGATGTCTGGACATGCCCACAGAAGAGCTAGGCGCATCTGCCTTCCGTAAATTCGACATCGAGGCCTGGATGCCCGGTCGAGGAACGTGGGGCGAAGTGTCATCTGCATCCGACTGTCTGGACTACCAAAGCGCTCGACTGCACATCTTGCAGGACGCAGGCGAGGAGAAAGGCAAGTCACGCAAAGCACAACCGGCAACGACTCTGAATGCCACCTTGTGCGCTACGCCACGACTCATCATCAGTCTGCTGGAGCAGTATGGTGTGGATGAGCAGGCGCGGAAAATGAGACTGCCGGACAGCCTCAAGCCGCACTGGATTGGAGACAGTTCGCAAGTCCAGTGGGTTGCAACTGGGAGAGATACATGGGCAGACGGAGCAGAGTTGAACGGTGCGACAGCTGGAGTGTCCAGCTCAGCGCCATCAGGTGGGGTAGGCGGCAAGAGGCAACTGTCCACATGTGCCAGAACAAGTCATGCCACCTCGATACGCTCGCAGCATAGACACTTCTCCTCCTCAAGACCTTCGAGGGCCCCTGCCCCTTCAATGTACAACCAGCTACGCTCACGACTGAGCGCCCTCTCCGTCCGTACCGGGACTGACGTTGCCTCTCTCTCAGCCTCGTTCTTCATCCTCCACGAGATCACGGCGGTGCTGCCGCTCTTCTTCTTCTTCTACCTCTTTGGTCTCTTTGGAATCGGCGAAGGGATCTGTGCTTGGTTCACTGAAGCGGCAAAGGAAGATGGCAATGAAAGATCCGATAGTGCTGTGTGGAGTTGGAGACGCAAGATTGGCGAGTGGATGAGCGAAGGGTCAGCTCGGACCGAGAGGTATGCCAGACGGAAAGGCTGGTGGGGCTTCGAAAAGGGTAGTCATGAACAGACGTTGGCGAGTGAGGAACACCAAGGTAATGCACCCTCGGTAGGAGGTCAGAGGACCGTAGTGGCAGGAGCATTTGCCAATGCCGTGGCGGCGTATGTTGTTACAAAAGTGAGTCGCTGAAAGCGTAAAGTACACAAGAAGGCGATAGAGAAGCGGGCCCCCCTGACCCTTACCTCTTCATCCCTTCTCCGATAGGCGCTACTCGCCCCGAGGCTGCTTCTGTCCTTCTACCTCTCTCCCGCGTTTGCGAGAGGAATCTTTGAGCCGGCGAAGAGGCTCTTGAAGGGGCGGAAGGTCGTGAAGAAGTGAGAGGCGTAGTTTGGGCCTTGTAACGCTATGTCTGTAGCCTGCCATCTCAAATTTTCACCCTTATCCAGACCAATCTTCCTCAATCTGAGTGTTCATCAGAACATGTCAAGCCCCTTTTCCCCAAAATTCGACTTCCTCTCCTTGATTTGCGTGCATTCTCCAATCCTTCTGCATCCTCTACATGGCCTTGGCAGGCAGCTGAGTGAGGAGGATGCCAAAGCGCTTCTTGATGGTGACGCGGTGCTTTGAAAACTTGTCATCGGGCGAGAAGCGAGCTGAGAGATGAGAAGGTGGGGATGGATACATGTTTGGAGTCAGTGTCGTGATCCCTAGGATACTGGTGCTTGCAGGTACAGTGTGAGAGCGCTGCTGCTACTCACCTGGATGAGCGCTCTTTGTCATCTCTCCGGCAGGGGTGACCTTCTTGAGGGTGTAGATCCGCTTTCCCGATCCGTCTACTGTGTACATGAGATGCATCTTGTGTGGTAGGAAGTGTGTAGGGTTACGATGTGATGGTGATGGTGAGCTGACTGTTCTGCTGACTGGTACGATCCGTCGTTGCAGCCCAGCCTCGAGTCCCTTTCCTTCCTGGCCTTGCTTCCGGCCGCGGGGCAAAAGTGAAATTCCCAGCCTGGAAGTCTTCGGCACCGCGCTGAGGCGGAGTCTGAAGTTGCTCTCAGCCCGCGGTCGCTGGGCGTGGCTGCGAGGCACTCGGCCGCCCCGCCCCCCGGTTTTTCTTCTTCGGCCTTGGCCGCTGGTATCCTCCGTCTACATCCAAACCACTCAACCCTTACAACTCACCCTCACTTCCTCCTCGGTCACCGCTGACTCCAGACAAGATGAGCTACGTCGCCAAGGACAAGGATGTTGACGCATCCGCCCCCTCTGCCAAGATCCACCGAATTCGCATCACCCTCACCTCGCGAAACGTAAAGAACCTCGAAAAGGTTTGCAACGACCTCATCTCTCGATCCAAGGACAAGCAACTCCGAACCAAGGGACCCGTAAGGCTCCCTACCAAGGTCCTCACCCACGTCACTAGGAAGTCTCCTTGTGGTGAGGGTTCCAAGACTTGGGACAGGTTCGAGATGAGGATCCACAAGAGGCTCATCGACCTGCACTCTCCCTCGGAGATCGTCAAGCAGATCGTGAGTATCAGCAGGGCAAAGAGTGCGCAATGGAGGAAGAGAGACTATAAAGGAACGATGGGAGACAGGTGAATGAGTAAAAAGTGACACCGAGAATAGCGACTGACCATCCGCCTACATCCTCGCTACTGCTCAACAGACCTCCATCTCTCTCGAGCCCGGAGTTGAGGTTGAGGTCACCATCCTCTCCACCAACTAAGCTTCTCGCCAAGAGAAAGCCTGCGCCTTTTACACTGCCTCTTCTTTGCTTTGGAATGGACGATGCCCACTTTGACGTCCAGCCATACCAGATCCGTTCACTCTGATTTGGTCTTCACCAAGGCGAATATTTGAGAAGGGTAGAGAGGGATGTCAGGGAAGCAAGACCCCTTAGTTGTCCTCACGTTTCAGCGGAGGGTGTGTGCATGTAATTCGGTGTAGGGGAACAATCAAAGAGGAACAGCTGGAAGGATCGTTGGATATAACGATTCCCATGGCTCCCGTCTGCTTCTCCCTGCATCAAAAACAATGGCATACCATTTCCGTCCCCCCTTGCCCTAAACCTTGCAAACACTGACCTGACCGAGCGACCGACCGACCGTGTGCGTTCTTGTCCACTGTGTGAACAGATCTTTGTGTCAGCTCAATCCAGATAAAGGCAGCCAATAAATGAAGGATCGAATGGATGAATTGGATATGATGTTTCATGCCTGTCAATTGCAGTGCAGAGCAGTGCGGTGCAATGGTATGCAAGGCAAGGCAAGGCAAAGCAGAAGGAACACGAAAGAAATTCCTGCCAAGGAAAACACCAAGGACCAAGGCAAGGCAAGACGAGACGAGAAGGAGAAGGAGATGGGTTCAGGCAAGGGAAAAAACGAAAGCAATGTTAAGTGTGCAACAAGGTTGAAATGGAATGGGGTGAGAAGACGAAGAGGTGGAGCAAACGAGTGAGTGTTAGGGGGGGATTGAACAATGGAGAGCGAAAGTGGGACAAAGAGATGCGGCAGTGTAAGAGTCGGGGTTGGTGGAGAAAGTGGAGTTTGAGAGTGGATATACTTGCGCTTTTGTCTGACCATGGTCGACTTGGTGCGCTGAATTGGGCTTGCCTGGGTGTAGCCAAGGGCAGTATGCTAAAAGATTGGATCTGTGTCGGCAGGCAGAGATGGGGCGACGGTATGCGAGGGCAGAACAAGAAGAAGGCGCTTTCGCAGGACAGTCCTTTCCCTGAGGGGTATCTTGAAAGGGGCATGGTCCTACTCTGGCACTTTACTTGTTCACGACAGTCCTCGAAGCACCACTGCTGGCGGTACTGCTCGCAGCGCTGCTCGTGCTCGTGCTCCTAGGCAGCGTCGTCGAGCCGGCAGGGGCAAGTGTGGCAGCAGTGCCAACCTTGGCCGAAGCGGTAGAGGCTGACCTTGCTCCAGCTGCAGAGGCAACGCTGCTGCTGGCAGACGCCGAGACGGCAGCGCTAGAAACCGTCGTTGCCAGGACATCTCGGCAGTACTTGAGTCTCTTGAGCATGTTGCGCACCGTCCTCCTTTCTAGCGGCGTGGTGATTCTCATCCCTACCTCAGCCAGCGTGAGGCCAGCAGCAGAAGCCTCGGCGAGGGCCTGACTCTCCTGCAGCGACCTCTCGGGGTGAGAGATGGCGATGATTTCGGTGAGGTAGTAAGAGCACATTACTTGCTGCCCGCCCGTCGTCTCGGTAGGCGGGATCATCGAGACGATCAGCCCGTCGGCAGAGAGGAAGACCTTTGCGTGGTCGTAGAAGTTGAATTGCACCGTGCCCGTAGAAAGACGGAAGACGATGGCTTGCTGACAGCGGTACCACTTGTGCACAAAGGCCATACCACTCTCGATTGCCATGTCGCGGAAAGTCAAGGGACTGTTGGCGCCATACAGGCGGTCCATGATCTCTTGCTCAAAGAAGCGGAGGATCTTGACCTTGGGTTGCAGCTCAGTGGCGTACGGCACTTGACTCTCGTCCTTGAGGTCCATCGACTTCGGATAGCCGGCAAAGTTGAAATTGTAGCAACTGAGCTCGCCCGTGGCGGCTGCTGTACCGGTGCTCTTCACTGCAGGATTCGATCTGGAAAGTGCACCCCTCTTGGCGCTGGCGATGTAGTCGCAGTGAGTGCGCGAACAGTTGATGCTAAGACTCGTCGAGTCGCGGAAGTATACGCCCACACTTCCATCACTGAGGGCATAGCCTAGACCGTACTTTTCAGAATGGTCCAGCCATGAGATGACGAACACCTTTGGACTTTCCGCTTGGGGTTCATCGAAGTAAAGCTTCTCGCCAGAGACAGTGAGAGGCTGGTAATCCATGCCGACAGCGGCAGCCTGGATGGCCTCCGAAAGGTAGTGCGTCATGCTCTCGATAGTGGAAGCCTTGGCTGGCGGTGCACGAACGAAGTTGCTGCTGGGGAGGCCCTCTTCGTCACTTGAAGGTGCTGTCGGAGACCTAGCAGCAGCGACGTTGCTACCGCTGGTGCCAGAGTTGCCTGCTACCAAGCGAGCCTTCTGACCCAGCATTCTCCGCTCTTCGGCTTCTCCGCCCTCAGCTGTCAGGCCATTGAGACCGGAACTTCCAAGCGCATTGCCGGCTCGCCTCGTTGAAGGAGGGGCCATACCGCGAGCGGGAGGAGACGGGTGGGCGTTCTCCTTGTCGAATGCAGCAAGGGGTGTGACCTTGCCACTGTTGACACTGCCATTGCTGCCACTCTTTGTGACAGCTCCGGTAGCAGTGGCAATCTTCTGCCCTGATTGAGCTCTGCTGATGCCTAGGGTCTGGAATTGCCGTGCGAGAGCAGCACCACTCGACTTTGCTGACGCAGAGGCCATAGGTGCCTTGACGAGAGGTTGACGACTGGCTTTGAGCAGGGTAGAAATCGGGCTGGCGGGCTGAATTGCTTGCTGGAATTCTCTGTCCATCTTCTCCCTTTCTGCCTCCAGAGCTTCTTGGTGTCTGAGCTCCTCCCGAGCATCAATCTCCTGTTCTTCCTCGTCGAGAAGGTCGTCGGCATTGGGGTTCCAAGCACTCCTTTGCTTGACGAGAGCAAAGTTGCGAGCATTGTCACCTACGGTGAGGGGCAGCGTAAGGCGAGGCTCGCTGACGGTAGCTTGCATAGGAATGTAGATCGGGATGGCGCCGCAAGTAAACCAGGGATGGTTCATGATCTCAATGAGACTGGGACGGTCAGAGGGCTTAGGAGCAAGGATCTTGGTGATCAAGTCCTCTGCTTCCACTAGCAGCTCTGCCTCGGCTGGGATGTGGTAGTCGTTCTTCTTGATCTTCGTGTAGATCTCCTGAATATTCGAAGTCTGGAAGGGAGGTTTACCGACCAGCATCGTGTATAGGATGACTCCGACTGACCAGACGTCGACCTCGAAGCTGTGCCCTTCGCCATCATCATACAAGACCTCAGGCGCGATGTAGTTGGGCGTACCGCACACAGTCTTCTTGCGCTCGCCTTGGTCCTTGAGTAGAGCAGCCAGACCAAAGTCTCCGATCTTGACGTTCATATCCTCGTCCAGGAAGATGTTGCCCAGTTTCAGATCACGGTGAATGATGTTGCTGGTATGCATCCCTTGGCATCCGGCGAGAATCTGGACCATGAAGTATCGTGCTTCAGCATCGAGGTACCTTCCTCGCCTCTTGACCATGTCGTTCATAGACTGTTCGTCGGGGCCGAAGACGTGTCAGCGGGTCAGTCAGAAGCCTCAATAAGCCCGAGTGGAACTCGTCCGCCCGCCTGCGCTACTCACTCCCGCCTTGCACAGCTCTAGCCGGAAATAAACATGCTCGTCGTCTTCGAATGTGTCTTCCATCCTCACGACATTTGGGTGCTTGAGAGACGAATGGATCATGATCTCCGCAAGGATCTAAATGGGACGGGCGGTAAAGATATTGAGTTGACTGATGAGACCATGAGAGCCAGTTGCGCGTTGCTCACCTTTGATCGAGCCTTCTTCGACTGAAGGTGCTTCTTTGCAATGACTTTGAACGCCCTCATCTCTCCCCGAGCATTCTGAGCGTCATACACTCGTGCGAAGCCACCCTGTGAGAAAGATCATAACATGGTGGCGAGGAATGATCAGCCGATATGCTGCTGCCAACACAGGTGCGCTCGTACTCACTGAACCCAAAAGTTTGCCCCTAGCCCATCTGGTGCCCTGCTCATCAACAATGATCTCCGGTGGATCTGGCAGATTGATGGGCTTCTCTTGCACCTTCTTCTTCTCCTTGGGCTTCTCGGTCACCGGTCTGTTTGCAGTAGTCGTGGATGTGGGCGCCAGTGTTGTAGTCTCTTTCCTGCGAGCGGGTGATCGTTGAGCGTAGGTGCGCCGTCTAGCATCCATGGAGGATGGCCCGGACAGGGCCGGGGCAGCCTCGTACGTAGCGGCCATGTTGACTGCTGATCAGTGGGACAGCCAGATGTTGATTTCCTTGTTCTTCTCTGTCCTCGTGGAGAGGGAGAGGCTCGTCGTGAGGAGCAAGCAGCAGCGTCCTTTGACTGGTGGTTGTTGCCTCGCGAACGTGGTGCTGAGGTGTCACAGTTAGCCCGATGGGGTGGTAGGGGCGAGCCCGGCTGAATGTGGCTTCGAGTGCAACAGCGTCGAGAGTACAGCGATGGCAATGACGGTGCAGTCGGGGCGAAGACGATGGTTTCGTGAAGGGACAGAAGTAGTATGGAGGGGCGAGGGACGAGATCTGGTGCGGGGATACGAAACAGGCAGGCTCGGGTCGGCGAGGTCTGTCATTCAACTTGAGGCTTGGAATTTGACGTGTAGGTCACGAGTGTGTTTCTCCCCCCCTTGCCTCTGCCCGGCCTCTCGCGTGCGCCTTTCCGTCGTTCCCTTCCGTTCCTGATTCTCCTCCCCGCGCTCCTTGGCATAAGACAACAGCTTCACTGCGCTTCGTCACCACGGCATGTGCATAGCAGGCAACGGTCATTCTTCGAGGTGTGATTGCGACCAGGGATGTGAAGCCAGTTCTCAGACTACACAGACTACACATGGAGAAGACGTGCTGAGGTATGCCCACAAAAAGATGAGGACCTGTTCATCCCGATCCTGTAGGCAACAAGAAGGCTACCACAGTGGACTGCTCTTGGAAGCGCCAGGCACTACCTGGTCCGTCCAATGTCCACTCAAGTCCGGTAGCAGTATGGTCGCTCGGCTCAACATGGTCTGTCACTGAACGGGAACGTCGACTCAGCTCCGTTGGCAGCCCTGGTCATGCATGCTGCATACGGAATTCGCAAGCCTCTGTCTAGGATCTCTCTGTATACTTCGGCGGAGGACCGACAGAGGTGCCAAGATCCACATTTGCCAGTCCCTGAAGACCTTAGAGCGGGTACGGCCCGGTCGGATGCGTCGCGAGCTACTGCTGATTAGGTTTCTGTGATGCCGCGATGCCGTGCTCGCGGGACCCCTTGGCAAGCTGGAAGATGTCAAGAGGCTTTCTTGACATGCAGCAGAGATTTGCCCTGCCTTGCCCCCCCGCTGTTATGCCAGCGCCGCCGGCCGGCGGGAGGGGCGAGAAGAGAAGCAGTGTGTGGGTGTGGGCGATACCAGCCTGCCTGCCAGCCACATCAGAAGCGGCCGCCTGCGACTTTTTGCTGATGATGCACCATTCCAGTCTTCGCCTTGCGGCCCCGCCCTCTCCGCCAACCCAAACCCTGCAGCTTTTCGCGCCGGCTTTTATTCCACCTCTGCCTTGACGGCACCCTTAGAATGCCGCATTGACGTTGTGCCCCAGGTAAACAGAGGAGGGAAATAGAAACGAAGAGAGGAGAGACGTGGCTCTTGGTTCAGACGATACAATTGAGTAGCGGCCCTGACATCTCCTGCATTCGTCACTTGGTGGTTGTCAGAGAGGGACTTGGCAGGCGTGTGTGTCCAGACGCAACTCGCTGACCGGGCTGTGTCTGTGTGAAGCAAGGCGAGGCGGCGGATCGACGACAACAACACGGACCAGCATCTCGCCTCGCGCGCATATTCAGGCTCCGCCCACAGACGCCCGACACCGCTCCTGCGTGGCCCCTCCTCTCCCGTCACCGATGCAGTCCTGGTCCCCTTTTCGCTGTTGACCACCACCTCCCCTGCCCATCGTACCACTTCTTTCATCACATTCGCTCCCATTCGGTCTTGCTGAACCATCACAGTCCTCCTGAATCTCTTAGAAGAGACCAGCAGCACCCTTACGAGCACCTTCGCAAAGGCACTCAGTCCCTCCTTGTTCCTTCTTTTGCCATCTTCCTGCCCTCAGTCTCGCAACACTCGCACAACACCAGCACGCAAGCCTCGTCTTCACTTCTTCTCTTCTGACTTTCTTCATCTCATAAATCTTCCATCATGGTGAGTGCCCAACCAAAGGATTGCCTCTAGCTCGTCTGCCCATGCCCCATTCCCTTGAGGTCGGACAGCAGCAGATGGGCGTCTTCCGCTTGCTTCTGCATTCTGGTGCTGCCCACAGACCTCTGCCTCCCCGAGTAGCGTTCTGAGCTTCAGAAGAGCCATAAATTGACCACGCCGGGGCTCTCTGCCTCCTGAATTGGCTTTTCTTACCAGTGTGGAATCTTTGCATACGTGACCCATTTGGTAGAGAAGGTATGTATTGAGAGGCGGCAAGAGATAGAAGCGCAGTGCCTGTATGCTAATAGACTCATTCTTGACCTCGGCTACGTTGCTCACCTGCCAATAGGATCGTCGTCAAGTCATTGAAAATCTCGTCAACGGTCTGGCAAGGCTGGAGTACAGAGGATATGACAGCGCTGGTGAGTGAAATGTAGAGCCCGCACCAATCAGGCTGCCCGCTTGAAGATCGGCTTCGGCTGACGGAGTGCCCCCTCTACTGCTCGCAAATGCACAGGAATTGCTGTGGACGGAGACTCAGAGAAGGAGGTGCTGATCTTCAAGCAGGTGGGCAAGGTCGCTGCCCTGCGAGCACACATTGCTGAGTCGTCTGTCGATATGGACAAGTCCTTCATCTCTCAAGTCGGCATGGCACACACCCGATGGGCTACTCACGGCCAGCCAAGCCCCCTCAACTGCCATCCCCACCGATCAGACCCCACCAATCAGTTTACCGTTGTGCACAATGGTATCATCACCAACTATCGAGAGCTCAAGCTTGTCCTAGCAAAGCGGGGATACACCTTTGAGACCGACACCGACACCGAGGCAGTCGCAAAGCTGCTGAAGTACCTCTATGACAATGTGCAGGGAAGGAAGCCAGACTTCACTTCTCTCATCAAGTCGGCCATCAAGGAGCTGGAGGGAGCCTTCTCCTTCGTCTTCAAGTCGACACATTATCCAGGGGAGGTCGTCGTTGCTCGTCGTGGGTCGCCGCTGCTGATTGGTGTCAAGACAGAAAAGAAGCTCAAGGTCGACTTTGTGGACGTCGAGTTTGGTGGTGCCATCGATGAGGAGGGAGGTACAGCTGAGACCCGTGCTGGTCAGGCTGGCCTGCTAGCCCCTCCCCCAGCTGGAGGCTTGTCGGTCCCCAAGCCCAGGGACAACCTTATTCGTTCCCAGTCTCGAGCATTCCTCTCCGAGGACGGCACCCCACAGCCCATCGAGTACTTCATTGCATCAGACGCTTCAGCCGTCATCGAGCACACGAAGCGTGTCCTCTACCTCGAAGATGATGACATTGCCCACATTTCGGAAGGCGAGCTGCACATCCACCGCCTGCGAAGGAACGATGGTCTCTCCTCTATGCGATCGATTGAGACACTCGAGATGGAGCTCGCTGAGATCATGAAGGGATCTTTCGACCACTTCATGCAGAAGGAGATCTACGAGCAGCCTGAGTCTGTCATCAACACAATGCGAGGAAGAGTGAACTTTGATACCCGAACCGTCAAGCTGGGAGGCCTGAGTGCCTATCTGAACACCATCCGACGCTGCAGGAGAATCGTGTTTATCGCATGTGGTACCTCTTACCACTCTGCCCTCGCAACTCGATCAATCTTCGAAGAGTTGACGGAGATTCCTGCCTCGGTGGAGCTCGCTTCTGACTTCCTGGACAGGCGGACACCAATCTTCCGAGACGACGTCTGCGTCTTTGTGTCTCAGTCAGGTGAGACTGCTGACACCATATTGGCTATGAGGTACTGTCTTGAGCGCGGGGCTCTGTGCCTCGGTGTTGTCAACACTGTTGGATCTACCATTTCGCGAGAGTCGCACTGTGGTGTGCACATCAATGCTGGACCCGAGATTGGAGTAGCTTCTACCAAGGCCTACACCTCTCAGTTCATTGCTCTCCTCATGATGGCTGTCCAACTATCCGAGGACCGAATTTCGATGACCGAGCGGAGGAATGCCATCATCGACGGTCTGCATGACTTGCCAGAGCAGATTCGAAACATTCTGTCACAGGACAAGTCGTTGCAAACTCTGGCCTACGGCACTCTGGCAAAGGAGCGATCCTTGCTGATTATGGGTCGAGGTTACCAGCATGCCACCTGCCTCGAGGGAGCTTTGAAGATCAAGGAGGTCTGCTACATGCACTCTGAGGGTATCCTCGCCGGAGAGCTCAAGCACGGCCCTCTTGCTCTGATTGACGAATCCATGCCGGTGATCCTGATCATGACCAAGGACTCTCTCTACCCCAAGGTACAGACTGCACTGATGCAGGTCACCTCCAGGAAAGGCCAGCCGATCATCATCTGCAACGACGACGATCAGGATATCGCAAAGGAAGCCAAGACGATCCGTGTTCCGCGAACTGTGGACTGTCTGCAAGGTCTGCTGACCGTAGTCCCTCTGCAGCTGCTCTCCTACCACCTGGCTACGGCTGCTGGCGTCGATGTCGACTTCCCTCGTAACCTTGCGAAGTCCGTGACCGTTGAGTAAGGAAAGAACTGGATAGCGATGGAGGTTATACGGTGTCAGATGTGGCGCAGACGACTTGGACTCGAGCGAGGGATGTCTCATTTGGTGGGCCATTTCCATTTTCCCGACCTCTGCGTCGCTCACCGCCTTTTTGCTCGGCCCCGAGGTGTGCCCTTCTGCGCTTTCGTCTTTTGGAGCATCGATGTGGCCCATTTTCTCTTCCTGTCTGCTTTCGACCGCTCTTCCCTTCCCTGGACAGAACTGCGTTCCCACTCCAATTAGACGACCCCAAGTTCTCCCTCTTGTCTGCCCCGCTTGATGCGCGACCCAGCGCAAGTGTTGGTTCTGGGGCCGCGCAGTGTGTTGATGTTTTAAGCTCCGACCAGATGCCTCTCCCATCTCCGTCCGTCCATCCCCACTTCCGTCTCGGCTACCGTCGCTTGCTACTTTGTCACAGTCCACTCCCAACGACGGCCATGGCGACTCCACTTCGTAGACGTGTCGTCGACAACGATACCGATACTGGGAGGCAGCATATGACCAATGGCGGCTTGTCTCGATCTTCTTCCACTCCGTACGACATGTACAAAGCTCGTAGCCGAAAAGCAGAAGCAGCCGGCGCCGGTGGAACCAACACCAACGGCAGCTCCTCGCCTTCGCCTTTCATCTCTGGATCTCGCTCGGGTACGCCGCATGTTGCTCGTCAGAGTGCCTACAACAGGGACTGGGGGCTTGGTACGCCGGCAGATTCGAACAGTCCGGTGAGCCGAAAAGGAAGCGCGGTTGCTAGTCCGGCTTTGAGAGGGACGGCCGGAAATGGGCCTACAAGAGCTTCTGTCAATGGTCGGAGCGAGGGGGAGAAAGGGAAGAATGTGACGAGCAGACAGAAGAGAATCAGTCGGGCTTTCATAAGGAGGAGAACCATCAGACAAAGGTTGGTAAGCATACAGAGGTGCATCGTCCATTCAATTGCTCAGCCTCTCTGCCTTTCCGAACTGCAGGATCGAGTCTCTGCCAACGGATCTGCTCGATCACATAGCCGGTCTTACCTTGACTCTATCGGAACATCTCCAAGATGCTGCCCTCGGGTATCCTATAGGGCTCTCGTTCCACGTCCTCTCCCTCCTCTCGCATCTGGCGTCCCCCACATCAGATCTTTCCGTCGCCTTATTGTTCGGCGTCGATGCCTCGTCAACTCAGGCCGCCTCTGTCTTTGGCGGTGCAGGAAGCGCGGGCGGTGTCAAAGGCAAGGGAGGGCTCAAGGATCTCAGGAAGGCGGCCAAAGCCGCAAGAGTCAACGCATGGTCCTGGGTCGTGAGTCGATCTTGTGCGGTGCAAAAGCTACTCCCGGACGTCGCTATACTGACTTGCGTTGACCTCACAGGCCGCGGTTCTCTCATTCGCGCTGGTCCTCATCTCAATCTACAATGCCTACATCCTCTTCTGTAGTCGCCGGAAGTATCGTCTCTGGATGCGCAAGCAGGAGGTAAGTCATCTCTTCTTGTACCAGGCGACTTGTGCCTCTCGCTGAGCTGAGACTTTTCGTCTGCTGTCATCGTATCGGTCCCGTAGGACAAGCCAGCAAGTGAGAACGCGAGACTCGTCCCTGTCCATCTCGACAACGATGAAGGCGAGCCGTCCATGCAGGATAGGCTAAGGTCAGTTTAAGAGGAGCTCGATGGCCTTCGGACCGAGCTTCCACTCAATTGACGCACCCTATCCCCACCACAGATGTCTAGTCTTGGAGAAGCTCAACGAGGTTCCGATCTTGAACTGGGTCATACCCGATCCGCCCGATCTGCACAAAGGTCACAACCATATGGACGCTCAAATCCATGAGCTCAACGTCTGGGAGGCGCCGGACGTGCCAATGAGAATAGCAGTGTAAGTCAGCAACGTAGGCAGGGACCGAGAGTTAACAGCTCCCTTACTCGCTTTTCGTCCTCGAACAGCATCTACTCGCCTCTGCATGCGTGTCTGTGGCATTTTGCGGGAAGCCCTCTGCTTCCCACTGGCGGTTTCTTGGCCTGGTTATCCCTCTTCTTCGTCATGACGCTCATCTCTGCACAGTCCTACATGGCCATCACTGCCTTCGCGGGCTTGGTCAAGGACAAGTCTTTGCTCGCTGCAGAGGTCATGCGCGAATATGACCAAAAAGTGAGTCTTCTAAGCGAGGAAAGGGCTACGGATTGGCTCCACGAGCGGGGATGAACCTTGTTCTGGCTCAGCTTGTCAGCCAGGTGCAGGAGGTCTATCGCTAGGCACAGAGAAGCTGACTCCCTTCCATTTTCCCAGTTCGTGCTCCCGCGTGCCATGCCCGAAGTACGTGACGCCTGCGTTCAGACTTCTCAGGCGGAAACGCTCTCCCCGGATGATTGGATGACAACTTCTCCAAGAGCTCGTACCTCAAGCCACCTTCAATCTTCGCAGGTAGACGCTGCCTCTCACCACCCTTCGGACCGTCGTCTTGGCAAGGGCGGAGCCAGACATCAGAGCCGACGGCGTTTGAGCGAAGACAGGAGCAATTGACAAGATCTGCCACGCGTCGGCGACCTTCACTTCGTCCAGAGAAGCGAAGTTCTCAAGGCCCCAGAAAGACCGTGTGAGAAAAAGCGGGTCATAGCAGTGGGCGTCAAAGTATTATTTCTGATATGCCGTAACCGCAGACGAAGTGCCGATTGCATGCCCGACGTAGCCGTGTGGAGGAGTAGAGGTATAGCTGAGCCATGCCGGCGCCCCTGAAGGGCCTAGGTCTGGGATGTACGTGCGGCCTTTGCCACTGGGATGACGGAGGGTGCCTGGCGGGGGTTGGGTGGAGCAGCCGGCCGGCGGAGGCGCAAACTTCGACGCGAGTTGAGCGCCTTGCGCGTGTGGCCCGCATGTTCAGGGTCTACCCCGGGTCAGAGCTTGGGCCACATGAGAATATAACCGAAGGGATTGACGCGAGATGATCTGTGCTAGTGGAGTCGGTGGAGGCACAAGACGAGGAGTGCAAGCAGTCGCTCTACCAGCTCAGGTCACCTGTCGATTGTCTGGGGCCTGGACGCTTACACATCGGGCAGCGGCAACGTGCAACAAAGCACAGGCCAAGGCAAAGCGGCCTCTAAGCGAGCACATCTTCGCGTCCAACTCCCTGGCGGTCTCTGAGCGCCTCCCCGCATTGCTGTACCTTGCCGCGTCCAATGTTTACCCATGAGCCATGGAGCTCGGCCCTTGCTGCCTCTGCTATGACGATCCTTAGTCCATTTCCTTGGGGCCACGAGATGGTCGGGCGGCCCGAGACATCCGGGCCCATTCTGAACCAAGTTCGCCTGCCCGGACCAGCAGGGTCGTGCCGCACTAAAGACTGGTGCCCGGCGTAGCTCCTTCCCGATTGAACAGGTCAAGGCCGGCGATCGCATTGTGGCTCGACCTCGTCTCAATGACGGTCCAATTGCCAGACCGCACGGGCTGGACTCCACAAGGCGGTGCTGAAGATCTGTGGTAGAGCTGATGACGTCGGCATCAAGGGTAGCATCATTGGATTTAGACCTTGTATCGATCTCCACCTCCGAATGCTCACATTGGTTATAAACCTTGGCTTTCTCGTACTTCTCTTTCCCTCGGATAGTTACTACCATCATCTCCTCTTTTCCCACACGTCTACACTTTCATCTTAAATCAATATGAACAAGCTCAAGGAAGCATTCGGATCCGGTCGTCACTCCACCGACGCGGACAGCAACACGTCCAACTACACCCGTGACACTTCCAACACCACTCCTGAGATGAGCCCCCGTGGTAACAGGACCAGCGCCACTGGCCCATCCGCGACCGACAAGGCCTCCGATGCCGTCTTCGGTAACAACAAGACTGGTTCCGGCCTTGGCTCCAACAGCGGTTCGCTGTCCAACACCTCCGGACAGCCTGGCTCTGCCCGAGAGGCCTTTGCCCAGCAGAAGGCTTCAGGCACCACTTACGACACCAGCTCGAACCCATCTCACAGCTCCTCTCAAGGACAAGGCATGACCGGTGGCTCTGGTAATGGACTTACCGACTCCAGCAGGTTCGGCTCCTCCAACACCTCCACTGGCGCTCGTGACACCACCGGCGTCACTGGCACCGGTGCAACCTCATCTGGTCTCACTGGCTCCAACCGAGAGTCTTCTGGCCTCACTGGTTCCAACCGAGAGTCGTCTGGCCTCACCGGCTCTCAGGGCACCGGCTCCGGTCTTACCGGTTCCCACGGTACCGGCTCTGGCCTGACTGGCTCTCACGGTACGGGTTCTGGTCTTACCGGCTCCCACGGCACAGGTGTCGACTCCACCCGCGGCGGCGGTGGCTCGCGACTGGCCGGCTCTAACAGCACCGGCACTGACTCCATCGGACATGCCGGTCAGCGCGGCGATGACTCGCACGCCGGTCGATCGACGTCAGTAGCACAGTCGGACGGTCTGGCTGGACACACACGTGGCCACAACGACAAGGCCAGCCCTACCGACCTCAACGGTGAGGTGCACCAGGATGTCCAGCACCTGGCCCACGTCACTGAGGAGACTAGGCAGCAGCACCACGTCGACGAGGTTACTCGTGAGAAGGACCTGCAAAGCCACCACCACCACGTTCAGCACCACGTCCAGCGAGTCCGTGACAGCGAACACGCCGCTGAGCAGCACCACAACAGAGTCATCCCCAGGACACACATTGATGAGAAGCACGCCTCTACTGCTAAGGATGCTGAGCTGCTCAACACCGTTGCCAACGCTCACGGTCACCGTGACCGTGTCGAACAAGCCCCGGAGACCCGTCAGGTCATCGACAAGGGTGAGACCATCAATGAAACTGTCCACCACCACGTGCACAATGTCATCCAGCCCGTCATTATCAAGGATTCTCACGAGTACCACCGACACCACACTACCATCCCCACCACCCACGTTGCTCACCACGCACCCATTATTCACGAGTCGATCACCCACGACACCATCTCCAAGGACGACTTTATCAAGTCTGGAGGCATCCTCGGTGCTAAACTGACTGGTGTCCATCAGACTGGTCTCCTCAATGATGGCAAGTGTGACCGTACCGTCGATGGTGTCGCAGAGAACATGGAGAGGGATCTCCATCTGTCGCCAGGACAGCCGCAATGACTGGATTGCCCCCGGACTAATGATCATACAGGATGGGCGATTGGGAAGGGGGCGTAGCATTTCAGGGCTTGTACTGATCAAATATTAGCAGAAGAGGTCTTCATGGGTATCAATTGAGTTACATTTTCTTCGCACATTCCCTGACTGCTGCCGCCGTATCCTGTGACACCGTCCCGCCTTCTCCTCGTGGGTGATAGGTCATGTGGAGGGATGAGCACGTGATGTCATCCTCCCTCGGAACGGAAGCATACTAGGACCGGGTTTCCGGGTCGGGGGCGCGCGTCTGAGCTGCCCGGTGTCCGGATCGCTCGATTTTCTTTCACGAACCAAGGCATGTGCAGGCCAGATGCAGCCAAAGCGGGCAATTACCACTGGCGGAAAGGGAGTTGAGCGAGACAAGCAGGGCGGGCGAGGAGGGGATGGGGAATGGTCAGCGTCATCGATCACACTTGGAGCTTGACCGGAATAAGAGGTCTGCATGTGCCTCAGGTTACCCCGCACGATCGCTTGCACGAGGACCAGAAAGGGAGCGAAGGCGCTGCCCCAAGACCAGGGCTACGCTTTTACACGTTGAAAGGCAGCCAGTGGCAGCGACAGACTTAAGGATCGCAGCATAGCTCGAAGCTTCCCTTCCTCTTTCTATATTGCTTATTCGAGATATCCTGGCTACCTTGCATCTCTACCTACTCCTGTAGCCTCGATCTTCCTCCAAGGCGCACACCCTCCTCGACCACTTGCATAGAGCTTCATGTCGTCGGCGACAAAGGCAAACGCCTCCGAGGCTGGCAAGACGCAGCCTTCCCAGGCTTCCAGGCCGTCTGACCTGGACCGACGAGAGCCCTTCACCATCGATGTGCTGGTGCGATGGATCAGGAACGCCTTCCTTAACACCCCTTTCCTGCTGGCTCTGCCAGCGCTTGTCTACTACTACGACAAGAAGCGTTCCTTGGCACCTTCTGCCTATCCTGACCCAAGCCTGAGCTACCTCCGGCACCTCCTCTTTACAGAGTACAAGTGGGTGGGGCGCTGGCTGATCTTCGGTCTCATCAAGAAGACCAACGATGTTCTGAACCGGTACGTGGCCAATCTTGGGGCCTACCGGGCTGACAAAGCCGACTGGTCCAAGGAGGTTGTGGTCATCACCGGTGGCTCGGCCGGAATCGGAAAGGCAGTAGTAGAGATTCTGTCTCACGTCAAGAAGGCAAAGGTGGCTGTCCTGGACATGGCACCCCCGACTTACGCCCCCGCTCCAGCCGGGGTACCACCTATTCAGTACTACAAAACCGATGTCTCGGACCCAGCTCAGGTCAAGGCAGCGGCTGATCAGATCCGAGCCTCGCTTGGCGAGCCCACCATGCTCATGAACAATGCCGGTCTGGCTTCGGGCGACCTGATCATCGATGTGGACCCAGAACGAGCTACTCGTCTCTGGAAGGTCAACACTTTGGCCAACTGGATCACCTGCCAGGAATTCCTTCCGCACATGATCTCCAAGAACCACGGCCACGTGATGACCGTGGCCTCTTCCGGCTCTTTCATGTCTCTCCCTCAGATGTCGGAATACTCGGGCACCAAGTCTGCCGTCCTGGCCTTCTTTGAGATCCTGCGAGGCGAGCTGCGCTCGAGGTACTTTGCACCTCGCGTGAGAGCTTCGCTGTGCGCTCCTACCAAGGTTCGCACTTCGCTAGGAGAGGGTATGGAGGATCACAAGATGCCCTTTATTCACCCCAACCTTGAGGCATTCGAGGTAGCACGCAAGATCGTCGATGCCTTCGATTCGGGTCTGAGTCAGTACATTGTCATGCCTGGCCTGATGAGGATCCTCCCCCTGGCACGTGGACTGCCAGACTGGGGTAAGCGATTCTTGGAGCTAGCGGGCAAGACAGATCAGACTGTTTCGGACACTTCGATGAAGAGGGCATTTGAGGCTGGCTACGGAAAGGACTGGTCTGGACCTGAGGCTGAGGCAAGGAAGAAGGCACTAGAGAGGATGCAAAAGAGGGGAGGAGCGTCGAAGTAGATCGAAGTCGAGAGTTCGGAAGCTTCGGAGCGAAGTTCTGCAAGATTGTTGCGTCTCATTGAATGGCTACGAGCATCTGCTAATTGTGCTTCATCTTCTCATGAGTTGCGTACTGCTAATATCCCAAATCACTATGAATAGATATTGAATCGATCATTGATTGCCGTTGGTTGCTGTAGCTACTGTCTGTGTCTACGTGAGTCGTCTGGAATGCAGTGTGCTGACCCGGATGGCAATATGCTCGTGGCTGCAATTTTGAGCTTGTATCAAGAGTGTGGGGGGAAACGCGGATGTACCGGGAAGCTGGTGCCTGAGTGCGGGGCCTGTTCCCGTGCCTGTGTTCCTTTCACGGGGCGCCACTTGAAATTGGCCCCGAGATCAACACCCGCCGCGGGAGGGATGAGTAGACTTGAGTGGTAGGCCAGGCCAGGCCACACGGCCAACTCCGAGGGTAGACTACAACTTCGTCGCTTGTTCAGAGCAAATTCCTACTCTCACACTCGTATCGCATCGCAATCCCATCCTCGCTGGCTCTCTTCATCAATCCGCTCACCCTCGTCTCGACCCGCTCATAGGCTGGAGCTATCGCCCTCCCTTTTCCGTCGGCAACGAAGCCGCACAGCACTATCTCCTGATAGGAGTAGCGCCTAGCCCCCTGGCCATATCTTGCTCGACAGTAGATTCCACTCGAGGGTTTTGGACAACACGACGGTGGGAGTGCAGAGAAAGCTAGCCACGAGCCTCTAATACTTGCAGGCGGTGCCCTGCTCGGCATCCCTCCGCCCGATACGATGTTCGTCGCTTCCGGACTGTACAAGTATGGTGAGTGTGACGAAGAGCCCTATACAAGGCCTACAGCGAGACGCAAGACGCATTGCAAACAATACTGACTTCTTTCTCATGTTGATCTCATGCTGACCAGCTACGTCCAGCAACAATGCCACCGGCGGCCCCTCTTCCCGGCCCAACCTAGATGAGCCCACGCCGGCAAATACAAGGGTGAAGCGGCGGCCCAGGAGAGGCACCGCTCCTTCCTCATCCTATAGCAAGCCTTCCGCCTCGTCTCCGCCTCTGGCAAGTCCCCTTGTAGATGCAGAGGCTTCCCTCCCTCCTCCTCCACCGTATGCCTCCATCGCTACGGGCTCCACGAGCGAGGAGCGGAAGCAGGCTCAGGATGCAAAGGTGGCTATTATCGAGGAGATCCTCAAGGAGGAGGATCTATACAAGCTGCTTGGGTGCAAGAAGAGCAGTAAGCCAGAGGAGATCAGGAGAGGGTTTCTCAATCGGAGTCGTAGCTGTCATCCCGAGTGAGTAAAGGGCGTAAGGGGAAGACCATTGAAGAACGTACTTTACTAACGAACGACCTTACGTCCGCCTTTCATGACCCTTCGCAGCAAGTTCCCCAATCATCCGCCGGCGACTTCGGCATTCCAGAAAGTGTCGTTCGCTTATGAGACGCTTTCCAAGCCTTCTTCGAGAAGGATGTACGACGTCTCTGGCCGGTCAGACTTTGCTGCAGCGATGAATGCCGACTCGTCCACTCACTCCAGCGGTGGAGGCCTCAGCAGCGAAGATACGCTCAACGGAGTCCTCTACTCGGTGTTTTGCGAATTCATGGAGGGAGACTTTGAGATGATCAGGGTGCTGGTCAACGCACTCAACGAGGGCAATCCGAGCATGAATCTGGGAGAGGAGGCCGTTGATAGCATTGAGGGGGCATTCAAGCGACTGAGAGAGATCATGCTTGGTGAGTATTAGCGGTCCTTGTCGCATGTGTAGACGGAAGCATTGACATTGTGTCTCACCACACCCGTCCTTCTACCTTCTCTCAGCTGGCAAGCGTTACCTCTCCATCATCAAGTTCGAGCTGATGCGCCTCCACGAGATCCAACAGTCACTGCGTCAACTCTCCTACTTCAACATCACCGGCCGACTGAAGCTTACCATCCAGCTTGCCAGAGTCACCATCAATATACCCCTGGCCATCGATAATGCCATGAAAGCTCCCGAAGGAGAGGGTTCTAGAGAAAAGGCAGAAGGAGAAGGAGCTTCTGCCTTAGACGGGTCGCTCGATGATGTGGAAGAGGAGGAGGAGGACGAAGAAGAGTCAGATGAAGCATCGCCATCAACGGACGACTTTGGCGTTGCTCCCGAGGATGACGAAGATGAAGACGATGATGACGACGCCTTCCTCTCTTCCTCTTCTCGCTCCAAGAAGGGGCAAGCGTCGTCTCGCTCTAGATATGACAGCCGAAGGACTTCCAGCGGTGTAAAGCGCAAGAGCACCATCCGCGGCACCCGTCCCCGCGATCGGATTCATGGTCAGCCTGCATCCCAATCCTCCTCTGACCCAGCAGAATCCACCAATCCCGGAGCGAATGGGTCGACGAGCAGCAGAAAAGGGCGGGGTACAGCACTGCAGAAGCGTGGTCTGCTGCCCAACTCGGCCGTCAGTCTGCTACGCGGGGTGGTCAAGGTCCTTGAGACGAGTGAGGCGTGGATGCCTGGTACGGGGGTGCCACAGGATGAGAATCAGCGACCATAGATGATGGGATGATAGAGAGTCCTGCTCCCAGGGCTTGGACTGGACTGTTCATAGATGTGAGACCCTCTACCCCTTGCCCACTCTCCCTTCCTTGATATCTTTCTCGCTCCCTTCAACCCCCGACTTCCTCTTCACTACTACCCTTTCCACACCTCTTCAGTCTTCCTATATACTGTGTTTCATGCTGTTGTACCCATAGAATTTTCCGACTTCATTTTGCGCCTCCGTCTGTGTCACTTTCCTTGCTTACCCTGTCCCTGTTTGCTTTCTCTCCCGGTTATTATCACATGTCACATCCTTCCCCTAGCAATCGCCATACGGGGCAATGTCCTTCGATCTGTCTCACAGCGTCGCGCCCGCCACATCTAGCGCACCATTCAAGTCGCCTCACACAAGAGTCACACAAGGATCACACTCTTCGTAGGTTGGGTCTGGTAAGCAAGGTGTTTGCCATTGGTAGTGGTAAACGACCGACCGGGCAAGAGGGGAGACCGCGCCAATCTGATGTTGACGGGGATCCTCTGCTAGGAGGTGGAATGGTGCTAAAATGTGTGTGTGTGTGAGATGGTACATGAAGAGACGTCGAGCCGCGGACCAAGAGGGAGAAGGGGAGGATCTAAGTCATCGCTTAGGCGACGAGCTGGATGGAGCAAAGGAATAGAATAGTGCAAGGTGTCAGCCATGTTCGTAGAGCCATTGGTAGTAGGGCGAGAGCCTCAGGATAAGGACACACCGCCCACAGAAAAGTGCACTGCATCTGGACTAGATGATCGCCTCATTTGCAACATCCCCTCAAGGTGAGGTTCCGTGCTGATAGCCTCTGCGCTTGTCTCTTCCCATCGTATCCTGCCTTGCTCTGTGCGGCCCGTTGCCTGCCTGCCACCCTGTGTCCCTTCACCTCTTGCCCCCCCTCGGCATGTTGAACAGATGTCCCGACTGGCTAATCACTGCACGGGCATTGCAACTCACCTTGACGACACCACCGACCTCCTTGATCTTCTTCTCGGCGAGAGCCGACACCCAACGAGCCTTGACGATGATGGGCCTCTCTGGCAGCCTTCCCTTGCCCAGCACCTTTCCGTAACCGGCGGCGAGGGTGTCGATGACGGGCACGGCGTCACCAGTGGCAGCCTCCTTGTTCTCAGCAGACACCAGCGACCAGAGCTTGTCGATGTTGACGACGGGTCGGTAGTAGGAGTTGCGGGTCAAGTGGAAGTGACGCATACCGACCTTTCCGAAGTAACCAGGGTGGTACTTGTCGAAGTTGGTTCGGTGGTGGTGCTGACCACCGGCGAGACCACGACCACCTGGATGCTTACGGTGCTTACCTAGAAGATGGAGAAGGGTACAATGGGGATATCCGTGGTCAGTCTTTCTGTCGCAGAAAAATGAAGGAGCCTTGATGCCGCCATGAAAGTCTTCATCTGAGCTCGCTTGTCTCTCCTGCGAGCTTCACCCTGCAATGCAGCGATACGACATGACGAACAGAAGCAGCATCCTGGCTTCCTTGCCTCTCTGCTTGATGTACAGCAGTCTGCTCTTCTGCTTTCGCCATGCCGTACCACCTTTGCTGCATAGCTCAACCCATGTCCGTCTTCGTCCTTGGAGGTACCTTCTTCGTAAGGTGACCTCTTCTTCCACCTTGCCCTCGCTTCGCAGAGGTCATCGTTGTATGGGGTATTCCAGGATGTGATGCTTACCGATACGTCCGTGACCGCCAGAGACGTGACCCCTGAGCTTCCTGTTCTTTGACAATCGAGAGGGCATGATGTGTTGTGTGTGGGAGGGATGTGGTAGAAGGGAAGAGGAGGCGTGACTGTTGGCGGTGAGAATCTTCAGCGCTTGCAGCCAAGGCGAGGCAGACAGAAATCCTCGTCCGCCTGGGCGCCGCTTGGCTGCGTGCGTGGGCCTGGCTGGGAGCGCTGCCGCCCCTCGCCCGCCCGGGTCAGCGCTTCGCGGGGCGGAGTTGCAAAGGCCAGGCTGGGATGACCGTAGTCGCCATGTGGCAGCGGACTGGGCCCAGGAGGGAAGCGGCTGCACGCGCGAAGAAATCCTCCAGGCCCACGCCAGGCTCACCGCCCAGACAGAGGCAGGGCAGGGGCGCAGCCAAGGGCAGACGACAGACAGGCGTAGCCTTGCAATCGACGAATCCCATCAAGACAACTCTCTACCGACCTTCCTCACACGCCCTACTCGCTCCACCCACCTCCTCAACCACCTCCCTCTCACACTCTCCGTCAAGATGACTCACGCTGCTGTCTGGTTCAGTGAGCATCATCGAGAGCAGCAGACAGCCCGTCAAGCCTGCCTGCACCGGCCTGAAGCAGACGACTGCTGCAGCCAATGGCAAAGAGGCGTACCTACGAATCCGCATACTGACTTGGACTACCACCTCACCTCTTCTTTGACCTTACCAGGCCACCCCCGCAAGTTTGGAAAGGGATCGCGAACATGCCGTGTTTGCGGTAACCCCGGAGGAATCATCCGAAAGTACTCGCTGGACATCTGCCGTCAGTGCTTCAGGGACAACGCAAAGGAGATTGGCTTCGCAAAGGTGAGTACACTTGACACAGAGAGAGATAGAGAGGTGTTGAAAGGGGTAGAAGGCAGAACTCACGATCAGGGAAAGGCCAATTAGACGATGGGAGGAGGGTGAAGCGATGGGCGATTGGATTGCAGACTAGGGTCACTCGAACAGCGAGACACGAACCACAAGCAGAGGGCACAGAACAGATGGAAAAACGCTCGCAAAAGAGGCACGACATGTCTGTCGCATACTTTTGTATGAGACAAGCTCGTACCGTCAGCTGGAGCATCTCAAGTCGCCCTTTCTGTGTTGTGTCGTTTGGCAAGCCAGGCATGCGTCTTGCGAGTTGCTCGATGATCGCAGGACTGGTGGAAGGAGGCAATTGAGTTGGTTGGCGAATCCTGCTAGGAACACAGTGCTGGCCAAGCTGTTACACGAATGCAACGATGTTCTGACACATCCTCGTCCAATCACACCCCCCTCTCACAGTACCGTTAAAGGGGACTGAGCAACAAGTCTTCTCTCAACAAACCAAAAGCGACGCGATGACATGATCGTCAGCTTAGTCGATGCCACCGGGGCTCGACCATGCATAATATCTGCCCACTTGTATTTCCATACGACTCCATCTTCCCATCATTGAATCACACTAGATTCGTCATCACCTTGCACAGCATTGAGGACACACCAAAGGCGGCGTCAAGGGTTGCTGCGTGCCTTGAGGAGAAGTCGGGGAATCAGGACGCATGTTAGGAAAGATGTGATGGATGCTATCGTCGTTGATCCCGAGTTGGGTGAGGTGCCATCTCGACAATCAGTCCGAAGCTTCCTCGTCGTCGCCCAGCTAAAGATACATTGAGATGCAGCGGCGGGTACAAGATACACTCTCCAACCTCATGTTCCTACTTACAGCTTCCCCCTCCCAGCATCACAACCTCACAGCTTCTCACCACTTCGCACGAGCATGTCTCTGCCAATCTCCTTGACACTCTTGCAGCCGCACAGAGCAGCATTGAGCTCCATGTCGGCCAAGATGCCTCGCAGCACATTGCTCACACCCTCTGACCCACCGATGCCGAGACCGTATGCATATGGACGGCCGATGCCAACCGCATGGGCGCCTGTGAGGGGTAGGCGATCCCAAAGTCAGCTCTCTGACCACTCAAAGTAGTCTTGCCGACCGGACCCACTCACCTAAGGCCAAAGCCTTGATAACATCACTGCCCGTCCTGATCCCACTGTCAAAGATGACCGTCTTGCCCCTCTGTCTGCACAGATTACTAATAGCAGGCAAAGCTTGCAAGGCACCAATGGCTCCATCCACCTGTCTACCACCGTGGTTCGACACCCAGATGCCATCAATCCTACTCTCCGTATCATCCAGCGCCCGTCGAGCATCAGCTACCGACTGGATTCCCTTGAGCAGGATGGGCCTCTCATCGCCCCAGATCTTGCGGAGTAGAGGCAGCTCAGCCCAGGAGCGAGAAATGCCTGGGTTGAGCAGAGAAACGGCGGTTGCGCTTACCTGGAGGATCTCCTCTTTGGTAATGTCTGAGCGACGGGGGTCTTTACCGTCGCAGTACGTCTCGATGAAGTAGGGGTCGGAGGCAAGCTGCGCGATGCCTTGGCCTCTGAGGAAAGGATTGTATGCCGTATCCAGATCCCCTGAGGACGAACAATGGCCAGAGAGAGGCAGGAATCGGTTTCAGGCACATCGGAACGCTCGTATCTTTTCTCAATACTCACTCGGTCTCCAACCCAGTGCCCAAGTGTCTAGTGTCACCACTAGCGCCTTGTACCCCGCCTTCTTAGCCCTGGTCAGCAGACTCTCGGTGAGCTTATCGTCCGAGGGCCAATAAAGCTGGTACCATGCCTCATTCCCCTCCTCTTCTTCATCAAACTCCACCGCACTCTGCACTTCCTCGATCGAGCGATCTCCCGCTGAGCTGAGCGTAAAGGGCACGCCAAGAGAAGAGGCGGCGCGGGCAGTAGCGATGTCGGCCTCTTCTTTGTTCAACTGCGAGTGCACGCCGATGGGGCAGATCACGAGTGGGGTGGGGTAGGTCTTGCCGAAGAGGGTCACGGAGGAGTCGAAGGAGGACACATCTACTCCGCCGAGCATTGATGGTACTGAGTCGATGCAAAGAGGGTATGAGGGTCAGGTCAAGAAAGGGCAGTCAGCTCCACCAGAATACCGCTGGCCCTGCCCGCTTCCCCGACCTGCCCAGCGTACGTACCAATCCTCCAGTCATCCAGCGCCTTTCTATTATTCGCAATCGTAGTCTCACTACTAGCTCCACCAGCCACATACCCGTACGCCTCGGGTGTAAGCTTCTCCTTTGCCTGCTCCTCGAGGAGCTTCCCTGTGGAGGTGGTAAAGGGAGGGGCGACACCTTGCGTGCCCCCGAGGTAGATTTCGCGCATGTATTGGGCTTTGTTCATCTTCGCGTACGAAGTGGAGAGAGGAGAAGAAGTCAGGGAGAGGACACACGTAACGCAGGTTGGGATATTGGGTTGACTGGCTGTAGGGAGGAGGGGTCAGCGGGTCCGCCGGTATGTGGGGGTCGCACGGTCAAGCGAGAGTACCGGATGCCGGAAGTGGAGCGGAGCGGAGACGAGCAGCAGGTCGGTCGTAAGGCGAAGGGAAGAGTACTGAAAGCAGAATGCTATTGCACAAAAGAGTTGACATTGTCTGCTCTCGTCTATCCACTGAGCGGTAGCCCACAGACGTCGCAATCGCTAGATCCAGGAGCATTCTCAAATGTGCAGTGGGGGCAGGCAATGACGCTTGCAGCGGCTGCAGGAGCAGGGGGAGGAGGAGCGCTCCTCGACGCACTGCCACCACCACCGCCGCCGCCCGACGGCCGGCCGCTGATGGAAGCTGCTTGAAGTCCATTCTCAGCGGATAGAGTGCTCGAGGCATCGTCGAACATGTCCGACCCGTATCCAGCGCCCTCGTCACCGCCCGCGCCCTCGTCATCGTCATCATCATCGTAAGCCATTCCGTCGTCGTCCTCACCGGTGTAGGTGAACTCATCTGGCTCTTCTGCGCCGGGAAGATCAGCGGGCGGGGGGCGGGACCGAGATGGTGCCGGAGCAGGAGGTGGAGCAGCAGAGCTTTGCGGGGCCTGATAGCCTTCCATTGCTTCGGGTGGGATATAGTCATCCGCCGCATAGTCGCCCATTGGCTCACTGACGGATCCGCCCCCGCCTCCACCACCCACGCTCTTGCCTCCTCTTGATCCTTCGGTGTGAGCCTCGGCTAAGCTCAACAAATTCTGCACAGCGGGTCGAGCGACGACAGCTTGCAGCTCTTCCTCACTGTGACTACCAGAAGCGATCTGACACAGGCTTTCAAGATCTTCCTTCTCCAGCAAGTCTTGCGAGTGCAGGAATGACAGCAGGTGCCAATCGCTGAGAGAAGTAAGGAGCTTAGAAGAGGACAATGTGCCGTTTGCAAGCACACTGAAGAGCTTCTCTGCTGACTGATCATGCAGTCCGGGCCGATTCTCGATAGGGAAGGGCGTCGTTGTAGCCAAGAATCGAGGGTTGGGGGCATTTGGAAATCCATGTGTCAAGGTAACGAGCAAATACTCGACTGGGAAGGTTGGCTTTGCCGACTCCTTCACTTCGATTTTGTATTCGTTCTTGTAGCGATAGAACACTTCAGGCACATAGCGGGTAGCTGAAGCCGGCTTGACTCTGACAGTAGAGGGCTGTACGCTTGCCTCAATCATGTCGCTCTTGACCATGCCGACACCTTGCTCACTGATCTGATACGCAGAGACGTCAATTGCGCCTTCTTCAGTACCAGAAAGCACACAAGTGACAAACTTGCTGCCGTACTTGCCGCTGAGTGAGTATTTGCAGGGATTCGCATTGGCCGCTTGCAGCTGTCCTGCAAATTGAGCCTCGAGAGAGGACAGGAAGAAGGAGTCCTTGTGACGCTTGCATAGCACTTTGCCGGCCTTTTCTGGATCGCTGAAGCTCGGGTCTGCAGGGGTCAAGTCGGTGTAGATCTGCCCGACGATGGACAGACCACAGGCTGCTGCGAGACTCTCAACCCTGGCCTGATCCTCCCACGGAACTCCTAGCGTGACACCATCCACCTCTCCTTCCTGCGGAGGCTCGTGAATTGCCTCAACAACCGCCTTGATACCCATCGGCACCACATCGTACGGTTCGTAATGACCTAGCAGGAACCCATATCGCTGCGTCCCGGTGGACCGCCAGAAGGATAGGAGATTTTCGATCAATTGAGGATGCGCGAACTCCACGTGATCCACCATCCGATATTCTTGAGATTGCAAGGTGATAGCAGATGGTTGACACTTGGTGCAGATACCAGCAGGCCAAGAGGGATGCTGGCCAGAGGGGCAAGGTACACGGACGGTGTAGTTGGGCTCTTCGAGGGGCGGGATGTACGTCTGCGCAGGTTTTGAAGCATTTGTGGCAACATCGAGCTTCTTGAGATAGGCATGGAAGGATATGTGCTTGATCGAATGCTCGGCTTGGTATTTTGCATCATAAGGCTATCGGTTGAATGCGAAGGCAATGCGTCAGCACAGCCCACCTGGACTCAGGTTGATCACACGCTCCTTGGTCTGTAAGTTTGACTCACCTCCAAAGGCATACAGTAATCACACATAGCTTTCGGTCCATGCCTACAGAATTTAGAATCCCTCTCCCTAGGGATCATGCCCCCGCGAGCTTCCCAATACTGATCTACAGGAGCCTCAACCACATTCTGCCACGGCTTGCTTGTGGCCAGGGGTGTCGCTGAGGTCGACGCCGCTGTCGAGGAAGAGGCCACAGCGTTTGCTGTGTGGCCGTTGGAAACCACAGGCGCTTCTGGTGCCTCCTCCCTGTCCTTGTAAGTAGCATACAAGAGGTGACCATGCGAAATGCCGAGGTCAGAGAGTGAGTTGCCCCTCAAGCTATCGGCCGCCATCTCGCTGCCTCGTGGATCGTTCGAAAATGTTATCGTGGTAGGCTCAGCCGTTGGCACCACTTCCAGCAGCTTGTCGATCAGGATCGACATGTCATCGCTGGCCTCCAGCGTGAGCCGGAAAAGGCCATCCTTGCTACGGATTCGGACCAGCATTCGGGTGCGAGCACGATCGCAGGCAACAATCTTTGCTCTACAGATGGCCTTGGTGTGCAGAGAAGCTACCAGCTATCTCTTCTGATCCAGGCTCAGAGGAATAAAAAGTTGACTCGTAGGGTATTGAAAGTGGCGCAAGATGTATAGGGATCCGAGGCCAGGTGACGAAGCGAGAGAAGGTCCCAGTTGATATTCCTCGCGGCCTCGCCTTCCAGGTGGAGCTGCCTTCCGTCTGACGCGGCTCCGCCTCCGGCCATCGCTTCCGCCCCGGCCTCACTTCCGAACCGGCATCCAGAACGCCCACTGACTGCCTCTTCTGTACCGGCCACCGATTTCTGACCCAACAGCTTCGCCTCTCAGCGTACGGCATCATGTCGTCTTCCTCCTTGCCTCGACAGGAGATGGTCCAGTCGGCCGTCTCCTTCCTATCCGATCCCAAGGTCCACTCATCGTCGGTCGCACAGCGGATTGCTTTCCTCGAGTCGAAAGGGCTAAGCTCACAGGAAATCGATGAAGCACTGAGGCAAGTTGGACTTGGCGGTGGTGGTGGTGGAGGAGAAGCGAATAGAGGGCCCGCAAACTACAGTCAGCAAAGGTCGCCGTATGGATCTGTTCAGCAACACTATCCTCAATATGCACAGCAGCCAGTGGCCTCGCGAGATTGGAGGGATTGGTTCATCATGGCAGTGGTCTCTGGAGCTGTGGGATATGGTGTGATCGCATTGGCAAGGGTGAGTCAAAGTGTCCAGCTTATCTGATACATCACATTCCATGCTCATTCGCTCAACTTTGTCGACCTTATGCGATTTTGCAGAAATACCTCTTTCCCCACCTGCAACCGCCTAACCAGACGATCCTTGAGTCGGACCGTGATGCACTGACCGCAAAGTACGATGAAGTGGCAGCTACACTGGCTCAACTCGACCAAGATACACGATCGGTCAAGATGGGTCTGGAGCAACAAAAGGCAGCTGTGGATGGAGAATTGCAGAAGGTCGAGGAGGCCCTGGAAGACGTACGGCGTGGGGAGCGGACCCGTAAGGAGGAGATGGATAAGATTGTCAGAGAGGTTGAGTCTCTGAAACGTGACATGCCCAAGGTGAGTTGTCCCATGAGAAGAGAGTCGACGGCGATATTTATCATCTCATCAAGCGGGTGACGATGCTGACATGCTCTGCACTTGTCTCTTCTCCTTTATAGTTGTTCGAAAGCTCTTCTGCATCGACGACTACTTCTCTGACCGAGCTGCAGAGCGAACTGAAGTCGCTTCGCTCCCTGCTAGTCTCTCGAACATCGATTGCCAACGGCGATGCCGCAAATCCCACGCCGCGCTTCGGATCGCCTCGTCCCGGAGGTTCATCGCCTCCTCTGCCCGGAGGCAAGCCGGCTATCCCTGCATGGCAGCTGGCCGGGGAGACTGCATCGAAGACGAGTGATGAGCCGAACGGCACAAGTGCGAAGGAGGCTGGAAAGGAGCACAGTGGGGAGGAAAAGACAGGGGCCTATACCGTGTAGGACTGGCAGGCAGGTGATCAGTCTGCCGAATGTGTCCGTTGCGGCTGGGTGGACGTTGTTCGTTCTGTGACGCTCAAGTGTTATCGTTTGGAATCCTTTTGCCCTTTTGCTGTTGTGACGCAACTCGCAGAGGAGAAGCATCTCTGTCCAGGTCACACGCGTCCGTTAATCAATTTGTCCCTTTTGGCGCGAGGCGAGAATCTCTGTCCGTCCTGCACGTCCTCCATCCTACGCTCCCTCCCTCAATCGCCTGCCTACCAGCTGCTCTCGCGCCACGCTCTCCTCTGCTGGTTGCTGCAGTCATGTCATCTCTCTAGTCGCTCCACCGCCTCACACAGCGTCGTTGAGGTCACAATGTCTTACCGCAAGGATCCCAAGTGGAAGCCTTCTTACGGTGCCTCAAGGGACTACTACGCGGAGCAGCAATACTACCCTTACAACGCTGCCCATGGCGCCTCTTCTTCGTCTTCGGCCGCATATACAGGTCGAGGGGACGATCAATACCACACTCACACCTACCGTAATCACTCCGTTGACTTTCGCAATCGAGACGTCGATCGCACAGGGGACTCTTCGTACCGGGATCGCGCTCGAGGAGAGCATAGCTTTGCGTCTCGCGATCCTCGCGCGTACGATCGTGACAAGCAGCCAAATGGCCCTCGCTCAGACGACGCAGCAGCACCGTCCCGAGCAGCTGCACCACTAGTCAGTCGGATGTCCCCTCGACCATCCGACAGTGGAAGCAGTGGGCGAAGAGAGAGCGGTGGTGCTCTAAACGATGGCGGCTGGACGCAGCGCGGGGGTGGCAGTGGTGCCGGGCCTTCTCGTCCCAGACGATCTGCGTCCCCACCGTCTCGCCCTGCAACGACCAGAGAAACCTGTAACGAGACAAATGATGCAAGAAATGGTAGCGGGGATCGTGCCGCCTGGTGGGAACCACGTGACAAGTTCCGGGAATCAAATCGAGCTCGCGATCACAGCATACTGCCATACGGTGACGATCTAGGCTACGGTGCTCGACCTGGATCGGCAGCTCGGACCCCAGGCATCGAGGAAGGAGAGATCGCCACTGCTGGTCAAAGGGACAGTCCTCACGCCGCCGCCGGGGGGCCGTCTGGTCAGAATTCCGCCGTCAGCAGGGACCCTCGCAGAAGGACCACCGGGGATACGAACAGGCCTGGCCCTTCAACGGGAGAAAGCTCCAGAGAAGCGAGTGTCGCAAGAGGAGTCCCTGCAAACGCTATGGATATCGATCAAGTGAGACAGCAGACCGTCCGCGCTGAATTGGAGCTGTCTGAGAGGCCTCGTCAGGTGACAGGCAAGCTACAAGATGCGGTCAAGGGAGGCGCAATAGCTACGCCTCGGCGGCCGGATATGCGTCATCTCATCGGTCAATTCCTTGAAGCTGTGGATCGTCAACGCGAGTGCCATGCGAACGTCAACTTCGCCGAGTTCAAGCTACAGGAGTCTCTGGATTGGGTAGAGGCCAATGCCTCGAAACCCGCGCTCACAAAGGAGTTCTACGGAGGGCCAAAGGGGACGCTGGAATCGCGCATCAGAGAAGCAAAAGAGGCAAAGGAGAACGCAGGAAGAGAAGTCAGCGAGAAGATGGAAAGGATCTACGAGGTTCTGATGACCTTTACTGAAGACAGCAGCCTCGCCGCTTCTGCCGCCGTACAACGTGGTCCTGCTCACAGCGCCGCAATCTTGGTTGAGCGTCAGGATCATAGGATCGGGGGCATGGGGCGTTCAGATCAAGGAACCAGCGGAGCCGAACCTGATGACGCCGGTCAGAGCGAGAGGACGGCACCGGGAACTCCTCCTCTTCTGAGAGATCCGGTGGCTCCAAGACCAGAGCAGCAGGCCAGCAATTCGAGGCTCGATAGGAAGTTCGAACTTTTGGATGACAGACTTGAAGAGATTAGAGAGTTCTGTCATGCGACCGAGGCGAATATGGAAGAGCTCGTGGCACAGACGGTCCAAAGCGCTCTGCAAGACATCGCTAGACGCAGAAGAGAGAAGGGCAAGCAAAGAATAGATGCCGCCCCGCCAGAGGCGGACCCAGCTGTGGCAGCCAATACTCTCCCTCTCGTTCCCCGGACTGCTCCCCGCAGCCAGTCTGCGGGAGTCGACGATTCCTCTGGCATCGAGTCGCGACTGTCGCTGCTTCGCTCCGAATTCCAAACGAGCCTACACAACGAGCTCAACACCTTCCATGAACAGCTCAGATCGTCCTTCTCACAGGTGCAACAGCACTTTGACAAGCACAAGGCTGCGAGGCAAGGTGACAAGATGGACTCAACGGCTCGCGACGAGGCTCAGCAGGGCGAGATTGAGCAGTTGAAAGTTCAGGCACAACATGCATTTGAGGAACGACGATGGCTGAAGTCAGAGTTGGATGCGACCAAAAACTCGTTGCGAGAAGTGCAGTCGGTGCTCGTCAGTGAGTATAGGGGAGGGTGCATAAGAGCGAAAGATGGGCGTGATGCTCAAAAAATCTTTTCCTCCCTCAGACTTCCTACAGCAAACACAGGCATCTCGCGTGACCGCACCTGCCGTGCTGTCTCGTCCTCAGATTACTCAAATTTCACAGTCACCGACAGCGCAACCATCGGTTCTCCGGCCTAATTTGGCAGCATCGCCGCCTGCTCCAGGTCCGCAGCGAGCGCCACAAGCGGTGCAAGGCACTCCATCGTCCGGGCGTTCTGCGCCGACTTCGACCAATCTTGTCGTCGCAAACTCGCAAGACTCCGCTGATCCGATTGAACGCTTCATCCTGGCTACATGCCAGGTTATCATCTCTGGCATCCCCTCGAATTACACGCCAGAACAAACGGTGGGACACGTACGTGCAGCAGCCGAGTACCATGCGCAAATGGTACACAAGGATATACCGACGCCTCAGCACGATCAAATGAAGAGGCTCGCGTTGCAGATTGCCAACAAAGCCTTTGCCATGCTGGCGGCGCGGGCGACTAGCAACGTCGTGGACCTCCCAGGCATGCAACGGATCCAAGGGATCGGGTCCGCCAGCCCCTCTGTCCACCAGTCCGAGACACTCCAGCACCACCCCCACCACCAGCAGCCGATGCGCCCAGAGACTGTTGCACCTTCCACTGCGGCCAGCCCTCTGCTACCAACTGTCGCAAACGCTTCCTCGGTCTCGGCTCCCTCAGGCGAGCAAAGTGGCCAACTGGATGCAAACCCTGTACAGAACGCTCAGCAACCCAATAGGAAGACAAACGGCGGCAATCTTTCGTCTGGACCGATCGAGGTGGAGGACAGCGAAGTTGATGAGCTGGATTCGGGCGCCAGACAGGAAGAGGACGGAGCGGATCGTGAAGCGGGAGAGATCGTGACGGAGACTGAGGGCGGGGCGACTGGGTGAGAGACGTTTACGTCGAGCCAATTCAGAAACCCTCTTCACTCTATGCTTGGGTATCATTGATTGATGAGATGGCATCGGCAAAGCTCAGAAGCCTAGTGTGATAGTAGGGCGGAAGCTGGAGGTGTGAGCACTACCCCTTTACTTAGAGCGTTGCCTTCACGGCTCTCGTACTCAGTACTCACAGCAATCGCAGTCGAATGGACACAGTGGTGTATCCCCTCCTCTGCCCAGCTTGAGCTCATTCTCGGAATAGATGGCGAAACCTTCCTCTGTACGACCTCCTGCTTGACGATGCAGCAAAGGCAACGTCAGTGAGAGCTCCAGCGCTACAAGCCCAGCCTACGTTCAATGATGACTTACTTCCATTACCTCTGCCATTCGTAAATGACCCGGTCTCGTCGTCCTCCGCTCCTGCCCCTGCGCTTGAGGCTGTGCTTTTCCCAGTCTTGGACTTTGCCTTCCCTTTCCCCTTCTCCTTCGCGCTCCCCTTGCCTACATCGCTCTCGATGCGAGCCGAGGGATCCAATACGGTGACTGGTGCAGCACGAGCTTTCTTCATCTTCTTGAGCTCCTTCTCCTCCGATACACTAGCCTTTGCCGGCACAGCTGAGGACATCGATGAAGCAGACTTTGCTGCACTGGGATCCTCAGCGACGGCAGCTGCTTTCCTCTTGCGTTTGCCGTTGCTCGAGCTGGCCGCCTCGGCTGCCGAAGGGGAGGCGGAGCTCTTCTTGCTCGATTTGGGCTTGGAGGGACCGGCGAGGGTCGAGACTTTGGCAGAGACGCCCCCGCCGAAGATGGCGTCGATTTCAGACATGCTCAGCTCTAGTACTCTGGACAGTCGCTGTTAGTCTAGTGGTAGCCCAAGATCCTGTATCGCGCTGGAACGCTGTGAATCTGATCCGAATAAGTGAGTCCGTCCTGCCGTACGGAAGTGGGAAGGCGAGGCGAGGCGGACTGAGGCCACGGCGCGCGTTGCAGGCAGACGGACACAGGCTGCACGCAGGGCGGCAGAAGAGAAAATTCATCCATGGTTACTTCCTGACTCTTTCATCCCATCAATCCTTCTTCGTTGAGCAGCCCTTGAGATTACTCTGGTGACACAGAGATGAGCAAGCAAGCTTCGCGCTGGTCGTGACTTCGCTCGTATGCTTGCTTTACCTCCCTTGATGGGCATCTCCTTGCCAGTGAGTACTCTCCCTTCCCTTCTCCCATTCGCCGAGCCAACGCGATGAAAACAGGTCCACGCTTGAGGCTACGGTCGATGGAAGCGTATCCATCAATATAATATCTGAATCACCTGATTGGCTCGGCGAAGCAAAGCAGCAGAGGCTATATGCAGAAGGTCAGAACTTACCAAGACTTCTTCACGGCCCTCTCCGCAATGATTGAGAAGCATGAGCATTTTCCAGCAATGGTAGCAGAACCCCGACCCAAGAGATGATGCTCTTGCTTGCGCTGGATCTCACCAGTCCTTCGTGGTGAGTATTTTCCGTCTTGCTCCTCTCCCCTGCTGCCCCCCGCTACCGACGATGACCTGAAGACAAATTCAACAAACTAGAGTCTCGCGATCCTTGTACGCGATAACTGTCAATATAGCTGAGGCATGCGAGCGAGCGAAAGCAGATGGGCATGGTACCAGATGGACATCGAGCACATTGCTGACGTCTCTTACCTACGTGTCACCTCCTCTCATTAGTCGGTGATATGACCATCTCCCTTGCCCTCTCAGACCCGTGTACTCATTATGGTGAGTAGCCTCGACCCGCATGATAGTCACCAGCTTCGAAGGCAGAGTAACAAGAGGAATGGCAGCGATGGCGGTCGTCTTCTTTGCAAATTGGGTCACTGTGATGATCATCAACTTTTATAGTTGGAATTACCGACTGAGCGTTGACTTTACAATCAACGGAAGAGCCCTCGGGCTCCTGAAGATACAAATTGGCTGTTTACTGAGACCTGCCAAAGAGGGCGATTGTACAAGGAGGGAGGAAAGGCAACGAGGGCAAAGAATGGCGGCCTGTCAACGCGACCATGACGCTGACGTTACCGTCCTTTCCCTCCTCCGCCGTAGAAACATCGTCATACCTGTTGTCTCTTGGCCCACGCGTCCCACACTCACCACGGACTCGATTATGGTGAGTCTCATTCTCGTCTTTGTCCCACGCCTGCTGCCACTCTCCGCACACAAGCGTGCAAATGATGATACCCCATTATCACGACGGTCTTCGTACCGAGACCATCATCTCGTCTGGCGAAACGGCCCGTACCAAGCTCACATAAAACTTCGGGCATTAATCTGAAAACAAGCTTGTGTGGACAGGAGAGCGGCAAGGGGAGCAGGCATGGGATAGAGGAGCGCCGCGTTGTTTCTTTGGTCTGTCAGGACATTGGCTGACCTTCTTCTTCATCTCATCCTGACCCTTGTCGTCGTAGATAAGCACTCTTGCATATATACTGTAATACTTTCCGCTCTCATGTACATCCCAGCAACTCTGTATCAATTGTATCACATAGCTCTTGACACACTTCTCCATGGTACGAATCAAGATCTTTCAGCTACTTTCTGACGGTGATGGCCTAGGAATACGAATGAGACAGGCGCGACGTGATGGGCGAAAAGAAGGGGACTGCTACGTTGCATCACAACAGGAGCAGCGTTCCGATCACCACCATCAAGGGCAACATCGCTCCGGCCCACGCTGCCACACCACTATTGCCACCAATGCGGTGCATCCTCCTGGTCGCACCATTGGTGACATTAAAGGCGCTCTCCTTGTTGGCAAAGGAAGCCTGCAGGAAAGAAGCTGACTCTTTGATGTACCGCGTCTGATTGGCGCCTGGTTTTGCGTAGATGAGTCCAAAGTCCTCTTGATAGCCTTGGATCCACTGCGTGGGTAACGATCAGGAGGGAAGTAGAGTCAGCAATGAGCGTACACGAGTCGAGGGATAGTACCCCAGATGGGGTTTGACTCACCTCGAAGTTGCTGATACAGCTCCAGGCTAGGTATCCGACAAAGGGGATCTTGCCCTCGTCTAGAATGGTGTTGATCTGGTTCACGGCATTGCGGTACCAGCGGATACGCTGCAGGTCGTGCAAGCTGTCATTTAGGGAGAGTGTGGGCGATGATGGCAAGGAGAGGCCATTTTCGCCAATGGCGAGGGCTTTGGGGTTCCAACGCTGGTGCATGTAGCGCATACCTAATGTGCATTGACGGGGAGAAAGCGTCAGCATTGACCAGAATGCAGAAGACGTCGGCAATATCCACTGACCTTTGATGATTGTGTCATTGCCCTGGAAGTTCCAAAAGCTCCCCGTTGGCTCGCCAATTGACACACCAGTCTTATTGACAGGCATCAGTTCCACGCACGCCGGCCACAGTGGGTTCGTTTCGTCGACACATGCGCCATCTGTAGGCTTGGCATACATCGTCGCGTAAGAGTCCCAAGCGATGAAGTGATACGAGTCTTTCAGTCCGGCCGACTGCTGAGGAGTAAAGGTGGGAAGCTTCGCACCCATGACTTTGCGCATGGCGCTGGCGTAGTCGCCCGTGGTGAGCGGGGCAAGGATCCAGCCCATCTGGCTCTGCGTGAGTGGGTGAATAAGAGTCGGTCGGTCAGTCGACAAACTGCCTAATGACGGCACATATGACGGTCTGTCGTCTTACACCGCTACTCACCATGTCCATTGCGGGCTGAATGGCCTTGACTACCGTTGCATTGAAGACATCAAAGGGCTCTAGGGGAGCTCCATCAATCTTGATGCCCACCCGACCGTGCACTTTGCCTTTTCTCTTCAGATCCCAAAAGGCTTGGTTAGCCTTGGCATGCGCCAGCAGGACTCGGTGCACGCACTCGAACGTCTGTAGATGCGTCGCTGGGAAACCGGGTGCGCCGATGTTGGGCTGGGGTCCGTAGGAAGTGGTGCAGAAGGTGCGGGGCTCGTTGACGGTGATCCACATGTCGCAGCCGTGGCCGAGAGCCTCCATGGTCATCTTGGCGTAGTGGGCATAGTCTTCGATGATGCGGTCGTCCAGCCATCCTCCGTACTTCGCTTGAAGCGCTTGCGGCTGTTCATTGCAAGGAAGCATAAAGCGTCAGCTATATTATGGCCTGCCCTCCTTAGTACTGGAAGTGGAATGACTTACGAAGTCCCAATGGAAAAGCGTACAGGCGACCAGCATGGACTGGGCTTTCGCAGTTGCGATCATGTCTTTATAGAAGTCTACGCCCGCTTGATTCGGCGTAGTCTCGTTGCCGTGGGGTAGAATTCTCGTCCATGCAATGCTGAAGGAAAAGGTGTCAATGCCGAGAGCACTCTTGAAGAGCGGAATGTCCTGCTTGTACGTATTGTAAAAGTCCATTGCCACCTCTGCATCATCCCCATTGGCGACGTGCGCGGACTGCGGACTTGACCGGGGCTTCTGTGACTTGTCTACGCCAGTGGTATTGTGGATGTAGGCATCCCACTGTGATTCACCTCGTCCGCCAGCTTTGGTTGAGCCTTCGATCTGGTAGGCGCTGGTGGCACATCCGTAGAAGAAGGAAGCGGGCGCGCGCACGGGAACGGCGGGTAAGGTATCACTACTGTAGGACGAATTGATGGAGTGGAAGGCTGGCAGACCTGCTGGTGTTGCTGGCAGGGGATTGTTAGTGAGGTTGGCGATGACGCTGGCATTGGCTTTGGCTTGTGAGGCGGCGATGGCGGTATCGTTCTTGTTGCTGTTGTCGCCTCTTGGACGAACGACGGTGAGACGCGCTTGGGAGAGGGGAAGCACAAGGGGTAGGAGCGCGAGGAGCGGGCAGAGCTGCATAGCGGACAGCAAACCTCCAGATATGAAGGCTGGAGTGGAAGAGAACAGATTTGCAAGGAGGCAAGTACAAGTCTGTGGTGTCAGAAGGAGGAAGTGATGTATTCGAGTCTCGTAGAGCCCAGGGCGCCTAACCCGAGCGGCGAACGACGGCTGGTAAGTGGTCAGTCAGGGCGATGATGGTCACCACTGGTCTTCAACGTGCGCTGCCCGGACATCAACGTCGGCAATGTATAGAAAGTAGTCAGGGGGAGAAGCGCAGGCAGGGGTCATGGCATCGCACATCTACATATCCAGGTACATGAGCCGTAAGCCATCTTTCCTAAAGAGTGTCTGACAAGAACATTGTATTACAGAACCTTCATCTACAGGCTGTACTCGAATCTACTCTTTTCTTGTTCTCTATGCTGTCTAAGCCAAGCCGAGCTGCTTGAGGAGGGGCTGCAGCTGGGAGTCGTCGAGAGTGTCCGTGGGCTTCTCACCTCGTCCCACCTGCGCAATCTGAGCACAGCAGACCTGGTTGCCCATCATAAAGTTGCTGTCTGGCACAAGGGTCTTCCTGGCGGAAGCCACCTTGCCGCTGAGGAGCTTCTTGGGCAGGTCGTACTCTTCACAAACGGGTCGAGCGAGACCGACACCTTGGCAAGAGCCGCTCTTGACGGCGTCTACCATGGCGTTGGCAGTCCTGAAGCCACCGGTGACGTAGATGGGCACGTCCTTCACACCAGAGCGGATAATGTCGGCAAACTCAAGGAAGAATGCCTCGCGCTTCTTTGTAGAGTCGCGCTTGTGCGAGAAGCCAAGCTCCTCGTATGTTCCACCGGACAGCTCGATCCAGTCGATGCCGGCCTTCTCGAGACGAGCGCAGACATCGCGGCACTCCTCTGGCTGGAAACCGCCCTGCTGGAACTCGGCGGAGTTGATCTTGATACCGATGCTGAACTTCGGGTCAGGTACGGCCTTCTGGATTGCCTCGAGGATCTCAAAGTGGATGCGAGACCTGTTCTCGAGAGAGCCACCATATTGGTCGTTTCGCTTGTTGGTGCTCGATGCAAGGAACTGAGCGAGCAGGTAGCTGTGGACAGCAGAGTGTGGGTGCAGAAACGCAAGGGATCAGTATACTGTTCTATCAACGCGCTTACTGCTGCGATCATCACTCACCCGTGAGCCGAGTGGAGCTGGACACCGTCCGCACCAGTCTTGTGGGCGTAGGCGGCAGCCTTGGCGAAGTTGTCCACCGTCTTCTTAATCTCATCCACGGTCAGCTGGGTGGGCTGTCCGAAGTTGGCCGAGACATCATTTCCGCTCATCTTGTCAAGACGAACATCGGAAGAAGAGACGGGGTTGGGGTTGACATCGTAGGGGACCTGACGTCCTCCGTGGGAAAGCTGAACGACGTAAAGGGCGCCCTCGGCCTTTGCAGCGGCCGCCACCTTCTTGAAGTTCTCGAGCCTCTCGGGTTCATCGCCGACCATAATGGGATTACCCTTGGCCTCGAGGTTGATGTAGTCACCAAATGTGTTTCCGCTCAAGATGAGTCCGAACTGATCAAGACAAGAGGAAGAGGAGACTAGGATTAGCTTCGGCTTCCAGGTCGGGCGCGGGTGCGCTGGGATGCGTAGTACTCACACCACCCTTGCCCCACTCCTCGTATACGCGAATGAGCTCAGGTCCTGGGATACCACGCTTTGTAGGCTCATCTGCATCGTAGCTACACAAGCGCTCTGTCATTGCAGCTTTCAGTGTCCTATTGGGAGCTACGAGACCAGACTTGGGGTACTTGATGGATTCGGAGAGGACCCCGATGTCCTTGGGCACTTCCGTGACGAGTCGGTCGGTCATGATGTGAGAATGTGAATGTGGGAGAACAAGAAGAGTTGGTGAATGAGAGGATCTTTGGAGAGCAAAGATTGAAGAAGGACAAAAGTCAGGAAGAGTCTATATATGGGTGATACTCAGTGTACAAGTTCGTACAACGGGAATTTTCGAAGGTCGCTGCCCTTTGCTGTCCAGTGGCGGACATAGGCCTGTCAAGTGGAGCACGCGGCTCCTTAGCGCCGAGCGTGGCAAAAGAGCCGAATGACGAAGGGAAGCTTCTGTGGAGATACGGGTAGACTAATGAGCATCAGATCCGACAAATCCGGCAAACACGCACAGGCTGGTAGAGTCTCTATGACCAAGGTCGGGTGTGTGTCTTGCCTCAGCCCCGGCCATCTTGAGCGTACACGTTGGCGAACCGCGGCTAGCTCCCCTTGGACATTTCAACCACTGACAACCTCTTTGTGCACCCAGTCGTGTGGACGGCCAAGGTCAGGCAGACAGAGAGGAAGAGGAATGGAATGGACAGTGCTGATATCAGAGAACGATATTCTACAAATGCATCCCAACAGACCACTCTCGATAGGAAGGTAAAGCCATGGACCTCCATACATCGCATGCCCGAAGAACCATCACCGTGCCTCCCTACCGCGCGTAATCACTTCAGTGCATCTGAGCGTGACATGAAGCATTGTCTTCCTCGTCTCACTTGCCATCGATCCCTAAAATTTCAGCTCCTTCATCTCAATCTCGTCTGCAATCATTCGCTGTACCTCACTCGTACCTCTTCACAAGCTGGAAGGCATAGGTCTGGGCTGCTTGAGTCGGGCTGCTGAGCCACTCTGCGGTTCCAACCCTTCGACACCACAGGCGCCTCACCTCGACAGCTAGCCACCAGAAGAAGCGTCTGCGAGGTCCGCGAGCCATGAAGTGCCCAATTCCAGCCATGTAGAATTAAGAAGCGCCCTCGAGGGTCTCGTTGGCAGCAGTGGGGGTTGCTGGGAAGCAACATTATGTAAGCAGGGATGCACCAATATGCAGCCGGTACGCGGATACACGGCTGTGCGGGGGCGTTCCGCACGTCCTTTGTTCCAATGACGCCCGGCGCACAAAGAGCGCCATAGCTACCAGGCGAACAAAGGCTCACTGAAATGATACAGTGGAGTGATTTGGGGATGAATGGCTCATTGTTTGTTTTATGTCTCACTTGACACAACCTCCTTCACAGCATCGTACCGTCCCCGCAATGAGCAGATCGCCAGCCTCGCTCAGGTCAGGCCTGGCGCCATCACCCTTGCTCCGTACTACAGGCGCAGAGGTCCACAGCCCGCCCTCATACGGCGACCACATACACAGTCCCGTGATCGCAACGTCGTTCAGCCATCAGCGGGATAACCAGCGTTCTTACACATCTGGCCCGATACCGTCCGATCAGGCCGCCCACGGCGACTTCAGGTCTGATGACAGACCGGAGAGCATGAGAGAGGACGATGACGAGCGACGGCAGGTCGAGATTGGGCTTGCGCCATACCTTGGGCTACGCGCTCGTATGTTCCTCTCCCTCTTTTCAGCACCTTTGATAGCCCTCATCTTCACCGCGACGCACCTTTTCATTTCCTCCTCGTCCATAGATGGCAGTGTGACCCAAGCCAAGGAGAACCTGTTGGATGTCTGTCAGGCGGCCGAAAAGCAGGCAAGCACGGTAGCCAGCCTGCCACACTGGGCAGCAGCTTCCATGAACCAGCGTACTAGTGAGATGGTCGTAGACACCGTGCAAGGAGTGGGCAGGGTTCTCACACTCGGCATCACCGCAATTGAGAACCTGCTGGTCTTCCTAGTGGATGCCTACAGATCGCTCTTCGCCTGGTGAGTTGGACCCCTCATCGCATTGTTGCCAATCTGCACTCACTTTCGACTGACCAGTCGTGTCAACGTTCGTGACTGGACAGCTTTATTGAGCTCTTGGTCCGTGGGGCTCTCGCCCTCCTCATAGCGGCCGTGAAGCTGCTCAACACCGCTGTCGAGGACGTAGCCTCTGGTATTGAGACCGCCATCAAGAGCTCGGTCACCGCCATCAATACGTTCTTGTCCACAAGTATCGCAGCGCTCAACGACCTTCTGGCTGTCATCGGCCAGTCCATAACCGTACCAGTCGTTGCACAGCCGGATCTGAGCGCCCTCAGCAACGTGACGCTGCCGTCTAGCTTCGAGAGTGCCTTGCTGAGCTTGAACAGTAGCTTGCCAACACTGGAGCAGCTGAGGACAGAGGTGAACGCGTTGATTGAGACACCTTTCGAATCGCTCAAGGCAGATGTCAACAGCAGTGAGTGTCTTGTCAGCCCCACTACTCACTGCAAGAAGTCTAATGCGCCTTTATCCCCTTCACAGCCATTGGAAACTTCACTTTCGACAGCTCTCTGCTGCCGGTCCCTACGCAGCAGTCTGTCACCTTCTGTGATCAGCTCGACATGTCTTCGCTTGACGACTTTGGACAAGCTCTTCGAAAGCTCCTCTACATCCTCCTCGGCATACTCGCTGCTGCTGTCCTTGTCTGCTTGGCCGTCCAGCTGATCAAGGCATGGTATGCTTGGCGATGTCTGAATCAACACCTAGAGAGGATCCAGTCAGCCTGGCAAGATATTGACCCTCGTATGTCGAAGGAAGGTCACGGAAGCTTTGACGGCAATTCCTCGCCTCTATCTTCCTTTCTCTCCAAGTCGCATCTCTTCACCCTCCTTTCCCTTTCTCAGCACCCTCTGCTCTCTTCCTTTTCCTTCCGAGCGGGCGATAAGCTAGGCCTGAAGAGCGCAAGAGCACAGAATCACCTGCGCTGGTGGCTGGCGTTTGTGAGTCACCCTATGGCGGTCGGCATACTGGCACTTGGCTTGTCCGGTCTTGCGGCCACACAGGTGCAACTGTGGGCATTGGATCCAGTCCAGGAGCACTTCCAGAGCGTGAGTGTCGAGACCCAAATGGGCGCCGCGAGAGTCTTCGCTCTTGCTGACATGGTACCCTTCTTGTCGGCTTGTCAAGTCCTTCGACCTGTCTCTGACAAGCTTCGCCGACGGCGCGATTGCACAGGTCAACAATCTTACTACGCAGGCTTCGGAAGACTATGCCAACAGGACCAATGCCCTCATTCTATCGGCTCAGGCTGAAATCAACAATAACCTCTTCGCCTGGGTCAACACCACTACAGCAACCATGAACTCTTCCATCAACGCTCTCCAGTCGGGCCTGAGCGAGGCTATGAATGTAAGTCATGAGTCAGCAATACTCAGGTGGTCTTCTCGCAAATTGAGCTGACCATGTGATACCCTGATTGTCTGCACCCCGTAGAGCACCTTTGCCTCGACGCCCCTCTACGATTCGATCGAGACCTTCCTCCAGTGTGCCATCTTCAACAAGCTGGAAGCAGTCGAGGAGGCTCTGGACTGGATCTCATCGAATGCGGTGGTCAGCTTCTCCACGGTCCCTCTTGACGTTCTGGCTCTGTCCAGCAATAGTAGTCAGGAGCTGGCCGATGTGATCACCGGGGGCTCAGATGGCGACAGTGGCGCAGCTGCTATCTTCTCAAAGATCTCGAAGGAGTACCGCGAGAAGCTGGAGGTCGAACGCATCATGTTTGGTGTTCTCTTGGCCCTATACGGGACTCTAGTGCTGATAGGAACTCTGATGGCGGTTCTGGCAGGTCACGGTCATCGATGGAAGAGTTCGACCGCCTTGCCCTCTACATCTTGGGCACAAGACAGGGCAGAGGGGGAATATATGGAGCAAGAAGGCAATTATGCGAGGAGTGCAGATGAGGAATACCGGAGGCAGGAGAAAGGAGGCCCGTCGGGAGATGGTGATGAGCTAGACAGCAGAAGCCATCACAGCAACAATTCGCGTGCTTCGAAACGCTACTCTCCAGTTGAGGACTATGACCTGTCAGAAGATCAGCGCCAGATGCGTTGGGCCATATAGCGCATTCTCCCTCGTCAAAATCTGTCAGACCCCCTTCTCGTGTTGTAAATAAGCCCAAAGGATGTGAAAGTAATGATGAATGTATTGGATGTGTCATTGCGCATGTACCTCGCCAAAGTCAGCATCTCTCCATTCTCTCTAGTATTGCTTGTTTAGAGCAAGGTCAGAAAGTGGTAGAGGCGCCCGGCTTATTGTCGAGCCACTCCCCTCCATACGCTCCAAGGAGACGCGGAGATGAAGCCGTGGTCCTCTTCCCTCTTGGATACGATGAGACATCGAGCCACGCCTACCGCTGTGGAATGGAGAAGGGTCCTCGAGCAGTGCTCCTATCTGTGAAGATAGGAAGTGGGGGCCAAGGGATGGTATGGAGAGGAGGAGAAGCGGACGCGAGAGCAACGGCGGAGCAAATGAGCCAGAGCTGAAAATCGGGTGCGGCTGCTCGCGTGGCATTTCGCCGAGGGAGCGGGAACGTCATTGTGACTGAGAGAGCAGTGCGGATCAGGGCCAAGCGACACCGCGGCCGATCAAGCAGCCCGCCGATAACATTGTATCTCATCGTGTCCCTTTCTCAGTCCTCTCGCATAGATTTCTTTCGCATTCCCTTTCTCATCGTCTCTCAAAGGCTAAGCGCTGCCTCACCCGCAGATGGCATCGCCCCAACATCCTCCGAATGGCGGCATGATGGGTCACTATCCGCACCTCAGGGACGAGGATAAGACCCCATCACCTGCTACCATCGCCGCCAAATCCAGCCTATCGCCGACACTCTACACCGAGGAGCCGTCTGCTTTCGAAGCTGCTTTTGCTAGAGCGGGAGGCGATCAACAGGCTACCTCTCACGGCTCAGCAATGCTAGGTAAAGCAGCCTCATCTTCCTCTCCGCCCGCTTCCAGCAATCATGCTGAGAAGAAAACCAATGCCCACGAGCGTGGACCTCAAGCCGGGAGCAGCATCGGCGGCAGCAGTAGTCACAGCAATCACACTTATGGAGCATCGCGTAGAGCAGTGCAACAAATAGACGAGCAGCTCAGCGGATACGCTACGCAAGAGCGATCTCACAGTGTGACACGAGGTGGAGGTAGGGCAGACGCTATTGGGGGGACTGGAAGGGGAACCGTTGCTACAGGCGATCTCGGGCCACAGGATGATTTTGAGACCCTGGAGGATCTCAGGGCGCAGGTCGCTGAGCTCGAGGCAGACTTCAATGCCAAGCACGGGCAGGAACCGCTCTCCGGGAGAATCATTCACGTCAGCCATTACATCCCCTTTGTCATTCGCGCCCTGGCCGAAGTGGACCACGAGAGGAGGAAGGAGGAACAGATCAGCGCTACTGCAAATGTTGCAGCCATGGCGGCTGCTGCTAGAGCCAAGAAGGCCGCAAGACAGGCAGAGATGGAGGCAAAGAAGAAGGAAGCAGAAGCAGAGGCTGCTCGCAATGCTGCGAAGGAGGCGCAAAACAAGGGCGAGGACGTGAATAGCGCCAAAGCCTCTCCCGCTCGTAAGCCCTCTTTCGCGTCACCAAACGCATTCACACTGTTCGATGGAGCTGAGATCGAGCGGCGCCTCGCCGAGAATCAAGCCAGATCAAGGTTACGAGGAGGCAGGAGAGCCTGGATGATGTCCCCTGTCGTGGACGACGATGAAGACGACGACGATGCCGTCAGTCTGAAGGATGCTTATACACCCGTCGGCAGTAGGCGTCCCAGCAGATTCTCGTTCAGTTCTCGCTTTAGCTTTTCCAGTAACACGGGCGATTCGCCAGCGCGGAGGCCAGCGTTCGGCGGCGGTGGCATCAGCGACTTCGAGCCGAGTCCAGCGGCTACTCCTCCCCACCCACCACAAGAAGCTCCCCCACCTCAATGGGTTTTGGCCCCGCGGCGTGGTCATACTGCTCTCAATTCTGGTATCCGCTCGCTGTGCAAGACGCACAAGCAGACATTCATCGGATGGCCTGGAGATGTCCACTTCGCTCTTCAGGCTCGGCAAGACGAGCGGAAAGATCCGAGTGAGACGACTCCACAAGAGAGAAAGGAGATTGAAGAGGTGCTGAGCAGCTTGGACGACCCCAAGAATTGGAGGGCTCAAGATGCTCCGGTCCTGGGCGCTGACCCGTCAATGAGTGTGGATGGTGCTCCTCCAACTCGAAAGGTTCCGGGACCCCTCATGAACGGCGCGGACCCAATAGCTGCTGAATCCAACGCAAAGACTGGTGCTAGCAAAGATACAGCGGCCAACGGCCGCGATGATCCCGAAGGTGGTGCGGAGCACGGAATCAAGTACGTACCCGTCTGGCTTGGCTACGACGTTGCACATGGTCACTACGAGGGCTACTGCAAGACAACTCTTTGGCCGTTATTCCACTATCTGCTCTGGCAAGACGTCCCAGGAGACCAACAGGGCTGGGAAGACTACAGTTGGGACGCCTACTTGGCGACCAATGAGGCTTTCGCAAAGAAGATTGCAGCCGAGTACCAGCCGGGGGACGTCATCTGGATCCATGACTACCATCTGCTCCTCGTGCCTGCCATGCTCCGGAAACTCATTCCCGACGCCCACATTGGTCTCTTTGTCCACGCTCCATTTCCAAGTAGTGAAATCTTCCGCTGCTTGCCACGAAGGCGGGAGATCATTGAAGGCATGCTAGGAGCCGATCTAGCTTGTTTCCAGGCCTTCTCCTACTCCCGGCACTTCCTCTCCTCTTGTATCCGGGTCTGTGGCTACGAAGCTTCATCGAACTCCGTCGAGTCGTCCGAAGGGCATGTCACGCATGTCTCCTACAACTCAATCGGCGTCGATGCCAACAAGATCGAAAAGGACAGTCGAGCTCCTGAAGTGGGGCCCAAGGTCCAAGCTATTCGAGAGATGTACAAGGACAAGAAGATCATTGTAGGTCGAGACAAGCTTGATGTGGTGCGTGGTGTCGTCCAAAAGCTGCAAGCCTTCCACAAATTTCTGGAAGAATGGCCAGAATGGCGCAACAAGGTCGTCCTCATTCAGATCACGGCTCCGTCGATGACAGACTCGCCGATGCTGGAAAGACAAGTATCCGAGCTGGTCAGCAATATCAATGGCCAATTCGGCAGTCTGAACCACACGCCGTGTATTCACTATCATCAGCAGCTGCTTCGGGAAGAGTACTTTGCTTTGCTGAGCATCGCGGACATGGCTCTGATCACTTCGGTGAGGGATGGGATGAACACAACATCGATGGAGTACATCCTGGCAAACCAGGATGCGCCCCTCATCCTGTCCGAGTTCACAGGCACAGCGGGTCGCATGCGTCACGCCCTGCAAGTGAATCCATGGAACATCTTTGGTGTAGCCCGAGCCATCGACTATGCTCTTAGAATGAGCCACGATGAGCGCAAAGAGCGGCATGATGAGCTGTATCGCCAGATTGTGAACCATACTTCTCATCACTGGGCCATCAGTCTGGTCAAGCAGATTCTGCTACGCCTTCATTCTGAGCAAACTGCACATCTCACCCCGGCCTTGGACAAGCCGCTGTTGAAGGAGAGATTCGACAAGGCCAAGAAGAGGCTGATTCTAATGGACTACGACGGAACAATGACACCCATCGTCAAGGATCCGGAAGCCGCGGTGCCATCCAAGCGCCTGCTAGAGGCACTGGACAAGCTCGGAAGCGATGAGCGCAACGTCATCTGGGTCGTCTCGGGTAGGGATGATCGCTTCCTGTCCAAGCACTTGGGTCATCTGAAGGTTGGGTTCTCAGCTGAGCATGGTGGCTACGTCAGGGAACCCGGGTCTCAAGAATGGCAGAATCTGACCAAGGAGCTGGACATGAGCTGGATGCCGGCCATTCGTCAAGTCTTCGAGTACTACACCGAGCGGACCAGTGGTAGCTGGATCGAGCAGAAGAAGTCGAGCATCACCTGGCACTATCGTAATGCGGATCCAGACTATGGCATCTTCCAGGCCAAGGAATGCCAAGCTCACTTGGACAACTTTGCGGCTCAGGAGAAGTTTGCAGTCGAAATCATGGTGGGCAAGAAGAACCTCGAGGTTCGGCCGTTGGCCGTCAACAAGGGCGAAATCGTCAAGAGGATCACACACTCCCATTCTGACGCGGAGTTCGTCTTCTGCTGTGGAGACGATCGTACGGATGAGGACATGATGAAATTCTTCTGCTCGCTGACGCCCGTAAATGGAGAAGCTCCTCTCATGGCCAACAATACTGGTGGTGTTGCAAGTCAAGCCGCCAGCGGAACACGGCTATCCCTTCCGCGCCTGTCTACATCGGGATCCCAGAGTGAGACGACCATGGGAGGATGTGCTTCGGCTGCTCAGGAGGAGCAGGAGACGGCACCCCTGATCATGTCGGCTCCGGCACCCTTGTCGTCATCAAGTCGCGGAGGAAGTGGAGAGCAGGCCTCCGGTGGTGGTGGTGGTGGTGGCGGTTCGTCTGCGATCAAGCTCGCCTTGACGAAGCGGGGCATCTTCACTACTGCCATTGGTGCAGCGAGCAAAAAGACGCTGGCCAGATGGCATTTGGATGGACCACAGAGTGTCATTGCCGTCTTGGCGACGATGGCTGGTCTCGAGGATGCAGACGCGCCATTGCCGTCAGCCCAGGATGAGGAAAAGGCAGCAGATGCGGCAAGGGAGGAAGCGGACGGGGAGGATGGTGATGTCGATGGAAAGTGAGCATGAGCAGCCGACGGAA